AACAACAATCTAAAGAAGATTAGCTGTGAACTAAAATATGATAGAGAATACTCATATTTTCAGCCAGGGCTGGAGCAATAACTGCAGAAAGAGAAGACAGAGTGGCAGAATTCTAACTTCATCAGCATATAAATCAATATCAGCTTGTGAGAAGCACTTACAGCTTGAGCTGGTGTAGAAGAGATGGTGATAACTGGTGAAGAGAGAAGAGAAGAAATAACAACACTCTAGAACTGTCAGTTGTAAATACTTTCTAAACTTCTTGTGACTACTTACTGAAGATCCAATCTCATCTGTAAAAGAAGAAGTGGAGGTTCTTTCAAGAGAGAAAAGTAGAGATAAGTTATAAGAGAGAGAGAAAGAGAACTGCATACTAGCAATAACTGCTAGCAAGCATCAGTCTCTCTGTGAATCAAACCCCACACAAAAACAAAACTAAATGATCATGTAAAGCAAAGACACAATCAGAAGTAAACTTACCAGGTTGTGATCTTTCAGTCAATTGTGTGGAATATTAAAGTGAAGCTATTTTTCTTTCAGAATATCAGAGATCTTCTGTAAGTCTGTCTTCTATATAAAGCAGTGCTTGAAGAGTTCACTTATCTTTGTAAAGATGATATAGACTAGAGAAGAAAGAGAAGAAAAGAAGAGAAAGAGAAAGCAAGAGAAAGCTCTCTCTTAAGCTAGTATTTATTATCTAATAGTGACACAGGGCTAGCAAGAACAATAGAGACTCTCTATACATTGTTGTGTTATTGAGTTCTGTTGTGTTATTAGAGTTGTGTTGATATCACATCTCTAGTAAGACTGTACTCTTTTTCTTATAAGGAAATTTTTATTTTTCTCAAGAGGTTTTTTGTTTTTCTACTCATGAAGATTTTTAATGAGACAGCTGCCTTGAGAGATCAAGACTTATAAGAGAAAGGAATCTGTAAGAATTCATCATGAATCTCTTATATAGATGAACAGTATCTGTAAGAGCTAGAGGCCTCAGCTTGTGAGCTGCTGGGAGTTGCATGTGTTCTTGTAAGGCACTAAGTCATGTGCTTGCAAGCACACATAAAAGACTGTCACTGTGCAAATCTCTTGCTGGGAGCCAGTGGCAATCTTGTTTACAAGTTGTATATAGTTGCCAGAATACAGATCTTTTACCTCATGTACTCTTTTTCCATGTATATTCCTTCTAGAGATTCATTGTCATGCTGATCCACATGTACAATCCTCACAAGATCAGATTGAACAGGTTCTCTTGAGAAAATCTTCTCCAGCATTCTCACCAGCTTTTGTTGTGTGGCAAGGGAATAAATCTCAGGTAGTAGTGGATCTTCAAAAGATAAACAGCCAACTAATGCCAGACACCTACCTATTGCTCTGACAAGACACTATTTTGATGGCTCTGGAAGAAGCAACTGTTTTCCCCTCTCTCAACATCACCTAAGGATTTTTTCAGATTCTGATTGCAATAAAGAACCAATGGAAAACAGCTTTTGTTTTTTCACATTACAGCCATGAGAGATTAAAGATCTTCACAATAAGGCTTGCAAATTCTTCCCCCTTCTTTCAACATTTCATGGAGGGGACTTTAAAACAATATTTGTGGAAGTTCTTGTTTATGTCAATGACATTATCATCTACTTCCAGTCTCTGGCTGACCATCTGAGAGATCTTGACAATGCTCTCTCTTCTCTTGAGAAAACAGGTATTACTCTATCAATTCCAAAATGCCACTTTGCTTATTCTTCAGTTAATCTTCTTGAATATCATGTTTTGCAACTTGGCCTCTCTACACAACACTCAAAAACTGAAGTGATATGGCAGTTGGCTTTCCCCAAAACTTTACAGCAGCTCAAAACAGGCCTTGGTATGTTTGATTATTACAGGAAATTTGTACCTTACTACACAGCAATCATGGAGCCCTTGCAACAGCTTAAAACAAGAGATTTCAAAGATTCTCCTGAAAAAGAAAACCCTTGCTGCTGTTTTGCTACCCAACAACTACATTCTCTTGAGAATGGGAATCCTGTATTGTTTCAGAAGACAACAGAGGCATGAAAGAAAATAAAGCATTGCATTACCACTGCATCAGTACTAAAGTTTCCCAACTTTAAGAAGTCTTTTGTCTTGCATTGTGATGGGTTGAAAGAATGAGATTTCAGAGTGGCAATTCATCAGATGGATGAAAATGAAGTGGAGCAACCAGTGCTATTTCTTTCAAGAGCATTGAAGAGCAATAAGAAGCTTTACAGATCAACAGAATTGGAAGCAGTGGTACTTGTGTGAGCACTACAGAAAGTACAGCAATTCTTTGACTTTGGGAACTTTACAGTTGTCACAGATCATGACATCTTGAAATCTGTCTTGCAAACAACCCCAGTTGAAAAACAACAAAACTTACAGCTCAACAAATAGTTCTTGTTTCTGTTGCAATACCAACCTCAAATAAAAATCAGATATTGCAAAGGTGCTGACCACAAGAATGTCAACACTCTATCTAGACTACCACACATGACAGACATAGCAGTGATGCCTGTTGTGACCATGTTTGAGCTCAGTGATAACTTATGCATCTCTATAAAGGATGGACTTCAAAATGACCCCCACTTACAAAAGATCTATATCAAGCTGCTACAAACTTCTCCTGGAACAGACTATTTGTATCATGGTTTCTGGAGAGATCATTGTAATCTTCTTTTGTTTCACAGCCACAATGACAACCATCTATGCATCTCAAGATCACTATACACACAATTTCTTTGACAGGCGCATGATAACAGTATCTATAATAGTATTGAACACACATATAAACATCTAAGACAAGCAGTTTATTTCCCAAGAATGTGTGACATTGTTACATCTTATGTTAAGGAATGCCCCATATGTCAGGTTTCACAGCCAGCCAACCACTCACAGTATGGCCAGCTACACCCAATACAATCTGCAAATCAGCCTTTTGCATCTCTCTCAATAAACTTCATCACAAATCTTCTACAAGCTCTGACTGAAAACAACTGTCTTCTGATCATTACAGACAAATTTACAAAATATATTTGTTGCATTCCAGATAAGCTTCAAGACACAGCTAAAACTTGGGCCACCTGCTTCTACAGTGAGATATATCACCACTGGGGGTTACCCAAAAAACTTATTTCAGATAGAGATAAGAAATTTCTCAATATATTCTGGACAAGTTTTTTCAAGCTCTTGAAAGTTGATCTTTGTTTCACAACAGTCTACCATCTGTCAGCAGATGATCAAGCAGAAAGAACAAATCAGGCTCTTGAAATTATGCTATAATGTCTTCTAGCAGGACTACCAGAAAACAAATAAGAAGACATGCTGCCAGAAATTGAATTTGACATCAATACACTTTGCCACACATCCACAGGCAAAACTCTATTCAAAATGCTATATGGAGTCCATCCTAAGAGTGGTATATTACCAGAAAGAATCCAGCCAGAGACTGATCAACATGCTTCAAGTTTTCTAAATGCTTGTGATGCTCTTCACCAGCAAGTTGCAGATATCATACACCTGGCACAAGCTCAAATGTTAATATATTTTGATGCCCAACACAAACCCATCTCACTTTCTGAAGCAGCTTACCTTCACCTCACAAGAAAAGGCAACAGAGATTATTATCTATCAGAAAGCACTGCTCTGTCCCTCATTTGGGCAGAGTCTTTTTAAATTATTGAGAAGATTGGTGATCTTGCATTACAAGCTTGATCTTCCCATGTGGTACAGCAATATACACCCAGTGATATTAGTAATTCATCTAGAGCAAGCACCTGCAGATGCATTTGGGTGACCCCCCATGGAGCCACCCCCCCAGCTTATTGACAGGATCATATAGTATGTCATAAAACAGATCATTAATGACAGAATTGTAGATGGAAAACACTGGATGAAAGTCTTATGGAAAGGAAATACAGAGCTGTCATGGGAATCTCATGATAATCTCCTAATGGATTGCCCCCATGTTGTACAAGCTTATGAAAGGCTTTGCAGGCAAGCTAGAATCAAAAGACATGCCTCTTGAGGTGAAAGACACTTCAGATGAAACACGCCAGGACAGTGCAATGAAACACACTGGGACAGCACTCTTACAGACCCCCGGTAACTGTCATGTGTCCAGCTGAGTCATAGTTAGTTAGGTAGCATTAGTAGCTCACGAGCACCGTGGCACTTAGAGAAATCAACCAAGTTTACATCTCATGTCGTGCCATAGCCCAACAAAATGTGAGAAAATTGAATGAATGATATTAATGCAGATCAGCTTCTGACCAATGAATATGATCAGCAATCTTTCAAATTAATTAATTAATTATATCACTCCACCAAACCAGCTGTCTTATTAGCAGCTATCCAGCTGGAGCAGATTGCCTCATCCAGCCATATCTTAATTAAATGACATGGTCTGGACATGCAAGACAGAAAGGAAAAGCCTCTGTGTACTCCATGTATTGAGGACATGGTTCCATTCAATGAGGCCATCCTGTCAATTCAGGAGAAAAAATTCTGGCTTGGGTTCAAGCAGATCCAAGTGTGCCTGAACAATACCCTTGGTCTTTTTCATCAGTGGCTCAAAATTGAGAAATGGTTGGTATCTCATGCAATGTCAACAAGAGAGTGAAAGCTTGCCAAAGCAGACATCCAATTATTTTGTTGTGTCACCTGGGGCTGGTAAGCCAATTTGAGATATGTCAGCTCCAACCCATCTGAGTTATTCATCAAATTGTTGGCATGCCTTATTGGCCAGAAGTAGCCTTGCATAATGCTGCTGAGCTCAGCTCAACTGGAAGCTGTCTCTTCCTTGACCCCGAGGGACTGCTGTGGCTTTTCACGCCACGCGACACTAACTACACATGCAGACCTACTTCAATGGACTCGTGTTTTAAAAGGCGTACATCACCATTCAGTCATATCTCATCCACGATATCTATTGGAATCTAATAAATATTTACTATTGCAATCATAACTTTATCATTCCATTGGGAGTCTTAACAGCAGGTTACTGATGAAAATGCCTGTAACCCTTCCAATACACCAAAAAATACTTCTGCGGTGTTCACGAACCCTGCCATCGCCACATCTCCGTTCAGACAGGCCGGATCGACGATAACCGTTTTACTCTGCATTCCCCTTCGTACAAAGTATTGCCCATTGTGCAAAGACCAATCATTCCTCAGAGATTTCTGGAGTTGTTTGGTTGCGAATTCTCGAATATCTTTGAAAAATGCGGGCGTAGTTGATAATTTATTGCCAGTGAACTCAATGTAATCAGGCGCTCTGGCGGCGGACGGATCGAAGAGCGAAGACACAGCGAAGAGGATGAATTGTTTGAAGTAACTCACGTACAACACCAATGGAATGGCACTCTCTGAGATGCGGTAAAGGTAATCGATGAGTGGTAGAGAGGCAAGAATCGTTTCCAAGAATGAGATGAGTGTGAGTAGGACTGACGCTTCCTCGAGGAGTCCCGGATGATCAGTTAGGAGTCGGAGTGCATGGTCCACGGAGACGAAGTAAGCGAGTATGCATTCCACAATGAGAGAGATATACCGATGATGTGCTGTGTCCACGTCTAATAATAGATCCAAGAATATACGGCTGGTCGACTGTAATAATGGTCGTACTAAAATCCAGCCGACTGGATTGCTAAAAGCGTTTTCAACGTAGGCAGGAAACACGCATTGTAAGAGAAACGAACGAAGATATGGTTGTCCATGATCTTTTTCACTGTACGTGTGGTGCATCGCTTTATAAACCTGGTCCACGAGATAAACCTGGTGGCCATCCACCGCTGCTCGCTCGGATACGTTCTGAACAAACATAACAAGCTGTTTCGCAATTTTAACAACTGACAAACGAGTACCATAGCTCTTGATCTTGGCAACCACATAAGTCGGGTCAGAAGCAGGGAGCGGAAATGTGGTTGGGTCCATGAAAAATTCGTCTATGGGGCATATACTCTGAGAATGTTGTTGCAAGAACTCGACTACCCGGTGAACAAAGCCCACATAGGAACCATGGCCTGAGCCATTGGGACTTCCAAGCTCCTCATAGTTCCGCCGCATTTTGGCCATTAAAGTTCTAATTATCTCACAGTATTCGCTGCGCAAGTACACGTCGGGCTGATTCCTTTCCTCGAGCTTGGTTAGGTGCTCCCGCATATTCGAGAGAAGGCACGAGAGAAGTGATATTCTCCTCTGGCAAAACTCATCCAATGATATGGCATATCGCTCACTCGCTTTATGCACTGAAAACGGCAAGTTGTCCAAGAGAGGATCCCTGTGGCACCCGTTGAGGATAGCAGTGGTCAAGCTATGCTGAAATTTAAGCAACGAACCCCTTTCTACTAACGATTCGATCCAGTGGTTGAATATTCGAGATCGGCATTCAGAAAGGGCACCAGAATCTTTACAAATGAGGCTTGCAAGGAAATATGGCATAAACCTCCTTGTCTGGTCGGTCATTCTCAGGGATGCCCAAGATTCTCCATCATAGAGGTTAAGGTAACTATCCCATTGTCGCAATCGATGTTTGACAAGAACATTTGCCACCTCTACCCATGTATCTATTGCAGTCGTGAGCAGAGAATCGTCGGGCGTCTGGTCCTCTCCGAAGACACGCGATACAAATCGAGAGAGCGCAGGCCGAATAACAGTGTCTATGTAGGTAATCGCAGGGTCCGCTACGTTCATCTGCTGATCGTATATTTCTTCAAATCCGGTCCAATCACCATAATCTTGACTGTCCTCACTAGTATCAACAGACACCTGGGACCTCTGGGTCTGGCTTCCCATGGCTGTATAAGCATGCAACAACTCTAAGGTTTGGCACACAACTCCGTTCAGCCGCCTCACTGATGGATTGAACAAGCCCAGCAGCTTCTCGATAGGAAGCTTCTCCATTAATATCATAGCGTGAGACATAGTCGTGGCTGTCTCCAGCGCTTTCTTCATGCCAGTTAGAGCGCTGTTGATGAGGGACTCTATTTGTCTCTGATTTTTGGTGATTGCATTTTCAATGGATTGGCGAGCGAATGTAGAAGCCAGGACAACTGCATTCTCCAGTTCTGTCCGAGCAAGCGAGTGTTGCTTCAGCATTTCCACAGTAAAGTCGCTATGCCAATTGGCAAACTCCATAAGACCTGATCCTTCCTCTCCTGTGGACAATTTGAACCTTACCAGCCTAGACCAGGCATGAATATTAATACTGCACGCTTCTTTATGAGACGTTGCGGGATGTACTAAATGTCGAATGGTTTCTGGACGTGGTCGGCACCCGTCCGGAACTGACCAATAAAGTGTACATAGGAGATCATGATGATTTCGCAGAGCGTCAAGATCTTCTTCACGCAGAGGCTGGTCCTTTGGATAAACTCGGCCGTGGTTTGGTAGCAGACGCCAGGCGATATTTCGGATCTTCTTTTTATCTTGGAACGTAGTCATGGAACGTAATGCCGTTGCAACAATTTTTAAAAATATGTGGAAACAAGTGTCACTTGAATCGACATCGAGGGCTGGCGACTTATCAAGGTCGTTAAGGAAGGTCGGGGATCCATATGTAGGTTCATTTCGGAGGTTGTGGAATAAATTCCGTGCAAAGAAATCGAAGAGGTTTTCAAGTATAGGAATGCAATGTTGCCATCCCCACCCTTTTATTAAATGGAAGCAGCGATGAAAAAGCGCTCTAACATATCTATTGAAGGAGGGGCTTTGCCCACCACCATCAAGTTTATATATCTCAAAGACCTTTGATATCAATTGAGCGACGACACCCCAGTGACTCTGGCAATCTTTGAATCGGAGGCCCACTCGGAAAATTCCTAATTCATCAAACTCTTGGAGAGGCAGGAGTGAAAATAAGCTTCGCCAGATCCTTTCTAAATCTCGAATATCTTCGAGGCACCGGTCGAGAGCCAATGCCCAGAGACCTTTTGAAACAGGGTCACTGGCCATTGGTTTTGTGGGTTGAACCTGACCGTAAATAATGCGTCGAGTCACAAGGTATGCATCCACAAGGGGGTATTCCTGTCGAATTCCTGCCTCTCTCTTCTCTAGACGCTTGTTTTCCTCGAGAAACTTTCTGATGCAATATGTTCCGGAGTCACTTAGCAGCATTTGAAGAACACGACTAGCAAAGTCGCTCATCACATTACCGATTTCAAGCGCTTTTCTCGATGCAATAAGTTCGTGCGATGCAATTTGTTGGATTTGATTCGCAAGCACCAGGTTGAACATTTCGATCTGAACACTGTATTCAAGCTCTTCCAAATTTTCGATGTCAGGGGTATATGATCGAGTCCCATCGCGTAATATAGAAAGAATAGACAAGCACCTCTCAACACAAATTTTCCTATCAACGGGGTCGCTAAAACTAAGTGTATCGCTGGCAAACAGGATGACAGATCTGTAAAGTTGTAATAGTTGCGTTCTGTGCGAAGGAGAGCTAGCCTGTGCATGGTCATGCCTTGCACCAGACCTCGTCGGGGTGACCACGATTCTCTCCAGCAAGGTCCCAAGTTCGGAAGATAATGTATCATTCCATGTACCCCATCGATAGACATGATTACCATCGAATATAGTAGATTGACCGCAATTCCTATCAAGATCCCGAGATAACAAGTTCAATGACCGGGCGAACTCACCGCTTCCAATAAAAGTAGACTCGTGGAAATAAGTGCCAGCCTGGAGAGGGAACGTGTCGAAGTCAACGGTATACCATTGTAGCGTTGGATGAAGGCCTCTTAAAGGCCGGGATTCGCCTATCTCAGCAGATTTCACAGAATCCGCTGGAACCACATTGAAGTCATGTTCAAGAGGTTGACGATATTCAACCGCCTCCGAATCGATGTGTTGAGGTCTTCGCTTCCTTGGCTCTCTGGGCAGGGAGATGTTAGTTTTAGGGAATAGCGTTTGGGTTATGCTTTTGCCGCCCTTAGGTGGAAGTATGGACTCGGTTCCCCTAGGCATTGGGCGACCGTTTCGGGAAAGGAATCTTGCTAATGGAAGTCGATCATTTCTGTTCAGCTGTCTATAGTCCGCATTCAACGTGGAGAGCGTCTTTTGGAAGGAGAAAGAAGCGCCTCCGCCACTAACATATGCTTTGGAGCTGCTGTCCATTTCCACTGGCCTTGGAACACGTCGCTTAAAAGAGGAAACAACGAATCCATGGCGAGGTAGTCGGCTTTGTTTGGCTTTGGGTGTCGTTGCTGGCCGACTTCGTACCGAATCCATTTCATGTTGGTGGAATGTCCGGTCGATATTTTCTCTACCAATCACAGCAGCATCCAGACGGTTAGAGGGAGAATCGCCCATTGGTACATCAAGAGAATCATTAACGTCGCTAGGGCCACGCTGAAGAAGCGTAGGATCGGAATTGCTCCGTATTTGTAAACCTGGGCATTCTTTCGTGCTTTCCCAACTGACAAGGCAATTCTGTGCTATCGTCCCGTTTCTCCATGCACGTAGCGTTTCGTTAATATCTTGCGTGTCATCCCTATTGCCCAATCGGAAAAATTTGCGGCTCTGACTTTGTCGTGCATAATTGCGCCTTCTTCGGGCACAACGAGCCGCAACCCGGAGGAACTGGGGCTGGCAATGTGAAGGTCTGTTTTTGAGATCCGGAGCATCAAGTATACCTAGTCTAGGTATCCTGGGGACCTTGTTTTCTGACCGGTCTCGCCTACTTATAGTATCGGTAATCCTTGCCTGTCGCCTGGGTTTGCGGGTTGAGCCTTGGGTTCTCCTAGAAGTAGAATTATTTTCTCTTTTCCTGCCCCCCTTAGGGCCTAATGACACGCGTTTATCGGATGATATATAATGACGCGGCGCAGGATACATGTAATCAATTCGATTGTCTTCCGGAATATCAGCTTCGTCGTCTAAATCCATCACGAGACTCTCCAGTCCGTTGGGCCGTCTGGAGGTTGTATTCGAGTGGTAAGAAGGCTTCACGGATCCCACGAGCTCTACATCAGAGCCAGAATCGTCAGATATCAGAAAGGCAGTTGCACGGGAGCCACCTGTATTGATCCTCTCATTGCCAGTTCTAGATATTTTTCGAGCAATACCCTTGGCATTTTCTCGTTGACGGTTGGCGAATTTCAATGCTTCCTTTCTGGATGCCTCTTTGGCTTTCTTTTCCTGTTCTTGAAGATCAAGTCTTAGCCATGAGGCGGGAAGGACGCCCTTAATTTTTCGCCTTATTCTTCTTAATTCGGTAGACTCCGCTTCTGAGGTCTCTGGAGTGGAGTCACTGTCGGCCTGCTGAACCGTTTCAATGTCATTTTCTGATTCGGCTTCTGACAAAAGCTCCGCAAAAATGGTCTGTACACCGTTCGACCTTGAGCGTGTCTCCGTGGTTGGGGTGGCAACGGTGGGGGGTGTCATTCCAGGAGGAAAGCGAAACTCATTTGCATCTCGTGGACTTTGAAATGATTGTGCAGACGAGAGGCTGCCAGAAGGCGGTGGTGAGAGAGGTACATCAAAAATACTGGTTCCTTGAGAACGGCTAATAATATTATCGACCACAGCGACCTGGTCCTGGCTGGATGAAACCTGGACAGTGGCCCTGGCTTCTTCGTTGCTATTTGAAATTTTGCGGCGTTTATTGCTTTGCCAGGCTTTATCGTTTCGTTCTGTTCTGGAAGAGCCGTATGTTTTTCTGCTGTACTTGCGAATAACGACTTGAGGTTGGTTCGACGAAGGACATAGCGGAGGACGTCTGGTATCGGTCGGTTCTACTGGTCCAGGAGACGAGGGTGGGAAATGGAAAGAAACGTCCGGACTGCTTGAAGGCAGAGCGTTTGCATCTTGATAGAGCTGGTTTTGACTCTCATCTGAATCCTTTTGAGGTGCATGGTCAACGATGTTGACACGGACGGGTTGTAAGCCTCTTGCTTTTAGCAGCCTTTGATACTGAGCATTTTCCAAAAGGTATGGATGCAATTGGATAGCATTTCGTTGTCTTAAAGACCTGCCGTGATGCCCATGAATACCTGGAAGAATATCGTCGGGTATTTCTTCGAGTTGTATAACGTCTTCCTTTGGATGTTCTTCGACCGTTGCAGCTCGACTCTGGTCCAATTGGGCGCTCTTGGTTGACCACGGGAAGGTGATCGTGGATGGGGGAGACGAAAGGGATGAGGACCCGTCTCCGTCACCATCAAGATCATCATTCAACGTTGTGAAGGCCTTAACAATATGTCTGGCCGGGGCTCTGGCTGGTAGATGCTCGTCAAAGTGTAGTTCGTCCGGCGATGAGGGAGGTTCACTCTGCTCAGACCTAGTAAAACTGGCTTGTAGACGGGCAATGTTCGAATCCTTATTCGCCGTTGTTGATCGAGCAAACAGCCCAGTATCGCCTTGTAATGGGTCATCATCGTCTAATTCCTCGAGTTCAGGCCCCCGAAGAATGTCCAGTTCATCCTCGTCATCAGAGTCGGGGACGTAGCCACGCTCCCGCCATTGTTCCATTTGTAACAACCCATTTCTTTATCTCGTCATTCCAGAGTACGTGATGGCGATGTTGAGGATGTGACATTCAAATTGCTCTGATTTCCCTCAATGCTGTTGGGGACGCGTTTGAAGACGCGCCGGCACTATCAGGAATTGATGATCGCGTTTTCATTTGCCAAGACCTGATTTATTACATAATAAAACTAGTTGATATGATGGACAACCGACTGAGCTACCCAAAGGGGGATTTCATCTAGCGAGCCGTGAACGGCCGAAATTCTCCAGTGCTGCGGACAGTTGCGCTGCCGTCGAACGCGAAGCAAGCCCTCTCTGGGATCAAAGCAAAGGCAAGATGAGACTGTCGCCCGGTTCACTAAATGGTTAGCTAATTAGCTACAGGAGGAACTAGTGCGGCTTTCGGCCGCCGCTACAGCTAGTAATGGCACGAGGCAGCGGACTTTTCCCTGTCGCCCTGGCTGTGGGCTTCGGCATTCTGAATGGTAACTACACATGTACCCGCCGAATCACAATTTCAGTATCTACTCCGATCTATGAGGATTGATCGTTGCTCCTTATAGGATATATCGTTTTCCAACCGGCTTATGCGGATCGCGAGGCGAAAAAATTCCAACAATCCCAGTTAGTTTATCCTTTCACTGAGACTCTCCGGCAGAAGCACAGCAAGAGGGGAAGAAAAATGGAAATATCTTAGGCCTGACAGAACACACCTTCATACAGTCAAGGTAGCACCTACGGAGTTAAAGAAGCCGCGTTATCTACCAATACCGAGATGTCCAGCCTTACAAGCCAATCGACGTCCGACTCCGCGTCGACGAGTACAGAATCCCCGAAAACCTCCTCATTGGAAAATACCAGTAGTTGGTGGAGTAGAGGGAAGACAAATGAGGATTCGAGCACAACTTCCTAGGAATGAACAAGAATTTCTAAAGAAAATGTTGGGAAGTTTGAACAAGCCGCTTGCGGCTGGATTGGAGAGCATTTGACTAGCCATTACTGCACCACCAGCGGCATGCGTGCGCTCGCCGAAAAGGCTCCATACAGGAGGCCATTAGGTTCATAGAGGCTGCCATTCGGCCATATGCTACGCAACAAGCGGCTCTAACCAGGTACAGGATTATCTTTGAATCCTGATGCCTGAAGGAAGAGACGAAAGGGGAGAGAAAGAGTTGAGAACGGATGGCCCTATTGCTCCTCTCGACATCGTTGGACACCAAAGAGCTGCCAAATATGCGCAGCCTACATTGTATCATAGATGTAGATCATAGACAGGTGATCAGTTTTAATAACCGAAACGTGTGTACTCCGTACCGTACATACTATCACCTCGTCACATCCATATACTCGAGCCAATTTCCATCGTTTCCGCTAGATTAATATAGTACAGCAGCCAAATAAAACCAGACACAGATGCTCAACAATATAGCAAGTAGACGGATGTTGCATAATCTCATAGTTCCTCCACAAGTCTACCATGTCCCTGGCCACTAGGGACTGCGGTACGGCTTCCAAAGACTAGGCCGGCAGGTGTCCCAAGCCACTCGTTTGGTACGCCCAGCCTGCAGCCATCTCTGTTCATGACATATCGCACCATAGTAGGCTCGGGTTGAGAGCCTTCCTCAGCCTCTTGAACCCGTGGAGAAGCCTCTCCTGCCGTTTCTGCAGCGCTAATTTTGCCTCGACGTTTCGGTGCCTGCTTTTTGAGTAGCTTGTTGATAGTATCCATCTAGAAAGCCCGTCAGCACACAGCCTAGTTAAGAACTCTCGCTAGTTCAATGATGCTTACTTTTTCTTCTTCGTTACGTTTCTCGCTGAGGTTCTTCCTCCGTCGTGCCATTTCAGCGCGGCGCATTGCGTGCTCCTCCGCTGTCAAATGCTTTTTAACTTGCGGTTCTATCGTTATCACAATTTTATCAGTTTTCCGCTAGTGCAGTGTAATTCTTCGAACAACCTACTTACCCATAGGCAATTGCAAGAAGTCCCCATACTGTAAGCGCTCTCTTTGACGTTTGGTCATTCTGCTAGTGTAGCCTGGCGAGCTTGCGCGGCTGGCTTCCATCGGAATGGCAATTTCATCCTCTTCATCTTCTTCCTCCATCTCTTCATCCTCTTCTTCTTCAACCTCCTCTTCGTCCTCTCCTTCTTCTTGGAGAATGGTGTCTTCACCTTTTTCCGCTTCAGGCTCTGAGCCCAATTCAGAGAGCTCTTCGTCGTCATCGTCGTCTTCTTCCTCTAAATCAACATTCCTGGCTTCGACGTTTCTCACCTTAGCTGCTGCTACCGGAGTCACGGTGACAGTTGGTCTCGACCGATGGTGGTGAGAAACTGGGGGGACATCATCCATATCGATATCGCCTTCAGCATCAACGTCCGGATCAGGATCACCTTCAGCGTCGATGTCTTCGTCCGCTTCAGCATCTGCATCATCGTCATCATCCTCCTCCTCTTCGTCATCTTCTTCATCTTCTTCATCTTCTTCATCTTCTTCATCTTCATCGACATCATTCGCTGCATCATCACCATCATCATCATCATCTTCTTCTTCTTCTTCTGCTTCTATAGCAGATTCCAGATCATCATCTTCTTCGTCGCTATCAACCTCGACAATTTTCTTTTTAGATCGACTGCTTCTTGGCCCAGTGATGACCACTGGCTCCGTAAATATATTGTGAGGACGGGCGTCTGCGCTAGACGTGACTTCACGGAGTTTGCTGGCTGGCATTTTTACTGTTAAGCGAATCGACCTCTTGGTTTCTTCAGGTGGGCTTGATGGCGATCGAGAGACCGTAACTGAAGGGGAAGACTGTATTCCTCCCGTGGCTTTCTGTGGCCTTGACATGCTACCCGCGGAAGGCGCGTTGCTTGGTGTTTTGGTCAGCGCAGCTCGCGAGCGGAGGGTACGACCAGAAGTCATGGTTTTAGATCTCAAGCTGTGACACAGTGTCTGGAAGATTTACACAATGCAAAATAGGAAATTCAAAAGAACTGGAAAGGAGGCGACAAAGAGACAGGGCGCAAGGGCCTCAAAATTGAGAGAGTGGCGAAATCATTTACAAAAGCTGACGGGACTGACAAAAGGAGCAAAATGGGGAAATTGGCAATATGGTGAGGGTGAGGTTCGCTTCATGGAAACAATAGCGAGGTAGAAAGATTTGCCGGGAAGTGACAGCCATCCTCGTTGGATGCTGATGCTCCAGAGGTGGTATATGCGTTAACGCATCCACCGTGTCTCATTGGTACAAAGCCCAATGACCGTCGCATGATGCTGATGCTACCTCTCATCTCTCTAGCGACAAGAAGAGCCTTGTCTGGACCCTTGCATGTGCAGGTGCTCCATTCGCCTTCAGAATAGGTATGAATTGCCAGGATCTCCAGGTTTCGAAAAATAAATGAAGGCCGATATTGGTAGTCCAGAGAATGGCCCGACGGGGAGGAATTTTCCGGACCAGAAAGCTCATGGAACTTTTGGTGCAAATAAGAATAATAAGACTTAACTTACCGACTGTTGCTTGGGGTCTGTGGTTGCCAATCGTCACTGCTTTCGCCAGCGTCGTTTGGAGTCGAAATATGGTGGTACGGAGGCACGTCCGTACCGTCTTCCTGTTGGCGAAGACGCTTGACTGGCCGTTCTGCCATGGATTTTGAACTCAGCGGTGCCAATATCAAGCTCAAGTCGGGCCTCGCCACGTTATGCAAATGTCCTTGGGCGACCAACAAAATTGGTTGGATGCGTCTCCTCCCGCCGCTTTGGTCGCTAGTCGTTTGCTGAAGCCAACCAGGTGGTGGAGGTTACTTCAAAGGCCCAGCTATCCAAAATCAAAAGGAAAAGATATGAGTTTCCTCAACCTGCTCTTTTATAACAAAAAAGTAAGATCTTTTGTCAAGCTTTAATTGTCGATTTCTGATGCACACGACAGACATCGCTTGCCGTCAACGTTGGAGCTGGTTGGGATGATAAATTACACGATGATGCAGAGGTATTTAGTACTTCAATGTACAATTTTTTATTCGCAAATCGGAGGTATACAGTACTTCTTATTGTTGTGTACTCCGTAATATCCATACGTCTCTCCTGGTGTGAACTCCGCGGGACTTACGGCCTCAATACACGCTGTTTCCGATGCATGACATAAGCAGCCGAGGTAAACTCTCCTCGTTCAAGTGATCGCGCCGTGAAATCATAAATGCACCGAATCCAGGACTCCTGATGCTGCCGGCTTGAAATCATTTCATTAGATGTTCTTGAGGATTCAGTTTTGAAGAGCCGGTATGCCTGATCCGAAGACTCCCTCCATTCCGAGCTGGCAACTGGCCGCAAACCGTGCCGCGAAAACCCAGGAGGATACTCCTCCAAGCTCCCCTAACGAGAGCCCATCAGCAGATAAGGAGACCTTGCTCGAGCAAGCATCGCAATTCTTGCAGGATGAGTCGATACGTAATGCTCCTACGGATCAGAAAACTGCTTTTCTTGAGTCCAAAGGCCTAAAACAAGACGACATCAAGAAACTTCTCGGTGTATCGACGCATCCAGAGGCGGCAGAGGACAAGAAAGAAGAACCGGCAGCCACAAGTCCAACTTCAGAGGAGCAATTTACATCGTCTAAGAAGCCCACGTCTGAGAGTCCCCCCATTTCTTCGTCTTCGACACTACAGCAGAATTCTGCTCCCACTCGCGATATTCCCCCAATAATAACCTATCCCGAATTCCTCGCCCAGGCTTCAAAGCCCCCTCCGCTCGTAAGCCTCCAAACGGTCCTATATACGTTATATGGCGCTGCGGGTCTCGCATCTACTATGTATGGCGCAAGCGAATTTTTAATCAAGCCCATGATTGCCTCCCTTACCGGCGCGCGACATGAACTTGCAGAAACAGCACAACGAAACCTTGAAACCCTAAACGAGAAATTAGAATTAAACGTTTCTACAATACCTCCAGCGGCAATGAAATCACGAAAACACGCATCGTCGGACGAGGGAGAGGCGGGAGAAGCAGATTCAATCACCTCAGACCCAACAGAGCTTTTCCACAGGGACATCGCTACCCAAACCAGTCCAGAACTCGAGAACCCCCCTTCGACGTTACCGAAACCAGACTCTCTCACGGAATCCCAAAAGGCACTAGACACCCACGTCTCCCGCCTTAGCTCCATATCCTCCCAGCTCAACGACATCCTCTACGCCGAAATGCAAAACGATCTCTCGATCAACAACGTCAAGGACCGTATTTCCAACTTGCAGACCTACCTTGATAGCCTAGCGTACAGCTCCCCATCCTATCTAAGTTCGTCTTTGTATGGAACGTATGGCGATGACTCAAAGGGGGATAAGCAGGGCATGTCAAGTGGAGAAGCGGATGCAATAGCCGCATTCAGAGCAGAGGTCAGGAGCGCCAAAGGTGTTTTGTTGAGCGCAAGGAACTTCCCGGCCGGAGTACGCGGGGGCGTCCGTGGGATGACGAGAAGTGCGACTGCTTCGCAGGGTGCGTGATCACGTTAATTATAACTATGTCTGGATGGTGTTTGGTTTCGGTTTTTCAAGGAATATTTTACGGATCCGATCTGATGTACTATTTCCAATATACCATTCGCTATTTTTGTCGACAGTACAATCTATTATATGTAGAACAAGGCATCGCATCGCAAAGGTTAACCAATACAGTGTCAATTCATACTTCCGTCGCGGCGCTGATTATCTCACGGATAACGACACCTAAATTGAAACAATTTTGCAATTCCATATATCTCATCTATGCTCGTCCACGTTACCTGGGAGAGACGAACCGGGTCCTAAAGATAGCAAAATTTCAAAGCCAAAAAAATTAAGTAACAAAAGCGGAAGTGCAAGACCACATAGGTGCCAGCGGTAAAATGTCCCGATTATGGGGTCGCCCTGCTCATGCCAATCAGGCGCTTCACACCAACCTAAACATGACACAACACATTAGAATCGTGCGTCGTAGAGAAACGGATAAGCGAGAAGCATCTGACGAGCCTGAAGAGGACCTACCATCCAGTTTCCACATTCATCAGTCTTGTTGGTTAAGATGTCCAAGTGAATTGCTTGCGCAGTTTCATAATCCTTTACTTGAATCGCATGGGCGAGTTCGGCCATACTTTCAATGGTGCTAGGCTGCAAGAGATCTTCATTGTTGAGGTGGTCAAACAAAATATTCAAGCGGCGCTCTGTATCGTTGACCTGAGCTTTGAAGGCTGCTGGTGCGCGGGCCTTAACACGCTGCATGTCGGAAGAGAGGATTTCGTACATAGGTTGAGCGTTCGCCGGGATGTGAGATCGGTCACCAGGTGCTACAATGGACGTTAGGAACTTGAATATATAGAACGGTAGTTGTTAGAAGACCTACGATATTTTTGAGCGGGGGGTGCCTTTTGTTGCGACTGGGCAGTACTTGGCCGGGATCCTTGTTGAGAAACTGGAGGTGGTGGGACTTGCGGACCGGTTGGAGGAGGTGCGTAGGGACTTTGCGCTGGTGCTTGCTGAAATGGCTGTGGAGCATATGGCCCTGGAGGTGGTGGCATAGATGAGTGGGGTGGAGGTGCGATTGGAGGCTGTCCATGCAGTTGACCGGTGGGCTGGGATACCTGGGCCGGAGCATACCGATTCGTGGGTGGTGGAACGGTGGGTGGCGCATTATATGGCGAAGGTCCACGGGGGATTGGAGGAGGTACGGCCATTCCTGGGCTTGTTTGTTGCGCCAAAGGAGGGGAATACACATGAGTACGGGATGGGGGTCGTTCCGTCGGTTGCAAACCATGAGGTATTCCGGCGGTGGAAGGGGACGCCATTCGCGGCGGAGCCGGGCCCTTAGGAGGTGGAGGGAGAACGCTATCCCTCGGTGCAGGCATGGTGGAAGGCGGAGGGGGCGTTTGGGATCCCGGTTGGGTTAGGGATGGTGTGTTCGGGAACGGCGAGCTAATCACAGAGCTACCTGTCACCGGCGTACTGCGACGCGGAGTTGCAGCCCTTCCAAAGCCTTCAGGAAGATCATTCCAAGCAGGTATATTCGTTGCTCGAGTATATGGGGCAGCTACCGAGGGAGACTGACTTGAAGCTCTTGGAGGCGGCGCAAGACCTGCTGGTCCACTTTGAGGTGGTGGAGCCAGCGGCTGGGGAGGAGGAATAACATTTGATTGCCGTGGCTGCGGCGGCTGGTACCCAGTAGTAGGCGTGTAAGTCGTGCCTCCAGCTGAGGTGTAACTAGTAGTAGTTGTAGGGGCATATGGGTTAGTCGGTTTTGACAAAGCTGGAGGTGCAAACTGGTTGACCGATCCCGGTGCCGGGCCCTTATGTGTTGGAATTTGAGCTGGCTGGAAAGTACCAGTCAGTGTCGGCGCAGTAGGCGGGCGACGAGGCGCCGGCGCACGGCCTGTTGCTGCTTTGGAAGCAGGCTTCTTTGTTGCAAACTGAATCCGGCTTCTAGCAACCTCTGCTTCTGGGTACGATGCTGGTAACAGATCAAGGTACTTTTCAGCCACGTCTAAACGACCATGGGACGCCACTACATCAGCATATTCCAGGTATTTCTCGTATAGGGAGCTGAGCTTCCAATCCGAAGACTTCTGTCGCTCCGGATCTTGGAATTTCGACACGTGACGGAATACGGTCACTTTTTCGATGAAGCTCTGAAGAGCACGAACATGAATCGAGAAGCTCGTGTCATCAGTCGCGTTCTGGATGCTATAGGCTTCATTCTCCTTTAACTCTTGAATCCAAATCGAAACAACCTTTTCGAGTTTTGAACTAGCCAAATAGCAAAAGGAAGCATCTTTTCGGGCTTGCTTTGCCTTTTTCGACCTGTAGCTCTCTTCCAGCCGGTCACCCAAAGCCTCACACAGATCAGGGAATTCTTTATCGTCGGCAAACGTGCAGATAGCGGCTATGGCTTCTTTCCAGTTGGCAAGACCTGCGTTATGAACGACATCCCACAAGTTCTTTCCAACCACAGAGGCAAGGAGACGAACAAAACTGGGCCCTTCGGATTGTTTCGAGAAGTACGCTTCTTGAGCTTTTTCGATACATTTCTGACCTCCACAAACTGCAACCATAAATGCATCTGACATTCGATCCTCTTGAAGGCACACGTCCAAGGCCTTCTCGAACTGGCCGAGTAATAGGGCCCTGGTAATGGCCCTGTCTGCTTCAGATTCGGAGCCTGTATATATCTGGAATGGGTTATTGGTTTTTGCTCCCTTAGAAGAAGCTATCTCGTCGAGGAAGCTCTCTCCTTCGACGTTTGTCTCAAAAATTGAAGTTATTCTCTTATGTTTCTTGACCCCTTCACTTTTCGGAGAAAGCTGACCTTCGCCGTTCGCTTCCTTCTTGTCCAGGCCCAGCTTCGATAAACTATCAGCGGCCTCATCCACTTCGTTGGAAAATCCGAGATAATTAACCAACTGTTTTCTAGGGTTATCGGAGAGCAGAGTTTCAATAACTTTCCAGTCGGTTTTCTCTTCTTCACACTGCGAGCTGGCGATCCGAGATTCACAAATACCGCGAAAGTCCCCGGTTTTCAACGAGCTCTCAAAATTTTCAGTGGCGCTGCCCACATTAGGATCAACATCAAAATGGCTGATTGTGATCTTTGAAGATCGGCTTCCCGAGCTCAAACCCGCCGAAACTACTCTGCCACCGAATCCGAATGAAGCCGTCACTGGTCTCTCAAGCCACTTGGGGGCTTTGGGGAGTGAGAAAGTTGAAATTTGAGGGCGGGTTTGCGCTTTCGCAAAAAAATCTTCATCGTTAACAGCTTGCTCTTGGTTGTTTCCTGCTTGCGATGCATCCTGTCGAGTGTTCTGAATAGTCTGGACCACAATCTTTCCATCAAAGGAGGCAGTGGCAAACATATTCGGGTTATGTGGATTCCAGCGAGTCTGGAACGTCCAGTTTGTCACAACTGGGAATTCGCCGTATGCATTGCCGGTCTGAGGATTCCAGCAAATTGTTCGGTTGTCTTTACCACAAGATAAGAGCAAATCTGGATCTTGTGCGCACCAAGAAAGTGACAACACACCGGACTCGTGGCCTCGCAGGACCTAAATCAATTCAGAATATGTGTATTAAATTTTCCTGAGAAAAACCTACCCGTTCTGGAGCGTTCGAATTTCGTAGATCCCAAACCAAAATCAAGGGGTCGGTTTCGAGGGGTATAGAAGTTATTAGTTTGGTCGGCTACATTGGATCAGTTCAAAAGTTCCGGCTATCAGCGTGAATGGGAGTGACACTACCTTCTCCGGGTCCCATGCCACAGCGCTGACCGCTTTCCGGCCAAGATTATTCAATGTAAGACTTTCCTTCTTGGTTTTCACGTCCCACACTGTTACAAAGCCAGCGCTGCTTCCGGTGACCAAGATATGAGGCACTTTCTTGTTCCAGTCGAGGCATTCGATATCGTCGACTCGTGCAGCACCGCTGCCTAATCGGAAGGCTTGGTCGACGTTATTCAGATCAGAAATGAATAACTGTCCGGAGTTAGCGAGTTGCAGGTAATTAAAACGCAGTGTTAGGAGACGCTTGCCTCCCCCTTTCCTCCGCCCGTAGCAAGTAGATTCGAATGCCTCGGGTTGAACTGCAATGTCTTGATTGGCCCAGTATGTTTGGAGGCGCTTGAAATAAGTGCATCACTTCGAGGAATTAGAATAGAGCCCATATAACCAGAATATATCCGCTAACCTTGCACCGTTGAGGAGTTTATCGGCGTCCCACAGGTCTAAAGATCCATTCTCGAGAGCACCTGCGATCACTCCTCGAGTATGGTCTTCCGATTCTGCCCATGCGATATCGTGAAAGCTATGGCAAAAATTATAGTCAGCAATTGCGAGCTGTGCGACCCACGACCACCCAAAAAGCCAGGGGTAAATCGTAACGCACCCGGACTCCGTACTGATCTTCGCTACCGGCTCCAGTTCTTGCCCCAGCTTATCATTATCCAAGTCCAAATTCCACAATTCCAGGAACGTTTCGTTGGAGAAGTCTGCATCAACTGCGCCCGCGCGTGTACCAGTAGCAATGAAGGGAGCAGCGGACCCAGGAGACCAGGTGAAGGTCGCCGTCCGGGGTATCTCCCTTAGACGCACCATGGCGGACGGTCGAGGGCAACCAGTGCAGGAATGGATGGAGGGTGTACAGGGAACAAACGACCAGCTTATAAATTAGCGCAAATATATGCTTAAAGAAAGTAAAGCACAGGACAGCTGGCGTGATGCAATTCAATTGTATGTCCTCAGGTTGACGCCAGGGGGCCAACTTTCCTTGTCCAAAAAGGTGGCCTTCTCGAGCGACCACAACAGATCCACTTTCGAAGCCTGCAGAACTTTGGTCACGTGATCCCGGTTCCAAATGGATGTGAGAGAGTTCAAGTTTCCAGTGGTGATCAAGGGTTTACGCTGTTTTCAAAGGCTGGCTAGCGAAAACACACTGTTAGAAGAAAAATATATACTGTACACGATTTCGACACTTGGAGTGAAGGCCTATGGGTTAGTGGGGGCTGTGAAAGAGTTGGCCCATCATGTCAGAATCATCGAGACTGAAGAGTACAATTTACGTCGGGGGACTAGATCAGGGCGTCACAGCGCAGACACTCGCTGAGGCCTTCATTCCCTTCGGTGAAATCGCCGATATCACACTGCCTAAACCCGAACTCCCCTCGTCCGCTGATCTCCATCGAGGCTTTGGATATGTGGAATTTGAGTTAGCACAGGACGCAAAAGAAGCAATCGACAATATGGATCAGAGCGAGCTCTACGGGCGGATTATCAAGGTCGCAGCTGCGAAACCGCAGAAGGATAGCAACGAAGGACTTGGAAGCAAGACTGCTATTTGGGAGCAGGTACGTGTTCACAGCGATATCTTTGATGTATCTAGTATCTAACAGGATACACCACGATCTAGGAGGGCTATCTTGCACAACATGCTGTCAGCGAGGAGGATAAGCAGGCCGCTGAACAGGCAAGGTCGGCCGTCAATAGTCGCACAGATCCAATGCAAGGCCTAGAGGGCCTGGATGTCGCCGGACCAAATCCAGCACAAAGCTAAGGGAGGATATATTGGCGCTTCAGATTTTCGATTAACTCGGATTTTGATCCACCATTGCTACATCCGTCATGCGTGGAATGCTATATTTACAACAAGTACCACCGGCGCTTCTCTCCCCGCATAACAATACACATTTGAAGATTGCTGGTGCGTGTTTCCAAATACCGCCTCTCTCGAACAAGAACCCGCCTGGAACCCCAGGTTTCCCGACCAAATCTCAGTGATCCTCTGGCTTTGAGCGGCTTAGGCGAAGGGTCTTATCCGTCATAAACTTCCTGATGCTGGAATAGATGCCGGCGCCGACTGCGACGCTGTAGAAGGGGGGAATCAAGGTCAGCAGAAGATATCTCCTCCAAGTATCTCGAGATCGGACCTTACCAAAGGACGAAACCTATACACACAAAACAGTATTAGTATATGAGGCAACCCCCAAAAAAGGCAATGGATCTCTATCATGGCTTACCAAGAGGAAGTAATTCCGGAGGAATCTTCTTCAAGGTCCGTAGACGTTGAGAGATGGTGTGAGCTAAGTGCCAACGTTAGACTGCAAGCACCATTCTTCATATATCCAATAAAGGGTCTGGCCAAACCGTACCACTCTGTTCTTCCTTCTGCAAAGCTGTTAGCGCCCACAATCCCACCAATTGATATCCAAGGGTAACTGGGAACGCACCGGGATAGGCCGAAAGACGGGGCGAGAAGCCCTCATAGCCAAAACTCGAGTAGCATACATGTTCACGGACAGGAGCCAATTGCTATCACTGAGGCAAGATATGTAGAATCGAGGTTTTTCTGCGGTTGTTTGACACCAAACTGTGTCTAAACGGGCTTTTGGAAGTGGTGGAACTCGGAAGTGGTTTGATGGTTCGATTGTTCGTGATGTGGAAATGATTCGCCACCATTGGTCGACGGTCTTGGCTTTTCCGGTCGGCTCACGGGACTCCCAACTCACAAAGCATTCCACCAACGACAAACAACCTCACGAAGCTCCAGGTCATCAACCATTGACTGCCAATCCAGAACGTCTTTTCTTAGGGCCAATCCTTTATTTTCAACCGACAAGATGTGGGAAATCCCAGATGCTGATCCCGAGGAGCCCGTCGAGACAAAGCCCTTCAAATTCGTGACAGGTATGTTGGATGTCCCACTTCCTAAACCACCCGGCGAATGCAAAAAACCAGTGCTAATTGACGATAATACAGCTGGTACGTACTTCCAGAGACAGTTTCGTGCAATCTCCAGATGAGATAGCCTCGAACTCCACGACCAATTCTTCATTTGCGACATATTAACAGCCATTGCCAGGTTTTGACGCTCGCTTCCCTAACCAAAATCAGTACGTTCCCAATCGCACCCAACTTTCAACAGGTTATGAGGAGCACATCTAACAACAAAATTCTAGGACCAAGCACTGCTGGCAGAACTATGTCGACTATCACAAGTGCATATTAGCCAAGGGTGAAGACTTCAAGCCCTGCCGACAGGTGTGCCTCAGCCCATAAAATTCTAATGCTCGTGATGGCGACTGACCATAAACTCCAGTTCTTCCTCGCTTACCGATCTCTTTGCCCCAAGTCCTGGACTGACCGATGGGATGATCAACGCGGTATGCATTCAAACTCCCACTCTTCTCCAATAACTAGCCACAACATCACTTTGACTAACCAAGTGTAACAGACGCCGGCAACTTCCCTGTTCGTCTTGACCGATAAAGGAACTTTACCCATATGAAGAAAGACTCATGATGAAAATGCTTGTATACAGCTAGTCTTGCACAATACAAATGGGCAGAGTGTTTTTCGAGACCACTAAATTTACAGGAAGTGTATATAACAGTGTGACAATAAGTTTTCAATTGGGAATATCGATACTCTCAAAGTTCTTAACCATCAAGAATATCCACCCTATGATTCTGTAGACCAAAAAAAATTGCAAGTCAATTTCATTTCAAGGTAGGCATGCAGTCTTTGAGCACTATCAGTGAAGCTCACCTCAGTCTATATCGCTAAGTTGCTGCATGAATCGCTACTTGCGATTGTAGCCCACTACAATCCCAGTGGGTTCAATTCCACACTGCAATTATATATGTCATCATGCTAGTGTAGCAAGGCTAATTCTAGGTCATCAGATATCTCATCTATCCCGTCCTTCCTCAATGAAGTGTCTTCAACCCTCTTGATGAATACCGAAAATATAAATATTAGGACCCTTTTAACGCCAGAAGAGACTCGCCAACGGGGGTATTTGAGTAGGACCTGGCATAAATTCATAGAGCACAAGGGTCCAGTGCGTGCTAGGCATTAGAAGCATCAAATGGCCAAATAACATAACGAAATAGATAAACATGCATAGCCAACCTCTTCCTCTCTATAGGTTTGGGTCTATGGAAACATGCCAATAAGGCCCATGTGCCAGCTCCTTGTTTAGGATAAATGATAACCAAAGGATAAAGCATATAGGCCAAAATCCGATTTAAATGCGGTGTAACTAAAGCCTGCATGCTAGAGGGTTGCTTTGGTGTCACTATCAGGCCGTTTCAACGCTCTGTAAATCTTCTTGTGTTGCTCCAAGAACAAAAATGTCGCGACTGTGTGAGGTCCCAGGCGTGTAAAGCTCGGAATCCAACCGCGGAACATCCATGAAAATCCTTCTTTCTTGAATATGTCTCTTAAAAATCCAACGATGGTATGGCCACTGGACTCTGCGGAACTAGCGCCCATGATCCGAGTTTTTATAACATCAATGGGGCTGCAGAGCGTGGTCGCAACAAAACCTGCCATGACAGATGCTGTAAGATGAGTGGTGATATTGTCGGCCATCCCGAAGTGACCCATGCATATTTGTTTGAACTCGTCGTACGACGCCAGCTGCGCTGCAGTCATACCGAGTGCTCTCAGAGAATTGGGCCAGACTCCGCGAAACAAACTAGCCGCTCCCTCTGTACGGAGCATTTGCGACATTCCGTGAAAAGCATGTCGATAATTCCGCCGTTTCTCGGGAGGCAAAGCCGCATCGCGCTGCATCCGGACGTTTGTGACATCGGCAGGATTTCCAACCAACCCACCCACGAAGCCGGAGAATGACGCCATGCCGATCAGTGTTAGCAACGATGGAGGAGACGAAGAAGATTGCGTCACACGAGACTTGAGCTCTTCATAGATCCCAAATCGAGTAGTCGAATATGTTATTTGCCGTAGAAGGGACGCTGACAACTATATCCACAAAATAGTTATTAGCGAGAAAGGTGTATAATCGCCGTCAGAAGTCAAAAGAAGTCGACATACACCATTGTAAAGGCCCAAAAATCCATTTGACCTGCAGATGTGAACTATGGTCCTCATCATTCCCGTGGGATCCCCGGGTCCACGAGTTTGCAATCGAACCTATATATGTGAGCAATCAAGGATGGATGTACTGGGACAATAAAATAGCTCAAGTTACCTTGACTTCAATTCGAAACCAAATTAGAAACAACCTATGTCAAGGGCAAGAATAACAGTCCAGAGACTCACCGAGATCCAAAGGATGCGTCACGGCGGCTGCGAAACATGATGCTGACCCCCCAAACCAGAATGGATAGTGTATTTTTGGACTTGACGAACGGGCAGCACCGGTTTGCCCGGCCCTGGCTTTATCACTGCTTCCCATCTTGGTGTGAAGCGGCAAGCATCATGCCACAAAGGGGGGAAAAGAAAGACAGCAAGTTCACTCTGTCGGCCTGGAGAGGATGCTTGTGGCCAACGGAGCGGGATCCTCCCAGAACCTTGAAGGCGTGAAACCCGAATTTCAGGTACGGTATCTGGGTACAGCCGAGTTACGGATAGATAAGGATACTCCGCGGATTCGGTGGTCAATTCCGGTGTACAAGGGCGTTTGGTTGGGTATTGTCACCGCTTAAAGCTTCAACTTAGGTAATAAATTACACTGGCTCTGGTTTGCGGGTCGCTGGGTCACCAGCTTTGACTGTTAAGGCCAAGCAATTCGATGGATTGAATTATTATTATTATTATTATTATTATTATTATTATTATTATTATTATTATTATTCATTATAGTCTTATGCAGTCAGAGGTTGTGTGAAGAGTAGCTAAGAGTTTATACTGCCAGGGTTTGTCTTGTATAGAGAATCACAGACACAAGAAACAGTGTCTGAGTCCAAAGTATGGAGTGGGCAGGATCTGACAAGCTCCCGCAGAGGGACAATAATCTGAGAGTGACCAAGCAATGCTAACGTACTCCGTACAGTCGCGACATTTCGTCTTCTAGTCAGGCACAAGTACTTGCCTCGCATCGAACTTTTGTTGACGCATTTTCCGGGTGAAAAGCTTCACCAACACAATATAGCAGGGGAGGCTGAAGTAGGACACGTTCTCCAGGCTGCTGCTTTCCATTCCAGTTAGCAATAGTGACTGGAATACACACATTCTAAGAGCATCCGTGGAGCTGGTCAGCTACGTCAGCGACATGGCATGCATTATGCGATTCTAAGTTCAAGTGATGGCCAACGGTCGCTCTAATCCAGCTGAGCCTGTTTTATTGGGGAGCGGTGAAAAAGCCGGTTTTCCTGGCTGGGATAACTTAAGCAGTGAAGAATATTACCTTCCTTATAAGTATTTTCCTCAGGAAATACGGAGTAGACCCGAGTCACTGGCATGGTGGTCGTTGGACGGACTGGGACGGGACTGTTCAAAAAAATAAGCCTGTCAAGGGGCTATTGGATTACCTAACAACCTCACATTGCTAACTTACCCACTAACTACCCAGTTAGCTGGATGTCATTAAAACCCTGGGTGTTAACTAGCGCAGCACCAAGCAGGAGCTGTCGGTATCAACGAGTGATGAAACCTGGCGAGGTCAGACCTGGCGACCTAGCGACGTGTATACCCTCGGGCTTGGGTAACCCACAATCTTTGGGCCAGGGCAATTAGCAACCTGGAACGAATTGTGGCGGGCGAGCTGTCGCTGCGAAACATGCGGTTAATCGCCACTGGGAGAGCGCTCCGAGTGAGCTACGAACGACCCGCCGTCGCAATTGCTCGCCGTCCATGGTGTGGCCAGTTCGTCCCCCGGGCCTGGCAAGTTTCACGGAGTACCAGTAGCTCTACAACAGCTCCACAATCCTCTGCAAATGCCCCGGACGCGCTGAAAAATGTTTTTCAGCGATCAGCAGAGCAAGCCCGACAGGCATCTACCCTTCCGGTCGCCGACAAAACATATGCTCGAGACGAATGGACCAATACCTCGCAAACCATCCTCTCCCACGTCGGACGTCGGCTCTACCTTGACGAAAACCACCCTCTCTCGATCACGCGCAAGCTCATAGAGAGCCAGTTTACCGGCCCTGAGTTTGGGAATTATGTTGAAAAGAATCCTATCGTTTCCGTCGCACAGAATTTTGATGACTTAGGCTTCCCAGCCGACCACCCCGGTCGTAGCCGAACGGATACGTATTATATCAACAAAGATACAGTCTTACGAACACATACCAGTGCCCATCAGCGTGCATATTTTCAGCAGATGCACAGAAATGAGAATATTAAGCCGGAAGAAAAAGGATACACAATAGTTGCTGACGTCTACCGTCGTGATGCGATTGATAGAAGCCATTATCCTGTCTTCCATCAGATGGAATGTGCAAGGCTCTGGAAGCGCCCAGTCACAGCAGCTGCCATTATGGAGGATTTGAACAAACTCGCACGCCACGACGTTCCCGTCCAGGATCCCAGCCCAACTGTCCATCCCGAGAGAAACCCTTTGCAGGACAAGCACCATACGCTCGAAGTGGCCGACGCCATTGTTGCTCATCTGAAGCGTTCACTCGAACTCCTTGTCATCAAGATTTTCTCTGCTGCTAAAGAGGCGGCTGGCGACGACGCGAAACAGGAGCCTCTCAAAATGCGATGGGTCGAAGCCTCTTTCCCATTCACAAGCCCTAGTTACGAGCTAGAGGTATTTTGGCAGGGCGAGTGGCTAGAGATCCTTGGTTCCGGGGTTGTCAAACAGGAACTGCTCATCTCATCGGCCGTCCCGGAGCATATTGGATGGGCCTTTGGTTTGGGATTGGAGCGGATCGCCATGCTTTTGTTTAACATTCCCGATATCCGTCTATTCTGGTCTCAAGATCCTCGATTCCTGTCTCAATTTGAAGCTGGCAAAGTTAGTCGATTCATGCCCTTTTCTAAGCATCCTGCTTGCTACAAAGACGTTGCATTCTGGCTTAGACCTTCTAGCGCGGCAAGTGCTGCGGGAGGTTCCGTGCCGTTCCATGAAAATGATATCATGGAAATTGTTAGAGATGTTGCTGGAAATCTAGTTGAAGATGTTAGACTGGTGGATGAGTTTACCCATCCGAAAACTGGGCGCAAAAGTTTATGTTACCGCATCAATTACCGGAGTTTGGAGAGGACACTGACCAACGAAGAGACCAACCTGTTGCATGAAAAAGTGAGAGAGAAACTGGTGGACAAAGTTGGTGTCGAGTTGAGATGAAAGCTATTCAGCATGCGAATGTTTGGTGCTATGACTCCGTTTCCACTCTACGCAGAAACATAGACTTGGTTTGGCAACCTATGTATGTATAATATGTGTTTCTCATTTTCTCAGTGTATGAAATTTGGAAAAACTAATCAATCTTTGCATGAGAACTCTGTATTTGTAGACTTAGCTTCTTCTTACTTAGAATCAAGGCTGGAATGCATGGACTAGACAAAAGTCAGAACTATGCAGTATATCGTGTATTATCAGCTGATTTTTCTTTTTCAATGCGCCTTTTTATCAGATGTTCATGATAAACCCATTACAAGACCCGCAACCAGGTAAATCCAGTACTCCATTACAACAGGGAGAGGAGATGAAGAAACCAGACCAAGAATAAACAAAGGGAATATGTGCAACATATATAAACCATGAAAAGAGAAGAACCTTCCACAGTAAACGCCGTACCACGCTGAACCTTTTTTTCTCCAAATGTACAAGAAGATAGTGTACAGGCGGCGAATGAAACCCGAGTACCCAGTCGTTCGCAGTATAGGACATACATTCAGAATACAAGCCCCAGAACTAAAGATTGTTCAAGACTGGCTTAGCACATTATTAGACATTTGCGAGGTGTTGGAGATTTGAAAGGAAGATGCTGTTCTCGATGTGAACTTAAGCGTTCTTCACAACGCCAACCTTGGCAGCCTATGTGCGGAATAGTCAGCAACTTTGGATCAACATAAATTGTAGATTTGCTTTTGATGGGGAAAATTGAGTCTCGTAACATACCCTGAGGACGCGGCCGTTGAGGATGAAACCCTTTGTTTGGACATGAAGGATATCCCCATCTTCCTTTCCGGGAGCCGGGGCCATGAAGGTCGCTTCGTGAAGTTTGGGGTCAAACTTCTGCGGTTTGCCCTCGACCAGTTCGCTAGGGTCGAACCTCTCCAGACCATGCTTTTTCAAAGTATTCATAATGACCTTTTCTGTCATCTTCAGGCCATCATAAAGATCAGCCAGGTCTTTATTTTCACCGTTGTTCAGCTTTTCAGACGGAACAGCTTCGAGAGCACGCTCAAAATTATCAATTGACTCAATCAAATCAGCTCCGAAGCGTTGAATAGCGAACGATCGCGCAGCATCAACATCTCGCTTTGTGCGTTCTTGAAGGTTACGAAAATCGGCGACGGAGCGGAGATATTTATCCTAGTTAACGAAGAAGTTAGTCAAGATCATGGAGCACACGTGGGCCGCTAAAAGAAGACATACCTTCAAGTCAATGATTTCCCTTTCCTGCTTTTCAACCTCCTTTCGCAGAGTAGCTTCGGCTTCCGATAATTGGGATCCGGATGGCTTTTGCTCTCCGTTTTTTCCATCCGCGGAAGCGTTTTCTGCGTTCTTCTGCTGCGACTCCGTGGAATTGAACCTCTGACATACTCTTGAAGGTAAAGGCTTTCCGAACTGTGTGAAAGTCTGTAAGAGTGGTTGTTTTCGGGATAAAGGAGAGCTCGAAATGGAGCGGGTCGTGAAGGCGGACCTTGCGGCCTGGGACTGCCGGATTAAAGCCCTTCGAAACATTATGCGTAATTCTAACGGTCCTATTTTCCAAGTCGAGTTCACAGCAACTTCTGTAGAGACTAGTCAAAGCGTTTCAAACATGTAAATTGATATCCGGAATTTGACAGCAACGAGGTCAAAAAATAATCTTTGATGGCGGGCCGGCGAAACTCGACCGCCGGACCCAGCAAACTCTAACTTAACCACACCCCATTCGTCCCGCTGCCGCCAACCTCCCAGCACGAAAGCCAATCTCAGAAACAATCCCAGAATCGGAAGATCTCCTTCATTAAATACATACGTATTACTACTGCTGCTGACTGCCATACAGAAACAGATCTCTTGCGCGAAAGGGTATTTGCGGAACAAACCAAAAAACAAAGATAAATTTTAAAACCAACACTCATCGTTCCCGAACGGTGAAAAAAAAGTTCCCAGTGCTCAGCCTAGACCGCGGCGCCAATCCTATGAAGAATAAGAAGGAACTTCATCAAACATAGGCATCATGACTGCCATGTCATCATCGTCGAATGGAGTCGACTTGTTCAGTTTTTACTGCATTCTTAAGCCGAAGCTTTCATATCAGGAGAATAAGCGACGGCGGGTAGATGTGGAAGAGGACTACCAGAATTTGCCATTCTCTCCATATCCTTTTCGATATTGGCAAACAGAGCTTGTATCTCGGCGTCTGCATATATCTTGATGGATTCCACATCTTTGCGAGCCGTCTTATTTTGGTTGTGGGTATTATGCGAATTGTCAACGTGAGTTTTCTTTTCCGTACCAGCGGGCTCTGGATGAGATTCCCGTAGAACCAAGGTCGCCGCTAGATGCTCGAGGAGCTTTTGTCGTACCAGAGCCCGCCGCTGCTCTGCATTTTCCAATTTGGAATACCACTCGTCAATGGATCTATCAAGCTCAAAGAGCGCTTCCTCCTGCTTTAAGATCCCCTCCCTTGAAAATTTCGATACTCTGGGTGATTTGAGATATAAGATCATCCGTTGATGCAAGCTATGTCGGCCGGTCCGAAGAGAATTGTACGTCTCTCTGAGATAGTCACAACGCTTTTGCAGTGCTCGAAGCTCCTTAAAGATTCGATATTAGCTGCGCCCAGGACTCTTCCCAAATGCATGGCAGTGGAACTTACCCTCGAAAGTGACTTGACATCACAGCGATTAAGTACCTCGAACTTTTGTGCTTGATTGTGAGCTTGCTTTTGTAGAGCCTCAATTTCGGTGCACGGAAGTACTCTCAACGCCTTGTGTACAGGGATTCCCAAAGGAACATTGGGGATTGGAATTCCCGGAAGCTGCTTCTTCACCTCTCTATCATCTAGCCGAGCCTCAAATGCTGCATGCTTCCTCGGGGGTTGACCCCCCCATTTCAGGACCGAGTCGTGCGATAACCCTCTCTTGTGGTTACTGACGCCCGCCGCCGGTTTCTCTGATCCAAACTCAAATGCGGTGGGTCGATTCGGTCCGTCCGTCCTATTTTTCTTGTGGCATGGAGATGCTGATATGCCTAACGGAGATGCCGCACGAGTGGATGCATTTTCAGAGCTTGATGGGTTGGCGGAAGAACAGGTTTGAGCAGGCAGGTTTGAAGAGCTCGTCCAAGGACTTTCTTCGAGCGGCCTGCTGCTTTGCGAGCCTCCGGTGGTTCCTGATACAGGAGTACTTGAACTATCCCCACCGGATGAAGACACCGGCATGTTCGGGATCCGAAGTGCCAACCGTGGCGATTTCGGTGGAACTTCAGGGGGGTCATCAAAAGCTGCCCTCCTGAGATTACTTGAATTCAATGGCTGGTGTCTCTCACTCTGTGACGGAACAGGACATATTCTGTTCTTATCAATCCTCCGTGATGGGGATGAACTCTCGCCCGACTGTTCTACATTCCTGTTGCAAGCTTCGCCCACACACCCAATCATGTGTGTTCGAACGATACCGGCTCCTGCACAGGCCCCTGGCGCACTATTCGATCTTTCGTGGATCGGATATTGACCTGGAATTGTTGCTTATGCGAAGTTAGACACGTTCCCCAAAACACTTTAGCTTCACATACGGGAGTCAAGCGATCTTTCATCTATCGTCGCCAGTTGCTTAAGATCAGGAACACTTATTTTATGAGAACGGCTGAGGCCTCCGTCCTTAAACGGATTTCTCATCATCTTTCCTGAGTCCGGGGTGCTACGCCCAGAACTAGAGACAGTTTTCTTGAGAGTTGGCCACAGCTGATATTTCGGCTTTGCAGGCGTAGGCTGCGCCTTGGGTCCGGAACTCTCTTGCTTTTTCAAGCTTTCGTAGCTTTTCTATGGCTGCGTCAGTTGAATTCGGTCAACGAATATGGGGTGTTCCAGGTCAATTTTCCTTACTTGGGGTGATGTGCTTCGTGCGATGATGTTATTAAGACCAGCAAAGATTTCAGCCTCCGGCGGAGGATGCTCAACAGCTATCATCGTGATGAGTGTGAATGCTAAGTTGAGTGTTAAAGGGCTGTGGTGTGCCACAAGTGCAATGAAGAGAAGTTTCTTCCAAAACTCGGACGGATTCATCTGCTACACGGGCGTACTTATGGCAATATGGTGCCCCACTCTTGATATCAGTGCCTTTAATGTTCGTATTAATATCTCAAACAGCTAACCTTTTTAGGAACAGTCACTCATAGATCCGGACGTCAACAGTTATCAAGATCTCCTTTCGCCGCCGGCCTCCGCAAGGCTAGCTTGCAGTCCAGGGGGGTCGTCACCCCAGGTCATCATTGCTCCACTAGTGCAGCATGCATGGGTCTCCAGGATCCTTGTTCCTTTGATACGCTACTCAAATCGTTTCCAATATCGCTATCACTATTTCGACATATGGATATATGAAACCTTTTGGGGATGATTTTCGCAATTTCTGTTTGAAGAACATGTCGATGATTCACAGAGCAGGTTCACCTCGTTTGAATATGCTGGAAACCACACTTCAATTCCGGTAGCCCGAATGCCATTTCCAGAGTTTCTTGATTCTGCTTGGCTCTTTGAATAGCCTTTCAAACGTCTGAACGGCCGCAATTGCCGTTCCACGGAATATGCATGTTTGTGGGCTGCATCCCAAGTTCGAATGACCTGAGATTCTTCTACGAACGAAAATGATATGCATCATCTCCATCTATCATTCGTACATGCGTCCATGATTGTGGGCGCATGGATGGATTACAGGCGGCTCAGCCGTCAATCCCGTGTCTATCAGCTTAAAGAAGCTGTCCTGTCAGACATGATCCCTGCTAAGTCTTTATACTCGCCTCTGTTGACATCTACAGTTCCTAGGCCGTCTTAGACCAAGAAGGACTTGGCCGGCGTGTTTCATACTTCTTGCCCAATTACGTGCGCCTCCGCCCGAACCGGAAGAGTAGCACCTCTCTGTCACTTGACCCCGCACCGTCTTGGCCGGCTCATCCCAAGAACGGATTATCACCATGGCGCCCACAAGCGGTCCGCGCTGGCCCGAGAAGTTTCGGGGATACCAATGCGAAACCCGTTGTGCTGGGCGTGGGAAGAGTTGATATCGTCGGGTTTTCTGCCCTTCAGAGACATCAAAGAGCGGAATGCCGCAATACTACCCTAGGTTGCTCAGCCGGCCCATTCCCGAGCGATACCGATTTAGAAGCACGAGGTTTTCCCTCTTGTCTTCAGCTAGAGGTTCTAGCCCGGACATTTCGAAAGTGTGGAGAAATGCCATCAGCCATAATCTGACACGGACGATCAAACAGGAGTCCACCAGGCTATATTCGGCGAAGCCAACAGTCCCCGTGGATATTAATTGGTATAGGTCCTTTAATTCCCCGCTGCTCTGCTGCTGATCCTCTGTTGTCTACGAAGGAACTACGGAGTACACTTTGAGGTGAAAGCATGATGTTGTTGATTGGCCCGAGCCACCCGCTCACCTTGAGAGCAATAACAAGGGCCAGCTTCATCTAGAAACTTGAGATAGAGATCCAGAGAAAGCGTAAAGGTAAAAGTCTAGACGTAAAGGGATATTCAACAAATGTTCCCATAATTCGAACTACCCGATGACAACAACGCTGTAGCCAGAAAGTGAAGCGACGGAAGGCTAAATCACTCGCCGCTGTTCTCAGCCTGTAGAGATGTCAGCGGCGAACGCCTCTCTTGGCCAAAATGGATCGCTCCATACTATTTTATATACACTAGGTCGTGTCGGGAAGTACTAGACTCGACCGGTCAAAACTCCTGTTTGAGGATGTCTTGAACCGAGTCACAGGGCCGAAAGAGAAGCCAGGCCTGATGATGGTCGCCTAGCGTGGCTGGATGAGACCAGCATACGGAGAGCATTCCTCTCTTCTCGCCTCCACCAGCGCCAAACTCAACTCGAAGTTGCAGGTTGGGAGTTTTAAGTTCGATGCAGTTGATAAAATTGACAACTTACCAGGATTCGTGCAGGAGACTAAAGAAGCGTCTCAGGTGTCAAAGATACCGAGCCCTTCAACCTAATATTCTCCCGATGTCTTTCGGCCTTAGTCGCATGTCAACTTGCCCGAGTCCGCTAACCTGTGTGGCTGTTGGATGCCGGGAATATATTGACAGCATGCAGCCCAGGTCAAAAGGCACGCGCCAGCTTCTCACAGACAAGGCAACGAAGAAGATTTCCAACCCGGAATGGCGGGAGTTTTTCACGTCATTCCACCAATACGGGCCGTGTGGCCGGAGCGTCCCAACAAGCAAACCGGACCAAGCAATCCACGAGTTTGGCGTTCTGCCAGGTTCCGTATCCTTGATCCTTTCCGATTTATAAGTCAAGGTGCTGCGATATGGAATTTGGTTGTGGGTAGGTGCGCAGGCCACGAGGCCATAACCTAGGATATTCATTTGACAGGCCTCGTGGCACAGAAGCATGGATCCCTTCTGACGAGGGCCCCTGTCGTGCCTTACATACGGGAATGCTTCCCCTTCAGCAGACAACCAGGAACGGTGGGACTCACGGTGGCTTGCCGGTTTTACATCAAAGGGAACCCTCGTCTGAAGGGTCCAGGTCGTATTATTTAGCTTTTGCAAAGCCTTCCACACCGTCTAGATACCCACAGTTTCCTTCCTCAGGATTCTTGACCTTGCCGAGGGACCTGGCCGACTCGGAGTGGGGGAATGGACTAAACTCAGATCTCCTTGAGCGTGAGGGGAACAGATTGCTTTAGAAGGCGCTAAAGTTCAGCTAACTGGTCATGATGACTAGCTTCCCACTTCCGCCAACAGCCAAACACTTCGCTTTGCGTCTCCGTTGACCAGGCCAGAATTGCTTTTTGCTTACCAGACGTGGCATGTGAAATTGCTGGTGCCCATCGCCGGTGTCTTTTTGGGGCGGTCGCCGAATTTCACAGCCACCAACGCAAAGATGACAAGCCATTGCGGCGCCTGGAGTCTTTCGCTTAGTTCATGACTCCAACAATCTGCATACCCAAAAATGCAATGAATGGGTGGCATTATTGAATTCTGAAACATATCCCTTTCTTTTTTTTTTTTTTTTTTTTTTAATTATTCTTCTCCACGGAGCGTCTGATGAACTCCTGCATCAACGCTCGAAATAATATTGCAGGACTCTTCAGGTCATTAGCAGAACCGTGCATGTCCGTGCGCTGTGTCCTTTCTCGACCACCCGCGTCTCTCAGCCATCCCTGCTATTTAAGTAACTTCGAGCCTATTGGGCCCCTGTCTTCGAAATCTGGGGTAACGAAAAGGAAGTGTCTGTTCTCGCTAGCGACAACGCTCTTTTGTGCCTCTTCTGAACCTAGCATTTGAAGAATACAGCAGCATGTCTGGCCAAACGAAAAGTGGCATGGGGACTGGATAAACGAGTGAGCGAGTGAGTGTAATAATTGGCTGGCCTCGACCGAAAAGGGGAAAATGCCGGCGTTTAAAAGCATGCCAAAAAAAAAAAAAAAAAAAAGGATATTGGCCTACGAGCAAGAGCAGCCAAATATGGGAGAGTTCGCCCTCTTGCTCGACGGAAATAGTGCCGGAGAACCTCATGGCTTTGCCCGTTGCCTTCCTCGTTTAACTATCCGGGCCAATGGATTCGCGCGACCTTAACTACTCAAATGCCAATCTTCTCAAATTTGGAAACTCAAATACCTGAAAACGAAGGATCCTATATGTATGTATGTATGTGTACGGAGTACGGAGTACATACATAGGGACTACGACATACATATCGATATTTACCCCTCTCAAGACGCTAGTCTCAAGAGAAGACCTTTGTTTTTGACAAATTATAAAAGAAGTCACGATAGACATTTTCAAGCGTCTGCACAATGAAGATCATTTGTGCTTGATGGAGATATGCCCTTGCCTCGAAAGGTGCATAATTGCAATATTATACATAAAAATATGGAGAAGATCCGGTGAGTCGCAGCAGGAGATCTGAAGAAAGCCTCCGAAAGGCAATAGTGGCCCTCTTATTATTATCACTGTGATTCCTGCGCGCAAAGGAAAAGCGATCCAAATATACGGCTCTGCTTTCACAAGTAGAGATCAGCGAGAAGCCCACCCCTCGCAGCACGCCTTCACACTCCCTCGTATAAGTTGCCATCACCGGCGTTTATCGAATTAGTTCGTCCCGACTTATCCGCAAGAATGGAGAACTCAGTGCTCCGGGCGGGTGAGGAACCAGAAATCGGAGGACGTAAAGATTCGATAGGAAGAAAGGCTTCGAGAAGAATGTTTCAGTTCATAACATCCAGCCACTCACTAGTAACGGAGATTTGCATACTAGTCTTTGCCCATCATCAAGCCATCTCCCCAACTTATTTCAATTGAGCATCCGCGCCGCTTCCTTCTTATTAGTAACTAACGTGGCCATTCCTCGCGTGGACCGTCGTAGTCTGGCGTTCAGCCAGCTCCACTCCCTCAAATCAGCCGTTCAAAGCGGCTGAATGGCTTGCATTGGACGGAAGAGGAGGAACAGGAAACACGCATTTCGTGCATGGCGATTCTGGAAATGAAAAGATGGAGCAAACACATGGCAGCGGTAGCCAGTCTCCACCAAGATGAAAGTTACGAGCGACGCGGTGCAGCTCCGTATTCCCCAAACCAGATCTTCAATAGTCTCCCCAGCGACTTCTCGCACGTCCAAAATGCTTCGAATTTGGAGTGCTACTTTGGGAGCTTGACCCCACTGCCAAATTTTGTTTCCTATTGTTTTCTGCTTGGAAAAGGTCTGTCCCTTTGAAATCAAGCATAGGTTTTATCGAAAACCTTTTTCCCACAACCCTCGTCATCACTGTCGTCAATCCTCTGTTTGGAGTAACAATCAGAGTTTCTTCCCGCGAGCGTGGAGACACACTGCGTCGATCATCTTTTTTCGAAAGAGCTTCTTGATGCTCAATGATTCCCATCCAGGCCGATCATTTTGGGTTCCCACTGGCCAGCTGAGTTTCGCTCACCGCTTCTTTGCCTTGGTGCTGATCAAAAGCCAGACGGTTTCTTGCAGCTCAACTTAGCGTTGTTTCTCCCCCGAAAACTCCCGCGGGTCAGAAATGCCAAGGAGCCGGGCGGCGCGCTGCGCTTGGTCATTCCTGTCCCTTGACGGTTGAGCTGGTTCGAGACTTGGGAGCTTTTGAGAAACGCTTTTCGTATTTTTTGTTCTCTTCCCCATAACCGGGGAGCGCGCTTCAAAGTTGGGTGTCGGCCCTATTCTCCAAGGATTAATTGGGTCGACAACCCAGTGCACATCTGACAATCACCCAGGACCTGGACCATGATTTCTGACAAGGTACGTCGTGCATGACGCCAAACTGGCCAACCCGCTGCTTTCTCTTGCTGCCAAAAGCAAAACCAGCCCAAGAAATTAATCGCAGAATCAGTGAGAATCATTGGCTTTCTCAATCGCGTAGCTCCTTATTCGCTGCAGGTTCCGTCCATCAGTGCAGAATCGCCGAGCCTTGGGCGAACCCGCGATGGTGCGACCCATTCTGAAGGATGTTTGTGATCCCCTGGTCGATGGGGGACGCAACAGAGATCCCAGGATCAAGGTGACGTAGCAACGAGGAGAAGGGGGTAACGCATACTCCGTCGATATGTAGCTATTGCCACACTTGGCATTGCTCCTTGTTCGTTCCATGACCGGATTCAGTTCCGTCTGCAATTCTGCAAAGCACCTGTGAGACTTTCAAATGCATGCGGGTATCAGGATCCCTCTGGAAGAGGAAGAAGGTTGCGGAAAGACCTTGTATTATAGGCAGAGGTACGCAAATCCCTCGGTCAAGAGGAAAATTACCCTTGTCAAAATACATGTGAGCACTACGAGGAGAATGAGGACAAGGGCATGGATTTATTTTCAACTCGAATACAAGTCCTAGGGCATAAAATGAAAGGGGAAAGGGAAAAAAAAAAAAAAAAAAAAAAAAACATCATGAGTACTCCGTACTTGAAAATATGGTCCATGAGAAAACTGAAAACGCGCCCAAAGCCGGTCCGGTACGTACAAAATGCAACAATAACTCCATACAATCAACATTCATCAGCATCATCATTCATATCATAATGTTCAGACCTTTAACTACCACACTTTTTCTGTTGCTTCTCTGCCGGCTGAGTGGTCAACCACTGCAAGCAAACAGGCTTTTCGATGAGCAAAGAAGAGCTTTCTTCCTTTTCTACTTTTCCAGTGTTAGGATCAAGTTGGAAAGACTTGATGTTATTTGAATCTTGTCCCTCGGTGATCAACCACTCTCCACTTGGGTGGATAGAAAGGTGTCTAATATTCACGACTCCGCTGTTGAAAACCTCCAGGAGCTTCAGACGTCCGGATGACTCGTCGATTTCATAAGACGCGATCGAGTTTGCATGTGGAAACACAGTGTCGAGTCTGTTTGACACATAGAGGTGCTTGCCGTTCGGATGAAGGATGATCTCCCCCGCTGCTGGGCCTTTGTCTTTGGCATGGTCCTCTGGCAGGGTGGAAATAGTTTGAATTTCAGTGAGCTTGAGGGCTTTGTCGGTGTATTCGACCGAGAAAACGGTCAGGGTGTTCGATAACTCCCCGACGACGTAGTAGAATTTCGGTTTGTCGGTGGCCGGATAGAAAACAGCATGGCGTGGTCCGGTACCAGGCTTCACCTTGACTGGGTCAATTTCGGTAATGGGATCCTGGCCTCCGCCGACGGTGAACATGCGGATAATATCAGCACCCAGATCCGTCACCAGGACGACCTTGCCGGTGGGTTCAAAAATCACATGGTGTGGATGAGGCGCTTCTTGTCGCTCTGGGACAGCCCCTGGCTCTGGGAGCTCAAACTCCCAGGATTTGGCCCAGTTGACTTCTCCAGTAGAAGGGTTCGTGTTGTAGGCGGAAACGCTTGCGGAGCCACTGAATCGAACGAATTAGTTCGACCAGTCCATCCAAAAAGAAAAAAAAAAAAAGAGAGAGAGAGAGAGAGAGAGAGAGAAAGCAGTCAGTAGAAACACATACTAATTAGCTGTGACGATAAGGTTCTGGTCCGGGCTGATGGCCAGATGCACAGGAGCAACCATCCCGGCTGAGGTCGATACCTTGCGAAGCTGCCCATCGTCCTCGATGGAGTAGCTTGTGACGGCGCCCTTGTTCTTATCTTTCTGGGTTGTCTCCTCAACTGTGTAAAGGAACTTTTGGGCTTTTGAGATTTCTTGCCACGAGGGAGATGGAGCGGAATCCTTGTTGGTAAACAGTTGCTTCAGCTCACCGGTTTCATTGTTGAACTGGAGTGTGACGATGCTACCGCCATAACTACCAACAAAGGCTAGCTGCTGGGCCATGACAGCCTGCAGGAACAACGGTAGGAGGATTGCTGGCTTCATTGCCAGTGTGTTAGCGATGTATGCAGTCGACTTTTAGATGCAGAGCGGGCAGGCGAATAGTTTTATGGCCAGAAACGATTCAAAAGGAGTGGTATAATTAGAGGTTATGCCAAAGAAACAAACTTGGTTCGCTGATTGCTGATATAAAACCAACCTGGATCTCGAAACAAGTAGTTTGTAGGAGTTAAAGAAGATTTTCAGCAGCTTGCCCAGAAGGATGAAGAATGTTTCCTAGTACTGCTTGAAAAGCCTCCTCAACGCTGTAGATACAGCTACGCGACTCGGAAGTGAAAGTTCAAGTTGCAGCCATGCAGTTAACCATGAAGACAGGTTGCAGAACGTAAACATTCAACCGTGGAAGAACTGCTGGAAAGGGTGAGTTCTCTCTCACTTTATTTAAATAACCATGGTTTTGCTACTGAGGACCGGAAAATTAACTGTGTCAAATTTCGCTGCGGTGAAAGAAGGGCTGAGTGCTAAAGCAATCAAACGGCTGATCTCTACCCAGAGCCGCAGTGCAGCGTTTCACGTCCCGGGGCTTCATCCAGCTTGATTGGTGAACTGCGCCTGGTTCTCCATACAATGGCAGCTAGCTGCGCCCTTTTTCAACAACAGTAATCAATGAATCCACTCGAGATGGACTACAGAGTAACAATGGCGGTGTTCTTGTCACTATTGCACGGGATCAGTCACAGCATTATGGGTGCAGGTGACAATTTGCCCCGAAAATGGCGAAAAGTGCCGCTCTCGCTGGGATACAGGATAAATGTGAATGTGAATGATCAAGGGCTCTTTTTTTTTTTTTTCCCCCTCAAGAAATAATTACTTGGTATCTAAGGATGCTTCAGGAATTAATTATATGCAGAGTACTCTGCTACACTGCACTCCATTTAGATCTTTTGCTGGAATCTTTTGCTGGAATTAGTTATAAGTGGTTATTGGCGTCAAACAAATCAACTTCATTACAATAAAAAATCAGCTCGGCAACCTGCCACAATCATTAAAAATTAATATTTATTGCAATAGTTAAACACTAATTCGTGAATGTATACTCAAACACATTGTTCTCCATCCTCTTTTTTTTTTTTTTTTTTTTTGAAGTAGGTTTGTTTTTAAGAAGCATTTTGAAAAGCAACGAAGAAGCAAAGACCTCATTATCATCAATTTCCAAGTCGACAGTTTGTATCAGATGTCTCCAGCCCATTGGAATGTAGTAGTTCGAAGACTTATTCGGAACAAACCTGCGACTTGAATGCCAGGAAGGCTATTAGCAGACAAAAATTTTCCTTTTTTCCACATTGTACCATGGCCGCCTTCGAGTCCACGTCGGTGAGACTGGGTAGAAACATACCGGGTAAGCCAGGCATCGATGCTTAAGGGCATTATCATCTATTCAACCCATTCCCTCCCCTCCCGGCAACTGCTTCGGCTCGTACAAAAGCGAGTTCTTATCGAGGAACAGTCTTCTCTTGGGAGTTTTCTGCACCTCGGCCACCGCTACGACGAGGACGACAAAACCGACATGGACTGCCCAGGTAAACGGGGTAATAAATCGTACATTCGGGAGGACAGACGTAACGGTTTCCGCAACGGTGAAGAGGACCCCAGCTTCTGTGGCCGCAAGTGTGAACATAATACGCCTTTTGACACATGGGAGGCGTTTAAAAAAGAGGGACGCGATCGGTGGCTTCAGGGGAAGGGAAGGGAAGGGAAGGGAAAAAAAAAAGTTTAGACGGAGTGAGGTAACCTTAGAACCTCAGACTCGATATCATAGAGATGGGAGGTCTATGGTCACAAACAGCCCGAAATCTTCAGAACTGTATTAGCGAATGACAGGATCATTTGGTCCTCAGGCCCGCTCAGAGACGTAAAGTGAGCTCCGGGTGTTTTATACTTCTATCAATGCAAGCCAACGTATCGCAAATGGAATGCCTTGATGCCCTTCCATCTCATTCCCTGGCTGGCTGCAGGACAGTCCGAATGAAAAACACGGATATGTATGAAGAAACAACGTTGATTTCAAAATGACCATTATTGAAATCGACTATCTTTGGGCATTCAATTGAACCCAACAGCAAGAGTGAGGCGACTCTATTGAATGACGGTAACGAAGAGGGAAAACGCGGACAGGGAATTAGCGTTTTGTTTTTAACTTTCCAGAGGGATGCGAACGAGAGAGGGTAATGCAAACATTTTGCTTCCATGGAAAATAGCATTGGGTATCTACTCGAAGCCGAGCTGCCGCATTAACAGGTCCCTTTTCGTTTTCAGTAACGGGAAATCGCATATTATCAGGCTTGGTGAGAAGGCATCCGCTGATGCCATGCATTCCCAAAGCGGCGTGTCGTTGCACCGTCAAACTTGGAGCGAGCATGGAGATAGGTTGGAAGTCATCGCCGATGATTGCTCAGAGGAACAGCTCGGGGAAATCCGCATTTTCATGTCTCAAGGACAAAAGTGTCTATTATTAAACCATATCTTTGGCCAATCTACTGACTGGTCCAGAATCGTCGGTGAGAAGTCAAGCACTGCAGCCTCAGAACATTTGAATCTTCCGACGCATATTTTTTTTCTTTCACTTGGAAGGACATGAATATGCTGCAACAAACGGGGGTGTGTGTGCATAAACTGCCCACAGAGAAAGGCAAGGGACCCAAATGCTGAACCAGGCAACAAAGCTTGTGCTACCACGACAGCCCATTCAGTGTGATTCGCAGCCCTGGGCAGAGTGCAAAGATCGGGAATAGAGTATTGCCATGTCTGTACAACGAAAAAATCAATCTCTGATGACACGCCATACATCTCTGCCGGGAGGGGCAGTGAGCGTGTGCTTGCAGCCGAAGATCGGGTGTTCGTAAAGACGATCGCTGCAGCATAGGAAGATGATATCGGGAGCATTTGGACTGGGTCACCAATGACTCGAAGTAGGCAGGTCGACGTCGAGAGCTTCTTACCTTACCCTGGTGGGTGGTTCTCGTGGCATCAAAGAGAGCACTCCGTCATGGGCGGGAAAAAAAAACATCGATAGCACAGGAGGGCACGAAAGGGATGGAAAACAAGCCGCCATGCCGCTTACTGTCTTGGTTGCGTCAGATATGCAGTGGCGCAATGTTTGGCCTTCACAGAGCGCCGCGAACTTCGAAACCAGCCAGCAACCGCAGGGGAATCAGATGGAGTCTCCTCCGTCCAAGGAAGATCCATAGAGGGAAACGCTTTGAAAATTGAGCTCTTCCGCTTTCCGGGCCGTATTTTGGGTTCTCCCCCGCACTCCGAGTCTGAAACCACTCGCTGTACGCGCGCTTGGCAGAGATATCTTAGAAAGTACTCATGCTTGCCCTGAGTGAGCAAGTCCAGCGTTGACAAGGCATCCTTGGTCTTGCACAGTCAAATGAAGGCCCACTATGTGAAGTGTTGGGGATCGTGTTACATACGATAGTTACAGGTCCTAGAGTTGAGATGCACTGCTCAGTCTTGCTGCACAGTGAAGAGCTCCGCTAGAAAAGCCATGAGGAGCCCTGCTCGGTCATGGCTCAGTAGTCCATAGTTAATTCAAGAGTAAAAAGGAGCCGACTCGAGCTAGGGCCAGCGTCAAACTTTTAGAGTGGGACGCGTTACTGGCCATGGCTTCGCCACTCGGGAGCCATGTCGCAGAGTCGCCTCGAAGGAGCCCTGTAGGCTTCAAGACAATCTGTTCTGTCGGCTCCGGTTGGGAGGGAAAAAAAAAAAAGAGCCAGCAGGGAGGCAAATCCGAAGCGTGCGCTAAGTAATAGAGGAGAGTGGGCATTGGGCTGCTGCGCCTTCGCGGAGAGACGGAGCAAACGGGGCTTTTTGGGAGGCTCATCGCAACACACACACACTGAAGCCGCCGCCGCCGCCGCCAACGAACGACGACGACGACGACAACCGCCATCATCACCATCAGCGCCAGCTTGCCTCTGCGACAAGCAACCGAGGCGATCTCCGGGCTGATCCCTCTGCAATCTCTGCGGCCAGTTGGTTCGCCACGGATTCGAGAGAGCTTGTCTAAGCTTGAATTTATTTAATTCTTCCGCGCCGTCACCTCCTCCCATCGCGGTCACAACTCTCTCCTCTTCATCCCATCGCCACCCACACAAGACGAGACTCTTTCCCCCCTCTTCTTCCTCTTTTATCACTCTATAGATTGCTACTACTGCTATATCGCAATCCAGCTTTGAAATGTCAAATTCTTCTTCTCCTCCCTCCTCCGCCGCCCGGCGCGCTCGCAACGGCTCTCTTACGCTCGATCTGTCCAACATTCCCCTGCTCTCGCAGCCTTCTCCGCCCTCGAACACTCTTCTCATAACAGAGCTACACAACTTGAGAATCTTCCAGCCTAACTCTCTCTCCCAAATCAAGTCTCACATTACCGCCGTCGCCCCACTGAACTCGTTCTCACCGCTCCCGTCCCTCCGACGTATAGTCTGCTCTTTCCACACCACAGACGCCGCCGTCAAAGTGCGCCAGCTACTCGAAACCACCACAGCTCTAGGCGACCACTTCCGGCCTAGAATATATTTCGGCGAGCACACACCCGTCGAAGACGTGGAAGAAGTGAAGAAGCGCAAACTCCTCGAGGCCCCCCACGCAGAGAAGCTGTTCTTCATCAGTCCGCCTCCCAGCCCGCCGCACGGCTGGATTCTGCGCAACGAGGATCCTCCTAACAAAGAAGTCCACGCTTCCGATCTGGCAGACGCCCTCAGCAGGCTAGGACGGTCCAACAGCTCTCCCGTCACGCCAGACTCCCCAGGCTCGATGGCCGATGTGGCCATGCAGGATGTTGGTCTGCCGTCGAGGACCATGACGATGACACAGCGGAGTCGGAGCAGTACCCTGATTTACCATCCCGAGGAGCACGGGAGCAGCCCACACCTACCCGCCGTCATGGTCGAGGATACGTCGATCGATCCCGACGCCTCCGATTTAGAGATGGAGATGAGTCCCGTCGAACAACCGAGGAGGATCCTAGCTCATACCCCACGTCCGCCCGTTGAGCTCATGCACTAGGTTGACCTTTACCCAGCATTAGAGCTCTCCTAATCTTGATCTTCCTGTCTTTATTCTTACTTTCTTCTTTTCTTCTTTTCTTTATTTTTCCTTGGCTGATTTTTTGTGTTATTGAGCGTTCCTGGGATTTCTTGCTCATCAATCTGCAGCATCGACCTCTTGGGAGGAGACATGGGTGTTTATGGGTGTCTTTTTACAGCCACGAAAGGCCTTTTTTTTTTTTTTTCTTATATTAATGATGGATTCAGTCTTTGATTACCTAGAGTCCATTTTGTTTTTTTTTTTACAGTTCAGAATACCGCAATCTCTTGCATTGGGTAGGTAGCATTTGGTGAGAAAAATGTTATCTTTCCAATTTTCGTATTCTTTTTCTATTGTCCAAAATTAACTCTATCACTGTGAAACACGACAAAATGAGGGGATGAGCTACTAAATAGGCTGGCTGTGCAACTACTCGGGGGTATATCTGCCCAGGGATAATATACCAAAATATCCACCTGCTCACAGATTATCTTTGCTCGCAAGACCAGCTTTCCAAAACCCATACAAAGCAATAAAATAACAAACCCATATAATACTTAGTTATAGCCTCTTCCGCCATTTTATCTCAGCAGCCCTCAGCGGTAAGTACAACAAGGCGCTCAGCACCAGTGCAATTTCGAACCCAATATCCCCCGTCTTCTTTGCGATCGGCCCAACATACCACGTCTGGGACATGCACGGAATTACCAACGCAAACGACAGAACGCCAGCTGCTAACGCAGACACCCCGCTGGGCAGTGCAGAACCCACATTCCAGATTGTCGGGTCGTACGATTCGTATCTCCCCTTGCGGAACACGAGGTGTTCGACGGTGACGATGGAAAAGAAAGCCGCAGACCAGTAGGCGATGACGCCGATGAAGTTTTCGAGGGACGCGAAGAAGCTTGACGCTGCGCGTATGGAGATTGGGATGATGATCGCGATGAAGACAAAGGCGAAGAGCGCACGGGGTACGCGCACAAGGACTGGTAGGAGGATCTGAAAGTTCAGCGTTATGGAGTAGATGGTTGCTGCTATGTTGCCCAGGGTCGAGAATGCGAGGAGGACGGTTATGAATTTCCCAAATCCGCCCGCGGGTGAGAGCATCGAGGCGAATATCGCGCCAACAGAGCCGGTTTCATGGGCCTGGGCCCAGTCTGGGACGTTGGGGACTGCCCCGCCAACTGCGGCCCCGAGGATCATGAGCGGGACGGTAGGTACGAATAGGCCCAAGTAAACATAGGCAAAGATGCGTTTGCTACATCCACGATATTAGTGGCCTGACAAGGGTAAGCGAGGGGGTATAGAACATTTGGTTTTACATACGAAGATATGTCGGGTGAAATGTACGTGCAGAAGTCCGAACTCAGCGCAGCCCAAGGAATGAGATACCCAGCGATCAAACCGCCAAATGTGACGATGGCTGAAGCTGAAGGCGGAGCTGGTACAACCTGATTGCTGAGGTGCTTTCCACCACAGCCAGTGGCAATAACGATGCTGATGAAAACCGGAACCCAGCCATATCGTTCATACCGATGCAAGACCTTGTACCCAAAGAAGGATATAAATAGAGCAAGGACGGCGACAATAACGATACCGACGTTCACGCTGACATCGCTGCTGTTTAAAGCGGAAAGAGTCTGACCACCGATAACACAGTCGATGATTGTAAATCCGGAAACCGTCGCGAGATTCAGCAAAACGAGAATGTTTACTAGATATATCCTACAGCACAATTTGATCAGTTGGCCTCGAATCCATTTGCATGGCACCGGAAAAATAAAAAGATAAAAGAAGAACAAAAGAGAGATAAACCAACCCAAAGGTGTAACGTGCTTGTATCATCTGCCGAAGACCAGTCTTGGGGCCTAAGATCGAGAGATACGCCGGTGGAATGGTGCAAAGGAGGTTGAAAAAAATAATGACAAGGATTGCATCCCGTAAACTCAGACCAAGGCTGAGTGTTCCCACCATGCCAGTAATGATTCTGTATACATTCCAGCAATTAGCTTCGCTTGTACATTTCACGGAGAACCGCCGTAACCAAAGATAGTAGCGATGCAATAGGAAAAAATAAATGAAATAAAATAAAAAAGAGGAAGATGAAGATGAAGAGGAGAGGGACGTACGGTAAAACATTACAGCTAACTGTGAACCACAGAAGAAAGACATTCACCACTCTCTTGTCCGTCCGTTCATCCACGCCAATAGGAACAATTCCCCGAAGCTCAACACCCCATGTTGCAAGACGATGCCAAAATGATTGGCAAAATCTTAGCAATGGCGGATCTTTTTCCTCTGGTAACTCGACGGGCGCTTGCTCAACAACCACCTGTGGTTCTCCATCCTTCTCAACGTCGTTTACACCGGGACTCGGTTTAGAGCTCGTCTGTTCGGACCACATTATCAAGCCCGGTCGTCAATTGGGAGGGCTAACGATTAAGAGAAAGGATTGGCGAAATGTCAAGAGGCGGATTCAGCCCATCATGAAATATTTTTTTTTCCATCTCCCCCGCTCGAGTCACGCCCTGCGCTCGACTTTCGCGGGGCTCGGAGCTCTTATCTTATCAGACCGCCAAATTTCGAAATAAGCTTTCGGAGTAGCAACACGTGATTGAGAAAAACTCCGAAAAAAGTCTTGGCAAAACCGCCTCACTGAGAGCAGAACGGGACCCAGGAGCACGCACTATCCAGAGGCGAACAACACGACGGCGGAGTTTTTGACCACCTTCGGGCCCAGGGCGGCCGCAAGCTCAGCGACTATACCTTTGATTGCGTGCGGTTCCTTGATATTCGACTTCTCCCACGCAACTAAGTCCTAAAAGTTTTGAACAGTGTCAGCACGTGCGAAATGGAATTAATTACGGCTCGAACTTACGGTCATTTCCACTAAAGTGTTATGGACAAGCAGACGCCAGTGATCAAGATCAATCTGGGCCTGAACTTCTTCTAATGTCAGGACGCCGGGCATGTGGATGTCAAATAGAGACATTTCTTCTTCACCGGGGAGGATAAATCCATCGTCTCGAGATTCATTCGCTCGTTCTTCGCCGACCTTGCGGTCCCGGGATAGAGATACGTATCTTCGCTTATTGAGTTTCTCAACGTAGCTATCCAGAGGGTCCCAAGAAAGGGATTCGGGGTCTGAAAGTTGGTTAGAACGGTCAAAGTAAACCGCTAAAATCAAAGCATACCTAAAAGGTACTGAGGCCGAAATGCCCCTTTATACCGCATTTTGGGACAGGAGTGTATGTAGTATCCTTAATGATGGTGTCATTAGCCTGCTCTGGTTAGTCAAATGGAGCCAATTCTTGCCGTACCCATGTAGTAATACTGATGATGACCCTCAATTGCCAAAGCGATTTCTCTCATGGCACTCAGTTTTCCGATCTCCCAATGTTCGTATTGTGGATCATAACTGTGATACGTCAGCCTTGACAGAGGTAACCGGCCTTTTCCCGAAGAACGCACTATATATAAACTGAACTGACACCGGTGGGCAATAGATCGAGGACCCCAACGGCAATAAGCTCTCCGTCGAGCCGGTAACATTGATGATATGAACCTAGCTTCTGCTCCTTAAAACCTTGCCTCACTGTCTTACGCTTAATCCCAGAACAGAGGAAGCGTTTGTAATCCGATTGCTTCCATCTCTCTTGCGGGTCTTTGTGCACAGTCATTTGGTAGTTGAGGAAGATATTATACCTAATGCCGTAAGTAAGAATCAAAATATCGATGGTAGGTAACAAACTTCATTAATGACAATGAATCGGCCTCAATATTCACTTCAAACTTATGGGCCGGTTCTATCGGCCTCTTTGTTTTCGGATCAACCGGGCGCTTGAGCTGACTATACTCGGCTTCATGAACTCGTTGCCTTAAGTCAAAGGTATTTCTGCGATATTTCTTTTCCCTAAAGACATCTCGTGAGATAGGTACTCATCATATCGAACTAGTCTTTGAGATCGAAATTCAGCCAAGCAGAAAGGAATTACCGACTCTCTTGTCTTAGGGCAGAGTCTAGCGGCACTCCGAATATATTCCTGGCCAAGAACAAATTTGTTCCAGCGATTGAGAGCCTTCTTCTGGTCTCTTCTAGGTTTATACGAGCTCGCTTCTAACCTAAAGTAGCCGTTAGGAAGCTCGCAACTGAATGTCAAAGAAATATTTGGATAACTTGGACAGCCTACAGACCTCATAGTATAATGAGGGCAGCATGACCGCTCCAGGTTTGGTTTGTAGTAAAGAGTCCCAGATCTAACAACCGTCAGCTCAGGTAATCGACAAACAAAGCAAATAAGATCAATCACAAACGAAGAGCTTTACCTTCTCCATCCTCGGTTCAGAAGCTCTTCGTATTCTTCTACACGAACTGAGGTGGACGATGCATAATAGCTAGCACCTATCCAGAAGGGACACTAGAGTCAGAAGTGGACTTAAAGCAGAACATGGATTTTGTCTCTACTGACTCCCATCTGCACTCTTGCAATAACCACAATCATGCCGCTGATATCCTACGAACTAATGGGTCAGCATTGCATTGAATTTAAGTCCAGGAGCTCACGAGTAAAATTCCCGCAAAACAGGAAAGATAATAGAGCGGCCACCGTTAAATATTCATAACAAATGGCCAGACTGAATCATAGAAATCTCAAATTGACTCCATTATTATCCCCAAATATGTACACAGATCATGTACATACATACACAGCTTTTGGTGCAGGGAATAACGGGGTCTCTAGCATATGATTCGGGACCTGATAGTATCGGCTTACCTCGAGGAGCAAAGAAAGATAGTTCACCCGGCTGGACTTCACCTAATGCCGCCATTTTTGATGAAGTAATGTGGAAATCTCTGCGATGTTTGCGTGTTCAGGCAGTTGGGCGGGCTGGCGGGGGTTTGGTATGTAGTTTGCAAGCTCCAATGGCGGGAAATCCAACCTAATCGTAATTGGAGCTAAATTAGCTTCCACTCAGCGCTAGTCTATATTTGGTACGTAACACCGACCCGGAAATCCGGTTGGCTCAGGTCGCGCGAGAGTTGCAGAGATAGCGACTTACCTAGGCATAGAAGCAACTTCATGAAGAAGCAGATCCTAGAGGTTTATAGTATTTGTGGGAGACACGGACAGCATATAGAGGGGAAGAAATGTAGGAAGGGAGAAGTATCCCCTTAAACAAAAGCCACAGTAAGAAATCGTATTTCATATTGCTTTCACCGTTAGAGACACAGCAGCCCGGTAAAGGAGGTAAAGGAGCATTTAAAGTAGAAGCCCAAGGAAATATAAGAAGACAACCAATCCCGAATCCTGTAGTGAAGTCAATAAATCCAGACCGCCAGGTTTCAAGTCATTTTCCCCGTCCGCCCAACGCCATCCTTGCATATAGATTAAAGCAGGAAAAAGAAGAGCAACAAGGATACAGCTATGAGTACAAAGCACGCTCTTCGTAGGAAAATAGAAGGGTGGCAACTTTCCCAGGCTGAATCGATAAGCTTGCTTTGGATATTCCTGCAAGCTACCCCCATGACGGTCATAGTAGCCGTGAAAGAGATTCGTCCCAAGAGCCACGACGACAGAGGTTGTGATAGATTCGAAATCGCATCTAGAATCCATAGCCTTGGCCGTATGGCGTCGCTCCATATGGAGTTGTGCCGCCAGCACCGCCCCATACACTCTGACCTCCTACACCGGCTCCAACGCCATTTGGTGCATAAGTGCTAAACCCGCCATCAATACCTTCCGGTGGCTCGTACGCGTCCGGACTCCGCGCCCCATCGATATCAACACCATTCATACCGTCTCCACGTTCGTTGGGTTCTCCGGTGCCAGTCAAGGCAGATATAATTTCTGCAAGCTTTCGCTGGAGAACACTGATACCTTGCTGGACGATGGCGTCTGGTTCCAGGCTTCCGACGCTTTCAACATCGAGATAGAAAGTCGAGGGTGTGGCATCATAGTCAAACGGCATATCAGGTGGAACAGGGTTCTCCCATTCGGCGTTGGCAGAAATCGGCCTACGAAACCGTCAGCAGCCACAGTCAGGGGGGTATAATCAACAAAAAGCGTACAACTCACCATTCCTTGATCGGGTCCTCTTCATACCAATAATCCACATGTTTCAAATTATTATGCGGATCATACTCAAATCCCACCGCTGCCGTGGGCGACCATTTCGCGTGCTCCTTCGCAATCCCCTTCTTCACGGTACACGTCATCTTCACCTCCTGTCCCCTTCTTAACTTGCAAATTATCGGGCCCTTCCCCGCAGGGTCGTTGATCACCGGATTCCCTACCCACTCATTCGCGCGGTCCCCAACCACCACCAGATCGCGCGCATATACCACCATAACCCCCTCGCCCGTACATTTTGCATGTAGCTGCAGCGTAATCAGGCACCGTGAACAGCCGCCTTCGCAGTCACATTCTCGTGCGTAGACCATGTCAACGTCACAGTTCTTGGAGTGTAGGGGGATGAGGCCGAGACGATGGGCAATGAATTCATCGGGCAGGACAGAGGTGTTTGATTCGATTTCGACGACGTCGATGGCTACCGTGGGTACTTCGGTGAGCATTACGCGACGCAGAGAGTTGGCAAAGGCGAGATCTACGGAAGTGAGGCGGAAGTCGACTCTGTGTGGTTCAGCCTGGTGATTGCAGATTAGTATTATTGTTATTTTGGAAAGCAAGCGTAAGAGAGAGGCGGGTCTACGCGACCGAAGAGATCAAGTAGCTGGTATGGAGACGCGCATAGTAGAATGTCTCACCTCTCGCACTGTGACCTGCGGCCCCTGGGGCTCAATATCCATTTCATCATAATCCATGGTTGCGCAGGCGTCTTCGAGGCGGAGCTGCGCGCAGGCAAGCTCACTCTGGCGAAATTTTGAACGTGTCCGATGTTCTCGGGAAAATGGAGTCTCGACGGGAAACAAAGGCTAAAATAAGAAAGAGAAAGTTCTACCTGTCAAATTGAGAAAGATTACAAAACATGGCGGAGGGTAACTATGTAAGAATTGGTCGATTCCAGCAGCGATATCTCTCGCCTCCGTTCAATTTCATTCACTCTCCTGCGATGCATCTGGGAAGGTCCGGATTATCTAATTCGGCGTATTGTTATCCCGATATCCGAGTTTTGTTAGGTAATCCAACTAGCACCTCGCTCACGTGACCCACATAGATTAGCCGAGATTCCCCTTTAGGTAGCTTAGTGAATGACAAGCATACAAGTCCTCCATCAGGTTATAGCCCTTTGCGCTGAAGAGCAAGCGTATAAGGTTGATTTACAGCTCAATTGGATATTGAAGCTTACGATCAACATCCTGAACGGTTATCCTTGTGGATAACGAGGTTTTACGAGCACAAGAGAGAGCGTACGTTGAGATAGACGCCTCCTATACGTGCAACCCCTGTAGCTTTCTGGCACGCGACCAGAGAGTGAGCGAAACGCCTGCTAAACGCACCTAGCAAGCAAATCGAGCACCTGGCAACGCCAAAGCCATGGTGAACCGTACGGACGAACCGGAGCACCGAACTCCTGACCGGGAGGCTCCAACAAACCTCCCTACACCCCAAACCGAGCTTAGGCGGTCGAGTAGGCTCAGAGGCAGCTCGCCAAACGACGAGCAGGAGCCTAGGGAGGAGAGTGAACTCCAAATGTTGCGCAGAATGATGCTGAATCAACAGGAGATGATGCAAAAGCAACAGGAGTCGATGCAAAGGCAACAGGAGACAGTACAACAGCTGGCACAGCAAGTGAACCTCCTATCAGGCCAAGCAAGCACCGCAAACGCACCTGCAACGATGCAGGAGAACCTAGAGCACGAAGCTCAACAAGAAGAAGAAGAGGACCGAGAAATAGACTCTGATGAGGAACTAGAAGAATATGTCGGCAACCTTATAGACACAAATACGCGAATCGGCAGAGCAATCACCCAATTCACGAAGATCACGAAGACGGTGAAGAAGCCTATGACCCTGGCTGGAGCCAGCAACTACCTAGCATGGAGCAAAGCCATCCTAAAGGTAGCCCGCCAAGTAGGTGTTGAGAAGATTATCCTGGAAAGGCAAGAGACTTCACCACGGCCAGAGCGCTTGAAGATTTCACAATACTGGAATGTTCAGAATAATTGGCTACACGGCCTAATCGACAGCACAATATCTGCACAAGCCAGAGAACACTTCGAGGAATCGGATAGCCTTAGTGCCTACAAACTCTGGGAAGCTGTAAGGACAGCCTTCCAAGAGAGACCTGAGATACAGCGGGAAAGCCTACTTGCGGAGTTAGTGAGAATGACACCACAATCCGCTGGCTCAGAAAGGAATTATATAGAGAGATTCCTAGCAATCCGTGGGGAATTTGAGAGATTAGGGTTCAAACAACTGGACCACACCCTACATGATATCTTAAAGATGAACATTACGTCCCGATGGAGAGAGTTCATACAGAACCGATTTGATATGGCATGCCAGAGCGGAACGAACCTACCGGAGAAGGATCTGGAAGGCCTACTGAAGGATATCCTCCACCGAATCCCCAAGAAAGACCTGAAGAAAGGTGGATCTACAAAGCCAAATACAAATGCAACAAGCTCGGATCCCCAAAAGTCTTATAAGAATACGAACTCCGAATCCAATCCAGAGAAGAGCTCACTGCAGAACTGGAACTGCTATATTTGTGGCAAACCTGGCCATTTGGCTAAATTTTGCAAATCTAACAAGAATTCGAAGCCTAACGAGCCTAAGGAAGACTCTAAAGGCAAAGGCAAGGAAACAACTACGGTTGCAACGGACAAGATCCATTCGGTTCACGAAGCAGCCTTTTCTATGAAAGAAGCGCGCGAATCCACAGACAAATGGATCCTTGACTCTGGAGCCGGATCCCACGCGACCTCACGTACGGATCTAGTTCAAATGGACCCAAAGAGCCATGCAACACAACTGCTTATGGCGAACGGTTCGAAATCAGTCACCAGAGGATTTGGCACGGCCAGTATCCAAACTGACAACGGAGAATTGAGCATTGGGGGGGTTAGAATCGTGCCTGACCTCCAGGTTAACCTCATAAGCTTTGGGAAGCTTATACGAGACGGCTTTACAGTGGAACAGCTTTATGTCGACGGAGAACACGTCTTCCTACTAGAATCGGCAGATAAAACACAGAGCTTCGAAGCTGTGCTTAACGAGGATGACATCCTAGTCCTACGAACGCCTAGGATACGCAATTTACTGGCATACGCGTTTCCAGTACCTACGAAACTCCTAGAGCCCTGCTATGTAACAGCAACTCTGGAGAATAAAGATAGAGATGACGCGCTTTTGGCACCGAATCACCTGGCAAAGACGCCAGAAATCAAGGAGGATACGATGGCCAATTGGCACAAACGCTGGGGGCATCTCAACGCCCACGATATAGCTATTCTAGCTAGAGATCCGAGAATGGCAATGCGAATAAAGGGAGTAAAGAAGCTAGGGTTCTGTGAAACCTGTGCTAAAGCTAAGCAAGCTCGCAACCCATTCGAACCTAGAACACGCTCTACAAAGCCTGGAGCTAAAATTTTTATTGATATTGCAGGTGGCGGCCGTACCCTATCCACAGACTCCGATCCTCCAAGCTACGGCGGAGCGAAGTATTTCCTACTTATAACGGACGATGCCACACGATACAGGTGGATCTACCTCCTGAAGGAGCGGGTAGAAGCCCCAGAAACCCTGAAGAACTGGATCAACATGATCGAAGTGTCTACCGAACGAAAGGTCGGCACTATACTGTCCGATGGAGCTCCCGAATTGACGAGCCAACAACTGGCTGAATTCTACAGGAGCAAGGGTATACAACAGGAGATTACGTGCCCATATACACCTCAACAAGATGGAACGAGTGAACGAGGAATACGACTTCTTTGCGAGCGAACAAGAAGCGTACTTATAGACTCAGGACTACCCAATGAGTTATGGGGCGAAGCTCTCGCCACAGTCTCCATGATGGTGAATCTATCGCCTACCTCAGTGCCTCTATACGGATGCAAGAACACGAAGCCGTTGACACCCTTTGAAGCCTGGACGGGTCACCAACCCCATTGCAGATGGGTCCATAGGTGGGGATGTGACGCCTACGTGAAGATTTTGAACGAATCCTCGAAGCTCCAACCTAGGTCCAAGAAGGTCAAATTTGTAGGATATCGTGGCATGCACACCTACAGGCTTTGGGACCCAGAAACGAACAGTATAATGATCTCGCGAGATGTTATATTCGACGAGAAATTGGATCAAATCCCTACGAATTCGCTAACCGAAGCCGAATACGTTGAACTCCCGGAGGAGTACGATTACATAGATCCATTGAATGGCTGGCAACACAAGCTACTAGCTTACCTTGCGAAGGAGAAGCCAGAAATCATGAAGAAGCTCGCGGACGGCGAATTAGAGGCTTTAGAGCCCACATACCTGGGCGAAGAGCAAGAAATCCTCTCGGATGCTACGGAGGAAGAAGAGGCAAATGGAGCTGAGCTTCCAGTGCTCAGTACGCGTACAGATATACCAAAATCCATCGCCGAAGCCAAACGCTCTGAAGAGTGGCTTTATTGGAAGGAGGCTCTAGATGTTGAAGTCTCCAAATTACAAGAGAAAGGCACCTGGATCCTAGTCGAGAAGGAACCCCAAATGCAGATCCTCTCTGGCAAATGGGTATTCGATAGGAAGCTCAACAACACGGGTGGCACAGTACGATTCAAAGCCCGTTGGGTCGTACGTGGATTCGAACAGCAAGAAGGCGTTCACTACAAGAAGACCTACGCAGCAGTTGTTAGTGGACCTACAACGAGAGCCTTCTTTGCTATCTCAACAGCCAAGAACTGGAAGGTCAGAGTCTTTGACTTCGTGACAGCCTTCCTAAATGGAACTCTTCCAGAGGACGAACGTGTATACGTTCAACTACCCACTGGATTCAAGCACGGGCGGGGTAACCTAGTAGGGCTCTTACGCCAGGGACTCTACGGGTTGAAGCAAGCTGCTAGGCTTTGGTATCAAGCAGCTACTGACTATCTGAAATCTCTAGGATTCCAGATCTCTCCATACGATGCGGGGTTACTCTACCACAAGAGGAAGCAAATCTACCTAACCCTACACGTCGACGACTGCCGTATAATGGGACCCAACGAAGCCGAAATAGAATGGCTCATTGAGAAGCTTCAGGAACGCTTCGAGATCAAGGAGGTTACGGAACAAGGCCGTTACCTAGGCATGCGGGTTCAAAAGCAGCCGAATGGAGACCTTTTTGTGAACCAGGAACAGTATATCGAGGATCTACTGACTGAATATGGAATGGAAGACTGTAAACCTTCCAAAACGCCAATGAAGAAAGGAATAAGCATCGAATTCGCGCCAGATCAGACCCTCAAAGATGGAGTTGACGAGCAGGCTACGCCTACGAATTACAGGAAAGGCCTGGGCTCTCTACAGTTCCTAGTTACGTGTACGAGGCCGGATATTGCATTCGCAGTCAATTATCTGGCGAGATTCAACAGCAGGCCCAATAGGGAAAGCTGGGCGGCGTTCAAGCAGATCCTACGCTACCTCAAGGGCACAAAATCGAAAGGAATAGTCTTCAAAAGGGATATGGATCCTGAAGGCTTGAAACCGGCGGCCAGTTCGGATTCTGACTGGGCTGGAGCCGACCCTGCGTACAAATCCACCAGCGGCTACATTATTACCATGAACGGAGCTCCAATATCGTGGAGATCACAGCGCCAGACGTCCGTCTCGAAATCAACGACCGAAGCGGAGTATTTGGCAGCTAGCGAAGCTGCTTGTGAACTAGTTTGGATCAACGACCTGTTGATAGACGCCGGGGTGATTAGCGAAGGCTCAGCAAAGCTAAGGAGCTCAAAATTAAGTGTTGACAACAAGGGAGCGGTTGACTTAGCCAAAGCTGAAGCTATAACGCGAAGAGCACGCCATATTGAGATTCGGCACCATATGCTAAGAGACTGGGTTCAAAAGGACGAAATCTCAATCGAGCACGTTGGAACCGACGCGAATAAAGCTGACGGGCTCACGAAGGCTCTTGCAATGGATCCCTACGCTCAATTCGTGAGCGCGATAGGGGTGACGAGTTGATACAGGAAAATATGGAGGTTTATCAGTGAAGCCAGCGAAAATACGGTATCGCGGCGAACGGAGCTAAGCCTAAAGAAGGAATAAATCTGGATTCTGTAATTAATTTTTATCGCGGATTTGAGAGATTTGGAAGCTTTGGATCTTTGTGGCTCTCGCTCGCTGCTGGAGCTCGTTGCATGGGGGGGTGTTAGGTAATCCAACTAGCACCTCGCTCACGTGACCCACATAGATTAGCCGAGATTCCCCTTTAGGTAGCTTAGTGAATGACAAGCATACAAGTCCTCCATCAAGTTTTATCCTGGCTCAACGCAAAGCTCGGCCCGCCGTTGCCGACGGATTTTTCCTAGGGATGACGGGAGCGGACCAGGTCATCCCATTGCTCATCAGCCGGGCGAGGAATACGGAGTACGGAGAACAACGGGCTTCAATCCAGCTCCAACGCAGACTCGGTATTGATATCACAAAAAATTGTGGCCCGGTGGGAACATCGTCGTTAAAGCACACTAACTAGCGAATTGTAAACAGTTCCAGAAAATTTCTAATAGCACTCAGAGCCACGAATAGTCTCTGTAATATAAACCAGGATCATCTCAAAGAGTCTCAGCACAATCGGTGAATTCGATTTGAATTGAACGCACTAGTATCTATGGAGCCTTTCTAGATCAACAGTGTTTACTAGTACCCAAACCAGACCCCCAACCCTTCTATATCATTTCCCAATCATGTGTTATCCAGAAGCAAAGATTGAAAAAAAAAAAAAAATAAAAAAAAAAAAAAAAAAGGAAGAGATAAGCGATAAAAGAAAAGAGTGAAAGACTGAGCATGAAAATGTACAGCAAGACAAACATGTCCAAGCATTATCCGCGTGTTATATGCTCAATCTCAACAATCACTCTGTCTCTCTATCGCCCGGAGAAGGACAATTGAGAAGAAAAGGAAGAAGAAAGACAAGAGACATTGGGAGACATTTAGGCCAGCGGGGTTGGAGACAAGGAGTAAACAGCAAAAACGGGATGCCATCCAGGGACTAGGCCGTTGACTGCAGGGACCAAAGCCGAAATTTGTGATGATTGCCCAAGTGAAAGTGGGTTTAAAAAGAGGATAAAGTGTGAATGCCTCCCCAAAAAAAAAAAAAAAAAAAGGCAAATCAAAGCAAAATCAAGTCTATGGATGGGTTGTAAATTTCTGCATGCAATGTCCCAAGAAATAATGCTCAAAAAAAAAAAAAAAATTAACAAAAGCTTGGTTATGGATAATCAAATTATGATATGAATCGCTGAATGGCACCTGAACTTTCAAGGCCGGTTGTGAGCTTCGATTCGTAATGTGGTGTGCATCTCGAAAAGGGGACCGGGAAATGGCCGGGGCGAAGGTCGCAAAACAAAAAAACGCTAGATGATGTCGTAAATGAACTTTTTGAAGGCGGTAATTCGCGTAGCAAAAGAAAAATGAGGCCGAAAGAAATGGCAGCCAATGTACTCCGTATATGGTCACGTTCTCATGATACGCCATCCGCAGGTCGCACCCACGCATACCCCCAAAATGGCTACATCACGCAACGCAGGATGGGATGGAAAGGTGCAAGCCGAATAGGGCGAATAAAGGACCAAGGAATGGACGGCACAGACTGAGCACAACACCTATCGTTTGATGGAGCTCCGATTTAGAGCCTCCAGCAGCTCAGGCCGGTTTGTAAGAGCCGCAGCTGCCTGTGAATACGTGACCCATTGCCGCTTGCGTTTGTGCATTTCCGGCCACTGAGCCTCCTCGCGGTCCACACGGACCTCGAAGAACTGGTATTGTACCTTGGGGGCCTTCGCGGTAACCTGGGCAGGCGTGCGCATGTCGCTGATCACGCCCAGGTCGCGCAGGACGGTGCAGACCACACCAGCTTCCTCCCAGGCCTCACGACATGCCGCCTGCTGTGCGGATTCTTCGTCCAGCTCCCATCCACCCTTGGGGAGAACCCAACCTCCGGGCCGCGCGGATTGTATCAAGAGGACCTTTGACTTGTCGGGGGACATGGGCACGACGCCGGCGACGAGTCTCTCGCCATTGGTGCCGTAACCTGCGATCACAGGGGTTGCGGTCAGTCAGGCAAGCTCCCTCACGAATAGAATGGAACATAAAACAAAACAACAGGGAAGCCAGCGAGAGAGAGAGGGACAGAGAGGCAAGAGTTTCGTGTGACATGCAGTGTGGGGTGCATTCGTAAATAACAGTTTGGCTGCCTCTCCTGCAGCGGTGTTGGTCGGCGTCTGTAGGTAGGTTGTTGCCAGGCAGGGGCGGGGATTGTTTGAGCCCGCCGCAGTGCAGGGATGACAAGGCGCGAGGGGCATTGGATGAAAGGGACACGTGCTTCAACCAAGGGTCAGCAAGCGACTTACGCTGGTTTGTTCGCCCAGTTCGGGACTCCATAGTGCGGGTTTGTGCCATCGTATCAGATTTCTTGGTCGCCGTCGACCTTTTTTTTTTTTTTTTTGCGAACTTTTATTTCTATTTTTTTTTTTTTTTTTTTTTTTATTTTTTTCGCCCAACAGACAGGTAACCTGCAGCGGATCGCCAGCGAAAAAAAAAAAAAAAAGGAAAGAAGACAGATCGAACCCTCTGCAGGTCTCGAACGGATACAGGCGGTTTGGTCAAATCGCAACCTGGTTTTCTGGCGGCCTTTTTTGAGGCTCGAGGGAGAGACGTCGCAGGTATCTCGGTGTACCCGGAAGTACGTACAAGGTCCAAGGGTGAAGGAGCTGCGGAGTAGGCACTCGACGCCGATAATAGAGGATCACAGAGTCGAAATATTCACACCAGGGGCTCTCTGGGGGATATGCTGCTTGAAGAAACGTGTATATATATATATATATATATAATTCTTTGGGGGATAAGTGGCTCGGTCACGGACAGGAACGGGGTTTTGCGGAGATAGACTGGCGATTTCGGAGAGGAAGGAATCCTTTTTTTCTTTTTTTTTTCCCCCAACGAACTCGAGGATCTGAAATCTCCCTTCACTTCCGCGGCGGACGGGGCTGCGGAAGAGAATGTTTCCTGGGAGGAGCTTGAGAGGTGGAGGTAGACATCTTAAATAATGGGTGAGTGGTATGTAAGTATGAGCTGGGAACGGGGGGGGAAACACCTTTTTTTTTAAGGACGGAGGAATGAGGCATGAATGACGGGAAGATGTTGTAATCCGGGGGGGGAAGAAAATAAGTTTCTTATTTCCGACATCACCTTTTTCCCCTCCCTTTCTGCACTCCTTGGTTACTGGAAATTTAGTTACGACGGGCCTTATTGTGCTTTGAACAGGCTGGGGGCAAGAAATAGGGCTCTTTTGGGTCCGCCCGAGTGTTGGCTGAAAGGGTGACCCGGTAAGTTTCGCTTTCACAAACCCCCTTCTGTCCCCTGGTTTGGCGTGGTGGGACCCTTTTTCATTTTTTTTCTTTCTTTTTTTTTTTTTTTTTTTGTCGGTCTCTCCCTTTCTCTTGGTCGAAGCTGCGTTTGCTGCCCATGTAACGAGCCCGTAACCAAGCCAAGGACCGCAGTTCCATGAAACTCGCAGGTTCCCCGGTGGTATCCTAACAGGGTCACGGTGAAGCTTCACTCATTCGATCCCGATGCCTGTGCCTTGACGCCAATTGATACATCCATGTGTCATTTCCACGGACGCAACAGCTTGCAATGTGGTTGATCTCACCGCCTTAGGTCAACACATCTTGAAGTCTCAGATCCATACATGCAGCCCTTCTGTGGTGTCTGAGGGCGGTGGGTACGCCTCATTCTCTTTCCCCCCCGGTATATCTACGTTTCTATGTAATCTGTAGTTTACAGGGCACAGATGGACGTCTCTTGGACGAGCAGGGAGCTTCCCTTTGAAACATTCGAAGTAACTTGTTACGTCGTTAGTATATGGGGTGACTCCCATGGTTGCTTTTTTTTTCGCTTTTTTCTTTTTCTACGGAGTACCTATTTTTTTTTTTTTTTTTTTTTTTAATTATTTTTCTTTTTTTCTTTTCTCTTGACCAACCACACGTAAACCCCAGAAAAGTCAACAATGATGCACCAGCACTTCCTGGGCAACTGCTGGGCAATGGGCACATTTTCTTTTTAAGTTGCCCTGGTTTCAAGGCCCGCCTCATGAGAAGACTGGCTGCAACACGACCTGCCTACCTTAGGTACATCATGCGTACATGCGGAGTAACTACACAACTAAACTGCCTCGATACGGCTTGCATCCAACGGGTCTCTCTCCCATTCATATCGCCACATGCGCCGCTTGGAGGCCCTGATCTGCTGTTGCTCCGCTGCATGGATTGGACTCACGGCATGCCACGCAATTTGAGCGCCCCTACATGCGAAAACGAAGCTCCATAATCTGCTCGGGCAGTTCGGTACCTACGTTAGGTATACACGTCTGTACGAAGTACACAAATAAATAAATACCCATGCACGGAGTACTCCGTCCAGTACACAGGTAACATAGGTACTCTTCCCATTCCCTGCGCTGTCCACCGTCCATGCGGCCGATAGCTGCAGACCAATTTACCCGTTATTTGTAACTCCACTGTCTATGCAGGTCATGGAAAGGGAAGTTGAACCTCAACGCCACGGAACGTTGATCATTGCCAACCACTGGCATTAACTATCCTTGCATTTTGATAAGGCGACCGCTTTCTGAGTCAAAGGAAGGGCCGAATGGCGCTGTCTTAAAAAAAGACACCGGGATCCACCAGTTTTCGGGACAGAAGCTGATTCACCCAAGCCAGCAATGACGCCATCTCGATGATGTTTTTCCCCGCCAAAAAAAAAAAAAAAAAAAAAAAAAAGGAGGGGAAAAAGAGAAAGAAAAAAGAAAACAAAAAAAGGAAAGAAAGAAAAGAAAGAAAGCAAACCTCCAACTGCCATGGACGGTCGATACTTGGCTCCTGGCTGCGTGAGGGCGGACATCCTGCACAACCACCCGGGCAACCCGGATAACACTGGATGATCGGGGTCCGTGATTCTCAGTTGGTTCTAGATAGGCAAACGCACGGACTGGATCATGATCGACTCTAGAGTATTAGTGTGCAGGGACTCGAGGGCACTACATACGGAGCACAGTGTGTATAACGACCCCTTGAACCCCATGCATGAGGCATTGTGCTACATGGCCGTAGCAGATCTTGAGAGCTATTGTTTCATAGATATGTTGCGAGCACTCCATAGCGCATGCATATGACTATATGCGGGGAGGTAGAAGCTTTTCTTTTCTTTTCGCGATCAGGTCATTTTTAATAGCGAATGATAGGCCCATGTACGGGGTAGGGACACCCTTTTTTTCCTTCGTACGAAGAGATACATAGTCGCGTCGGAACAAGGTATCTAGCTAATAAGGCTCTGCGCAACTGGCCCTCGATGCAATGGGCCAATATGTGTGCATCCACGACGAGCTCCAAGGAGCAGCAACCAATCGCAAGCTTCACGGATAGCCAAAAACCCAGACAACAGAGCTCCGAAGCCGGCGGTAGTGTGGCCGCAGCTCCTTTGGGTCCTTCCCGGCTGACCTGGGATGGGACATCCTGCGGATGAATGCTTGGCTGGATGATTCATGGGACCTTTCTCCTGGAGCCTTGTATCACAATGTATATATACCCCATATATGCAGCTTACCGGGACCTGGGTGGAGCTCGAACGCATATTCCATGTGTAATTGCATATAAGGACCGGTATTTCTGGAATAAACCTACACTTCTAAGATCGGATTCGAACTTTACGAGCTTCCGCCTGTTTACTTCGCCGTCCAGCGGAGAAAACCGTTGTACAATACATCCATCCATCCCTTCGCTGAACTCTCTCAACCGGCGCACGGATTAAGTTTCTATTTAACTCACTCCTTCAAGAGTCTAATTCCACCAGAGCGTTCCGGAAGCAGGACCTGCCTCCGATCCCTGCAACCCCAACCAACATCATACCCCCGGTCACTCAGTGGGTTTTATCTGATGGAAAGATTGTGAGGAGACGGCACTCTGCAGGCCACAACGTTCCAAGCAATGAATGCTTAGTATCCGGCCATGTGGCCTTCAGCAACCTTAATACGCAGCGAGGCGATGATAGTATTCTCCTTCACGCCCAGGAAACCCCCCCGGGCCAAAGTTCTTCTATCAATCTTAAAAAAAAAAAAAAGGAAAAAAGGTCAAGCTGGGGAGAATCAGTCCTCCTTCCCTTGTCTCCTCAATCCTTCATGTACAGCAGGAAGTGAGTGGCAGGGTGCTCCGTGGTTACTCCGTACTCAGTGCTAGAATGAAGGATCCATCTTGAAAGCTAGCCAAGTTAGTCAGTGATGCCCTCTTCACATACCTTCCAGGTCGTAACTGATGTTCGGGATCCCAATAGCCATTCTTGAAACCACGGTAACTCTCCTTGGTAACAACGGACATGCTAACCACTCTTAAGCCATGGATGCGCAGCCGTTTAACCAGCCAGTCTTTACGTATTTGATATGACGACCCAAAATGCTGGTAAGGCAATGAAGAAAGCTTCCCAATATTATGTTAGGTTTAGTAAAAAAGAAACTCTTTGTGAAGAATGCCACAAACTTTATGTAGGGTCTTTTCAACTTGATGAGGATTCTCGGTCTTTTAATGCCTTCATCATACCCAATAACATTATTCTTGCTGACGTGCACAAGGTTTGCACCCTTGTGTGATGAACAAGCCGGTTAAGTCTGCTCCCGACAAATCTACTACATATATGTCGCATGGGTTGAGTAACTCTATAGATTCGGCCTTTACAGTAGCAAGCGAGTATGCAAAGAACCCGGGAAAGGTAGCTGGATGAGAAAAGAAAATCTCACAGAAGGGATTTTCCTCTTTGAATATGCTCGCAACGGCATTTTTAGTTCAGAAACATAACTGAAATATGGCATTTTGGAGGATCATTACTGGATGATTGGATGCTTTCTCAGCGTCAAATCAAGCAGGACTGACTATTCCTAGCCTTAGATGGATAGCGGCAACACAGATAAACAGTTGAAAGGAATGTTCCAATATTCATGTGCTCTTTATTTATCCAGTGAATTCTCACGGGCCACCCATATGAAAGGGTCATATGCCATTGATCTCCACAATACTGATTCAACCTGAGAGAATCCTTGGATGCTTCACAAGTGCTAACTACCCTATGGAATTCCAACCACACTGGAGACTTGCAGCTTTGTCTGAACGACGTTTGCATTTGGCGTTACTCAAAGGGGTCAGGGGGAGAAAAGGAGCGGCGGGCAACCCAGAAATGAAAAACACGCAACCCATTCCATCCACCATGCGTCCGTTGACTGATGCTTCTAATGAAAAATCAGATCATCATCATCACCAAAGGCAGGAAGTCCACCTGGCAGATTGAACCCCATTAGCATCATAGTCAACAACAATATCTCAAACTCCAAAGGAGACCATCCGGACGGAAAGAAGGGAGGGGAAATCCTACACACAAGCCGGAGCAGACCAGCATAGACGTCGCGGTTGAGAAGCTCCCTGGTGCACTCAGCATCCGTGCACTGCTTCGACAGCTTCAACTGCTGCTCTTCGATCGCCATGAGCATGAGGCCACAGCTGCGGAGGTCGCTGAAGAGGTGATCGATTTTACAATGGACTTCCGCAACGAACTTCATCAGCTCCAGAGACGTCACGATCTGGTTGGTCACGTTGATCCAGTACTGTCTCAGCTTTCGCTCCACAGCGCACAGTTCGCGGTCGAGCTTGGCCATCTTGTCGACAACCTCCATGGTGGACTTCTCTATGTCGTGGCATTCTAGGTTGGGGGGCCAGGGGTCAGCAGAGAATATCCCTTGATTTCAAGAAGGAAGGATATGGCAGAGTACCTTCAACGATACCGCGTCCTTCGGGATCAGTGGCTTGCAGAATTGGGGTAATCGGCATGATGTTCAAACTTGCACCTAGAACAACCCGGAAGTTGGTAGGCTTAGGAAAGCAGTTTAGGAGTATGGAAGGTGTTCCTTGTTTGGTGAAACAAAGTGAGGGAGCAGCACAGATCACAAATGAATGCCTGCCTCAGATGCACAGGAAGAGAAAGAAAAGGAAAAGTGAACTGAGAGAAGGGCCATCTGTTGGATTCGGAGTATTCCATCACTGCACTCGTTGCTCCGCAACGAGCAATACAACAGATTACAGAAGATGGTGAAATTTCTTGTTTACTGTTCTCACCTCATATATCTTTGACTTGAGGTAGGGAGGGGTTTGGCGGTCTCTCATGGTATATGATGCAGACACTGGACTTAGACAGACAAACAAATCTTCATTCAGGGCTTAGAATAATGCAAGAATGGTATATACTCTCAGGGGAAATCTGGATGCCATGCTGGGGAGGCAATATATGGATATTCCCCCCTGAGGATGCTTGCCATCGCCTTACATTAAACGCGGCTGTCCCAGTCAACATGCTTGCTCGCCGGGCTGAAGGTCCATGACGGATATTTCGAGCATACACTACCCATGTGTGGCAATGACAAAGTTTCCTGACGTCCATTCTTCGGGGCATAACTCGAACAATCCACGTCAGGCTTGCCTGAACTCTGGTAACGTCCCCAACCTTGATCACATAGTTTACCCGCCACATCAGCATGACGGAGAGATGACAGAAGATTGACATCAAAATAATGTCAGTTTGGTACATCGAAGGGGACATGTAAAGCTCGACTGGGCCCAGCTGTCCATCCATCTTCTTTTCTTTTCCGTCAGCTTCAAGATATCTCGAACAGAGCAATCAAAAAAATAACGGAAAAAGCGTCTTACCAACCATCATACCTATACACTCAAACCATGTCATATCGCACACGTCGAATCATTCATAACCTTTCTCAGCGGCGTCTCACGCTGATAATCCCATTCTACCCGCCTCACAAAGATCCCAGCCCACCACCTTCGCGGGACACCAGCCCGCACCCACAAGGACATCGCATCGGACGACACGGAGACCGGCTCTGGCAGTTCCCCAAGGTGATCCTCGAAACCCTGAACATCCACTACAACAGCAGGACGAACGGTGACGCTCTCAATAACCAACACAACAGCAGCTACCTCGGCTCCAGCACGTGGTATCCGTCTAGCAGCACCGGGAGCTTCTCACCTGAACGCTTTCCCATGTACCCGCTGACCTACGCCGACCTCCTCCCAGACGAAGGAGAAGAACAACAACACCAACAACAACAACAGGAAGGGCAAGAGGAAGTCGACGGGACGTACTCGGCCCCATCGTCAGCGGGACCGGCACCGGCACCCGAACCGGCGCGAGACACCTTCGAGGTCCTACTCTGCGAGAGCCAGCCTTTCGGCCGTTGGCGGATCCGAAACGGCATGACGGAGACCCACGATTCCGTCGAAGCCGCGAACGATGCCGCGATGCAGATGTTAGCCTGCTATCACGGCGACCTGCTGGGCCAGTCCAGCTTGAATTTCGTTCGGCGGGAACCCGGGGAGACGTGGTCTCGCTGCGACTTGCCGGCGGAGCGGGTTGTGTGGTCGATCGATCCGGTGGACGCGACGCTGCAGTTTAGCGGACTGGGGCTTTTTGGGGAGACGTTCCTTATCTGGGCGCGCAGACGATGGGCTGGGGAAGTTATGGAGTATTGGTGTGGGTAATTGTTTCTCTCTTTCTCTCTCTCTCTCTCTCTCTCTGAGTCTCTCCCCCTCACACATATTTCTTTTTCTTCGACGGTTGCTTCCGGTTTAAGGATCATGATCTTTGCCTTTGCGCTCTGCTTGTTTTTTCCTTCCTGTATCATGACCTCATCTTGCTTTTTCTGGGTATATGTATAGAACCAAAGTAAGCGTGGTGTTGTATGGATTGAGTATATGGGTATCTTGTTAGCTATTGCTATCTCAAGGACAAAACATGCTATATGAGCATAGCCGCGTATGGAGTACATATTTAGGTATTATCGCTTCGAGATAAATGAAGAATGGCACTTTGTACATGTAGGTAGTAAGTAGTTCTTCTCTCTTCCCTTCCTTCAGCCAGCGTAGCACGACGAGTGTGTACGTTAGGTAGGTAGGTAGGTAGGTAGGTAGGTATATACGGAGCAGGGTTGATGTAATTATGTCATTAGGGTTTTACCACGCTCTCACTCGTAGTCTGGATCGTAGATTCTCGCTTTGTAGAACCGCGCGTCGCTCCAGCCTCTAGCATCTTTCTGGTTTCCTACGCTCGAGCCCCATCTAACATACGGTCCCATCTCGCCCTTGTCCTTGTAACCCCTGACCCACATGTACTCCCCGTTGCGGTGTCTCACGAGACTCTTCAATCTCTTCATGTTCTTCAGGATCTTGAACTTGCCCGTCGAGGTGTTGAAGGCATACGCGGCGTATGAATCCGTCAGGAGGAGCGTCTTCTTGTTCGAATAGTCCGGCTGAAGATCGTGTCCGAGGCCCTTCTTGGGCAGGCCGTACTTGGCGACCCGCTTCAGGCGGGTGTTCTTGTACGAGCCGGTGACCTTGTACTTGTACAGGAAGTCGTCTCCGAGGACCCAGAGGTTTCCGGCAGCAACGGACTTTCCTCCATTGGGATCCCACAGGACGCCGTGTGCGCCAGGCAGCGAATAGTCCTTGGCGTGTCTGATCTTGCTGTAGTCACTGACGTCCTTGGAAGTGGGCACGTACAGGCTCAGCTTGCCTGGCTTGGAGCTCGCGACGACGATGGCGCCGTTCTTGGGGATGATCTCGATCGAGTGTGGATTGTCGCCCGGGGTGGCCTGCCACATGACGTCGTCCAGGCCGACCTTTCGCTTCTCCTTGGTGATGTTGACGATGCCGGCCTTTCCTCCGGAAGCGGTGACCAGGGCGATCCAGCCGTGTTTGGCGACCTTGCGGATCTTGACGCCGGAGAGATTGTTCCACTTGCGGTTGAAGAACCCGGTATCGGCGGTGAAGCTCCAGAAGATGGCGTCTTTATTCCATTTCTTGGAGTTGCGTGGGAAGACGCGCACGGTCTTCGAGTTCTGGTCGACGACTGCGACGTGGTAGTTGGCTGCGCGCTCCTCGATGGGGTGGGCGAGCACTGCAGCAAAGAAGTGCAGTGCCGCTAGGAAGTAAATATACCAACTCTTGACCATGGTGACTTGGTTCCCATGAGATGGTGTCAAGGCTGGTTTTCAGAAATTAATATATATATATATATATATATTTATCTTTCCTCCCCGAAACTGAGGGTGCGCCGTGGGCCATTTTATATCTCTTCTGTCATTCACGTTCAGGTGCGAAAATGCAACGCATCCGAGGCAAATTCCGCACGGCTCTGCGATGGGTTCCTGGGTAAATTGGGATCGCAATACGAGATATTTCGAACGCCTCATGACGTCCAAGAAGAATTGAAGCCCATATTCGATTGGAACACCGCCCGAAAGAGCAGGGAGTCGCCTGCAATGGGGAGGATCACACCCCAATGGGGGGTGGTGGCTTGGTGATGGAGGAACCTTATGTCGATGACGGAGCTGGTATTCGCGGGTCTGATGGGGTACTGGGGGCCACATCTGGCAGAGAAAAGATGCACGGCAGCCTTGACGTGCGTTTCAGGGTCGGAGAATTGCACTTTGAACAATGCCGCCGTGGGGCTAAGAGCCGCACCGGGATGCGGTGAGTGGCCAGCAGAACACGAGGAGGAGCTTGGCCGGTGTGATATAAATAGAAACTGTGCCGTGTTTGCGGGCGGCTTTTCTCTTTTGCTTTCATGCTTGCGGAAAAGCTGCTGATAGAGCGAAGAGGTTCCAGATCTAACATCAAATCGGCCTTGTGGTCTAGTGGTATGATTCTCGCTTTGGGTTCAACAGCTCAGATTGCGAGAGGCCCCGCGTTCGAATCGCGGCAGGGCCCCGATATCCTTTTTTGTTTTTCTGATTTTTATCCGGTTTCAGGTGGCCCGTCGGATTGGAAATGCGACGTTTCTTTTTTACTTTATTTTATTTCAATTGCGTCGCACTGTGACGCAATGGGAACTTGGTTGATCAGCTTGACCTGGCGTCTGGTTGGTGCAACAGCAGCACGACCCTCCAGGGTACTAGCAGCATGCACGCACCTTGGGATCATACACAACAGCAAGGACAGCATATTCACTTGAAAGTTGATTAAGAATTATTCATCTTGTCCGTCCACGGCCAATTTGATCTGGGCCCTCGATGCGTGCTTCTTGCCATCAAGGTAGGTAGTTGATAGAAGAGGGATTGACGTCTCCATGGCTTTTGGGGCATCTAAGGATAGACAGTTACAGAGTGTGAAATGTGGTCGAAACTCGATGAGACGACAAAGATCTGTCAAGGTTCGGTCTTGTGGTCTAGTGGTATGATTCTCGCTTAGGGTTTTCAAACTCCTGAGTTCACAATTGCGAGAGGCCCCGCGTTCGAATCGCGGCAAGACCCCTTGTCTATTCTTTTTTTTATTTTTTACATTTTTTTTTGCAGTATTCCGGGACACACACCAACGCATCTTCAGGGAACGAACAACAAAGTGAAAGCCCTCTCTTCCCGCCGCTTTGCTCCCTACCCGGCGGACGAAGCCACAGCAAACCAAAAACCCCCCCCCCCCCAATGCAGCATTGACAAACGCCGCCGATCCTGAGGATGCGTTGTCGTCGAACCTTCGTGCAGGACGGCTGCTGATTGGCCCAGCCCCGGGCTCACGGGATCAACCGAGCCGGCCGCTGATTGGCCGGACTAAGGGCACGGGATTCGTGAACAATTGGCAGTGAGGGGAAGGAGCGAATGGCCGGCCCAGCGCAAAACACACAGTTGGAAGGAAGGAAGGAAGGAAGGAAGCCGGCCAGCTGGGAATTTCAAGTTCAGAGCCACAAACACAGAGAGAGAGAGAGAGAGAGAGAGACATAGAGATTAGAGAGAGAGAGGCCTCCACAGTGTTTGCACCACCAGCACCAGCACCAGCACCAGCACCACCAGCAGCACCAACCCCCGGAACACCGTCCCCTAAGCAGCAACCGGAACACCCCCAATCCATCGCCCGGCACGCACCGATCGACCAGGCGCATCCACTCCCCCCAATAATCAAGAAATCGCATCTCAAAAAAACCACATCACTGGAAAACTGATCTTTCTTAGAGACATTTGACGTTGACTGAATGCTGGATTGGAGCACTGCTGGGGACGATTAACTTCTTTGCAGGCCTGTCGCTGAACTGTTGTTGCTTACCCGCCTACTTCCTTCATCTCTCCCATTTTGCTACGCAATCCATCGCTTCATAATAACTAGCCCATCTCTCTCATCTACATTCCGAATTGACACTCACTCACTCACTCACCAGTCTCCAGAAGGTTATCCGCTATTCATTGAAGAAACCGAAGAAATTTAACAGAAAATATATTAAAGAAACTGAAAAAAAGAAGAAAAAAAGAAAGAACTAGATTGACATTTATTTATTTATTTATTTATTTTAGTTTGCTTACTGTTTAAACTGCCTACGAATCGCAAAAGACGGTGGTTTGCGCGGGTGGGCTTTTTTGTTAAAAAAAGACGCCTTCAAGCCAGTCCATATCCACCCAACTCGAGGACCCTCTTCCTCTCCTGCTTCTGCCTGGAACTCAAGTCGCATACACGCGTAGTGGTCGCCGTCTCCCTGGATACCCACGCGCGACCGCTGTTCTTCGCGTCGCTGAAAACCTCCTCCCCGTCTTTCACGGCCTGGTTGCGTACTCTCTCACCTCCATAGTGCGACACACCAGGGCCATCAATGAACCACAGACTCATATTCCGCAGGAGGAATCGGCCAGCAAAATGATGGCCACAGAACGTCTAGACGAGCTAGACGGCGTCTTTGACGACCACCCTTCCCTCTCCGCCTCGCTGGAGGACTTTGAAGAAAGCTCCGCTCCACGCACCCCGCTGTTCGGCGCCCTGCCCTCGCAGCACTCTGGCTTCCGGTCGCACGATCTCTCTGAGAAGTCAGACGACGGTGGTGGCGGCGACAACGACCACGACCCCGCCGCGGGCATCCTGGACGCTGCGTCGAACCTCAGTGACCCGTGGTCTCCGCCTGGTTTCAGCAAACGACTCTTCTTCCATCAGAAGGACGATCCCCTGCGCCACCGCAGCCCCGAGAGCACCTCTGCCAGCGCGTGGTACCGCCATCGCCCTTTTATGCACAACCAGCCCGATCTGAAGCCCACGGTCGTCAACGACAGCCCCGCACGATCGAGAGATGTCAGCCCGCAGTACGAGGATGCGCCAGAGAAGCCGCTGTCGCCCCAGCGCATCGAAGGCGATGCCGACGATCTGGTGCTCCCAGCGAGCATACCGCTGCCCGTGGGAACCGATTCGCCCCTACAAGGCCGATCGCCAAGCCCTGATCCGAAGTCCAAGAAGGTAAAGGAGGAAGATGTAGGTGATGATGGTGGTGGTAGGGGGAGCGGTGACGGCCATGGTGGCGGCGATACAGAATGCGAAGACGATGATGGAAACGAACACACTGACAAGCAACAACCAGTACATGGGTCGATAACAAATTGTAATAATATTTCTTATTTCTTCTTTTTCTTCTTCTTCTTCTTCCTCTTCGTCCTCTCTTCTAGGCCTGTTTTTCTTTTTTCTCTTTTTTGTTTTTGTTTCTGCTTTTGTTTTGCTTTTTCCCTCGACTTTCACGCTGACTCGGGTTCAGATATCCGTTTCGCTGTGCGCGCAGAGGTACAACACCGAGAGCCATTTGTCGCATTCTTTAATTTCGTTGGTAGAAAACTCGACGATATCACAAGGACCAAGTCGTCAACAATATTATCTATAATTGTTCTCCTTCTCTCTATCACATTTTTGCGCGCCCTCTTCTTACCTCCACTGCCGCTGCACATACCAGATCTGGTGAAGCTATCAGCTTTCGCGCGATCCTTTGAACCTTTAATCTACTACTCCGAGAATGGCGTCCAGCAGATTGGCTCCCTCCAGGAAACCGGCGTTGCGGTATGGGATCTGGGAGAGTCCGTCCGCGGCACCAACATGACCAGCGCGCCCATAATCGTCCGAGAACTGGACGAGCTCTCGGAATCTCTCAAGACCCTCTCCGTCGAGCTGACCAGGTTCTTCGCAAATGTCGACTCGGACATCGACTCCATCCTCATAGTCATGGAATGGGCTAAGCGCGAACTCGAGTCCCTCTCCCAGCATCAGACGGGATCGATATCGTCCGTCCTCTTCGAAAACTTCCACGCTTTCCTCTCCCGCATGGGCGCGCTCGAGACCATCCCTCTTCCCCCCGCGGGCAGCGCCAACACCAGCACCAGCACCAGCACCACCGCCAACACCACCCCCAAGAACAACGGCCTGCCCATCCCCACCCGTCTCGGCTCCATCGTCACCACACTCTTCGGCCCCACACGCTTCCAGAGAACACAGTCCACCCTCTCCTATGCATTCACAGAACTCGTGTCCGTCCTCGAAGAGGCCATCAACACCGAACTCACCCACTCCACCGCTCTCTTCGCCCTCTTCGAATCCATAGACCGCCAGTTCCTCAACCTGCAGCGGACAGTGGTGCGCGAGTCCGACGCGCAGGAGCGCGCCGAGGGCGAGATGCTCTCCTCGCTCTGGACGAGGGTGCTCGGCCCCAACGCCGCCGCGCTGAGGAAGTACGAGAAGAACAAGCGGCTGCTGGGCAGCGTCCGCCAGCGCACCGTCGCCAACAAGCACCTGCTCATGGACCACCGTGGCAAACTGCTCGCTCTCAAGGTGAACCTCGAGGCGCTGCGGCGCAAGCTGGTCAGTCCGCTGCTGCGGCGGAACGACTCGTTGAATCTGCCTCGTCCCGGGGCGCCGGTTGTGGGTGCTGGTGCTGGTGGTGCCGGTGCCGGCGGCGTTGGCAGTGGCGGTGCGAGCAATGAGGGCGGTGTGGGCAGTTTGCCGCCGGCGAGCAGTATGGATGTTGTCGTGGAGGGGCAGATCAGGGGCCTCGAGGGTGCGTATACGTATCTACGGACGGTGAGGGAGAGGCAGAAATCGAAGTTGATGGAGATGGTGTATGGGGCGGGGAGCAGGAGGAGCGGAGGGAATATTCTGGATAGTATTTCGGGGAAGGTGGATGAGATTGAAGGGCGGTAGTCGTCGAAATGCATTCACTCCGTCTGTGTCCGTGTGCGCGTCTACGTCTGCTGTCCCATTCCCCGTTTTTCCCCCCATACATAAATATGTATCGTTGCTGGGTTGGTTTCGTTTGGTTTATTGGTTGGCGAAGCGATTACCTATTTACTGTTCTGCTCTTCCCCCTTTGTCCTTTTTGCTTTTCTTTTTCTTTTTTTTTTTTTTTTTTTTTTTTTTACTGTCTATGCGGAGGCTCACGATCGACTACATTTCGGCGGAGTTTATGAGATTCCTTCCTCACCTTTGTTTTTTATGTGTCCTTCGGAGTGCGCATCCTGTTTCATTCTTTTCCCGCAAGCTGAAGAAACAAAGGTCTGTAAAGGGAATGGAGGAAAGCGTGTTTTTTTTTTTTTTTTCTTTTCCTTTTCCTTTTTCTTTCTTATTTTTTATAACCGGCGTCAAACCTGAGAGGGAGAGAGGCAAAGACAAAAAAGAAGCAGAAGATAAAAAAGGGAGTGCTGGCGAGTGTGATTATATCTGTTTTCCTTTCTTCACAAATAGTTGTAACTTGCCCTCCTGAAAGACATATATCTCCCTTCGTTGCTTTTCCTCCCCTCCTCTCCTCCTCCTCCTCTCTATCTCTACGGAGTTACCCCCGGTGCTACTTGGGCGCTGGGCGTAAAAGGCTGGATTATGTCTGGGTCTCTTTTTCTTTGTTGTCCTTTCCATCTCCTGTTGAAATTTTTGGAATTTCTTTTCCATTTTTTTTTTTTTTTTTAATTTCCTATTTTCTTTGGTTTATTTTTTTCCTTATCACAGCTACAGATGTGTGGTTCAGGCATTTTCGAGCCTCTTTTTTTTTTTTTTTCTTTGTATTCGAGTACATACATACAATACCTACCTACATACGTCTCTCTCGCCGTCATTCTTTTCCCCTTCCCGTCTCCGTGTCTTTAGAGATATATATCCTTTCCCGTATCTTTTCTACCCAACCACCATTCCATGGCTGATCGAACAATCTGTAGAAAGACACCTAGAAGGGGGTAAAAAAAAGAAAAATTTCCACCGGTTAACTAGAAACCCCTCTGCAAGAAAAAGAAAGAAAATTCCCAAATCTATCTTACCACCACAGATATATTAAAACATAAAAAATCATTACAAAAAGAAATACAATGATCAGGGTCTTGCCGCGATTCGAACGCGGGGCCTCTCGCAATTGTGAACTCAGGAGTTTGAAAACCCTAAGCGAGAATCATACCACTAGACCACAAGACCTGTTCTTATTGGCTGGGGAAAGGGGAACCGAACCATTTGGCATTATCTGTCAAAAATATGAAAACTCCTGCGCGACGCGAATCGCTACTTTTTGAATTGCAGCAAAGCTTCTCGGAGGGGGAGGAAAAAAAAAAAAAAAAAAAAAAAAAAAAAAATCAACGACAAGAGCATATAATCCATTTCCAGGCCAGAAGCCAAAAATCTTATTTGAGAGGAGAATCATTACTTTCTAAGCCTTACGCCACGCTGTATAAGGCCAAATAGCGTACATCCAGTCCATCCTAGAAAAAAGGAGAAAAGGAAAAAAATAATGAGGAAACCTTCCGCTCCGTGTACATTTTTCTTTTTGAGGCTCGAGAATGAGAGAGATGGTAGACAGCTAATGGCTTGGAAGGACATTGATGGAATCGACAGATCTATCGTAGAATCACACTTGGGAAAAAAGAGAAAAGCCGGAGGAAAAAAATAACAAGAAGCATGAGTAGCAGAAAAATAATGGAAAACTTTGCATATTGGTACATGCCACCTTTATCATATTGGTCCCCATTCCTTCCAAATCGACGTGCTGCCCATGCGAAAGCACTCGTCGAGAAATGCAGAATCTAACAAGTTTTAAAAGGTGGGTTTCGTAAACGCTGTGTAGGAATCACATCTATGCTCGTGGATGGGATTTTGCGACATTGACGGGCGTTAAGTTGGCTCCGAGTCAGGGAGTTTATTTGGTGCACTCTTGCTCCATGTAGCTAATTAAGGGGTCAGACCATGCGTTTTTCTACAGGAGCTAGATGCACCGCGCTGCGCTGCGCTGCACTGGGGAGGAAAACATACGTGATCAAGTCGTTGCGGTCCTTAGCCTTCTTGAGACCACCGAAGGCCATCTTGGTACCGGGAATGTACTTCTTAGGGTTCTCGAGGTAGACGTACTGCAGAAGAGCGGGTCAGCGACGCGTTTTTCTTTTTCTCTTATGTTCTTTTTTTTTTCTTTCTTTCTCCGATCAAGGTCAACATGTTATACTTACGAGAGTCTCGTGGTCCCAAGTGATACCCTTTTGCTTGTTGGCGTCGGTGTAGGAGAAGCCCTCAGCCTGACCGGTCTTGCGGCCGAAGAGACCGTGCAAGTTGGGGCCGACCTTGTTGGCACCGCCCTTCTCGAGGGTGTGGCATTGAGCGCAGCGGGTCTTGAAGAGGTTGGCACCCTTGGCGGCGTCACCTGGTTGCGCAGCAGCGTTAGCCAGTTTCTCCTGCTCGATCTCTCTCTTGTATTGCTCTTCCAGCTCAATGGCCGTGACGACAAGGGGAACCTCGGCGATGCACATGGTGAATGATGGAACTCAGGCTTTGTCGCGTATGTGTGTGTGTAGTGCAGGACCCGCAGTTGAACAGTCTCACAGGGTAAAAAAGAAAAAAAAAAAAAAAGGATGTTGAATGATGCAGTGTGGATGGTACGGGTTGTATGTCACAGTGTCGTCACGCAACGGTGAGATTGTGCCAGCGCGACCACAGTAGCCAGCTGAATAACGCATCTCGCTAGCCAGGTCACGAGCGATGCAACAGAGCACAAGGGAAACTCCGTCTTCACATTTGATAGAACAACACAGCAGTGAAAAGACCGGCACTTACCGGGAGCGTAGCCGTCCTTGCCCATTTTGAATGTGTTGAGAAAGATTAACTAGAAGAGATAAAAATCTAGATGTACAGGAAAGATATGTGGAAAATGAAGGACTCTTTGAAAAGCGATCAGATCCAATTGAGATATCCAGAAAGACAGTGAAGGGAGAGAAGAGGAGGAGAAGGAAGAGAAAGAAGAAGGACGGACAATCACAGCAGGGAAAGAAAAAAACTTTTTTTTCCCTTCTACCAACCCTTGCTCAGCATTTCAGCAGGTTAAAGCAGCAATGACGGCGAAACCCCCAGCGCAATGGGGCGGGTATCGGCCGCAACCCAGCAACACCCTTACGTAAGGCTATTTCGGGTGCGCTGATTGGCCCAGCGGCACTCCCAGCCAATCAGCGGCCGCGTTATTGGCATGACTCGGGCGGAATCGGGATCCATTTTGCCCCAGCCGCCGAGCTTGCCAAGTCCACCACCACCACCCCGTGACTTCCCCGTGCGAAACAATCGGGTCGTCCAGGGTTCGCGGCTTCCTCGGGCCAACTCGCGGCTTTCCCTATTTTTACTCGATTGAACGACCGTTTGAAACATACTTCCCAGACCGGGTGATGTCATTGTTGCCGATGTGAATCAAGCCGCAGAGTGGCTCAGCACCGAACAAATGATCGATGCTTCGTTTCCCTGCCTTTTGAGCTGTCAAATGGAACATCATCTACTCCGTATATTGGCCCAGCGACTGATACGGTGAGGTGCCGTTACGGGGAAATGCATGAGGCCTTTTTACATGCAGGTGTGGCAGGGCATTGGCACCGCGCAACATCCACGTAACGTACTCCGTACTATCCATTCTCAAAGTCCATTTTTGTACGGAGTATGTATGTCGTCGAATTTGCGCATCCAGACCGACCAGACAGGCTGTGCTCAGTCCAGAAGCATCTTGCCCCTTGAAATTTGGGTACCGTGGGGAGCCAGCATATCAAGCATTATATGTTGCTGCGAACTGGATCAGTCCATCCTTTTCTGTATACCGCGATGATGTAAGAAGGACTAGACGAGCGGACCACCGCATCATCGTCGCACTCTCTACTCTCTACAGAGGCATACAATGGATCCTAACACCAGACGTGTACACAGTATTCCGCCCGGAGTACGGAGTAGAGAAAATAAAAGCAGTTCAAGTTTCGTCGAACTGGATGCTGAGTCATCCGTTTGTTTAAACGGCAAGCGGCAGCTGATTGGCCAACCTTTCACCTGCAAAACCAGCAACTGAGAAATCAACGAGCGAAAAAAGAGAGAGAGAGAGAGAGAGAGACAGAGGAAGAAGACGGAGAGGAGAGACAGCGGCTGGCACTGCTCCAAGCTGAGGGCCCCCTGTTAGACGCCTACGACGACAAGATTAGCCCGTCAAACCATGGCGTCCACGGCGACCATACCTGCTTTCGTGCTTCCTCGCGCAATCCCTAGAGCTGCCCGCCCACCTCCACCCTCAGCATCCCTCTTGCGCCGTGCCTCCGCCAAACCATGTAATTCCCGTTGCGCCTCCACGTCCTCGCAGAAACCGCGTGTGCTCGAGAAGCCAGACAAATTCCGGCCTCCATCCCATCCGGCCCGGAGAGTGCTCTCGCCCAATGCCCAGCCTCGAAATTACCCCGGCCCTCCATTATCTGCCAAGGAGCTCGAAGAACAAAAGACGAAGAGATATCCCAACATGTTTCCGCCAGAGGGAACCGTGATGCATAAATTCCTGACAAACAGAGGCATCCATCTCTGGATATCACTCGTAAGTCTACCTACCTGACCATCCCAAAATCGATGCACAATAATCAAACTAACCTTTTTGCTAAGGGCGTCCTCTTCTCCCTCGCAACGTTCACCTACACCACCAACTTCAGGGCCACTTCGCCTTTCGCGCATCTCCTCCCATCCTGGTCCGGCCTGCTCACTCATCCCATCGACACAGTCGGCCAATTTCTCTCCGTCATGAAGATGCACGCTGACCACCTCACGCTGGAAACTACCGAAAAGCGGAAGCGTAATGTGGACGATGTGCAAAAGAGAAAGGAGTATAGGATTGCACATGGCCTGGAGGAGCCGGATGTGAAGCCGGAAAGTGATGAGAATAGTCCGCAGAGGAAAGATGCGGATGGTGAGGCCGGTGCGGTTGCTGTCGCTGCGTCAGGAACGCGGGAGGGCGGGCAGCCCGGCGAGGGAGAGACGTACGTGGATTGGGAGGGGAAGAAGAGGCCAGTTAAGAAGTGGTTTGGCATTTGGTGAGTTGCGGGGCTTGGGTTTGGAGAGTGGAATGTCGGGTGTTTGAATTGCACTGTATAATATTAGAGCATTTGGGCCTGGGAGTATTGTGTTTATACGGGTAAAAAAAAAGAAAATGGGGTGGACTTTTTTTTTTTGATTTTGGTTATGAATGTGATACACAAAAGCGCGCTTTAGCTTTGTTTCGCGAGTTAATTGGAATAAAAAGACATCTCCTACTGTATCTCGATCGAGGCCGGTATTTGGTCTCTTCTCCTCTTGTTAGCCTCGCAGCAGGCCTGATTCGTTATCAGACGGTGTAAGTCTGAGCCAGGGTAGAGCTCGCTGTCTGGAGCCGTAAACCATTCAGGACATCTCGATCCTTTCAAACCCCAGTTATATAGTATGGTATGGTTCTCCCACGCACGGCCAGCTCCTCTTCCTTTAATACCTAAGGACAAAAAAAAAAGCCGGTCCATTGGCGGTGTTTCTGTGCATCTCACAGCAATCTTTTGATCCCTGGAGAAATTGAATTGCTTCTTTATCCCACTTCCACTCCCTCCAATCCTTGCATGACCTCATCGCCAACGCCGCCCCTTTGCAGCACCAACTTTACAATTTTCGAGATGAGCCCCCTCTTCACTCCACCCTGTCTAGGTTTCCACACTCCCTGAACAGAGTCACTCGTCACGGGCGGCTGCTCAACGGAGTCGTCACCTGCGCTGACTCCAATGTTGACTGCATTCTCCGAATTAGATAGTCCCGAGTTGGTTAGCCGGGACGGCGGATCGATGGTGCGGATTGCCAGGAGCTTCAGGTTACTCGCATTCTGGTCCTGTTTGTCCTTTGATATTTGCTCGTCGCGGCCGATGGAGACGCAAAACACGGCATCCGCGACGGCGATTTCTTCCCTGCTTGGATCGAAGATGATGTTTTCGCCGACGGCGATGACGAGGAGCGTTATGGGTGGCCGAAAGGGTTGGCGGAGGGAAATTGCCGGGTTGAGAACGGTTCGAGGGTAGAGATACTCTGCGAGAGCCCAGTCGTCGTCGAACATGGGGTCCTCTTCATCTTTTGAGATGAGTTTGGGTAGTTTTGTGGAGAGAAGGGCGAGATGGGTTGTCAGCGAGAGGAGCGGGAGAGGATAGGATAGGGGTGGAGAGAGCAGCAAGATCTAGACATACATGTTAGTTACATACCCGCATGGAGTACTGTCGAAACACGCAAATGCTTCTCGTAAGTCTGTGGCTGAGCGACTCACATCGATATATATCCTCCAATGCCATCCCTGGTTAATAACCAATCTCCCCTTCAGACCTTCCGGCATCCCATATTTATCCTCCTTACTCCCCGACCCAGATCCCACAAGCGCCTCTCTCATCATCTCCGCCAAAAACACCGGTAACGCATCATCGTCCCTCAACCCCGGGATTTCGATCGACATCTCGACCCATGAACTCTGGCCCGCACCACGACCACCAGCACCTCTCTGCCTCCTCCCACCTTCACCGCCAGTATCCTCCTCGTCCTCCATACCGCCACCCTCTCCCTCGCCGATCCCTTCCCCGTCCCGCTCCCCTAGAATCCCGGTATTCACCGTCTTCTCGATCTCTGCCTTCACGCCCACGATCGCCTGCGTTCCATCGGCAAATCCGATCCGTGCGCTGCCGTTGGTGTTGGGCAGGATGTCCGTTTCGGCGGTGAGAGGTCTGAATTGCGTGGCAGAGCGGCCATCGGGTCGAATGGGGTTGTTTTGGTATGAGAGGGAGGTATGGAGGTAGGAGAGCTCGGCTGGGGAGAAGTGTGAGATTTGCGAGGCTGAGGAAGCGAGCGCTGGTGCCATTGCTGGGAGGGTATTATCTGTGTAAAAATTGACTTGGAGTGCGAAAAGTCAAGAAACAGGGTCTCTATAATCCTGTCTTCTTTTGAGAGACGGATGGCCTGGGCGCAACTTCAGTCGCTTGTGGCCATGGAACAGGGGATTGGATGCTTAATATTGCGCCTAGGAGAAATCCAGGAGTTGAGATATATAGTTGAAATGGCCAATTACCCCCACACACACACTCCCTATTCTATTTGCGAATAAGCCGCGGAGAGCCAGCAGCAACTTCAACAATGCGTTTGCGATGCTGTTTGAGCTTTGATAGTGGCTGAATTTTGTCGTGTAGCTGATAAGCGCACGGACCACCTTGCCCAAACATGCTGTCCAAATATTACAATGTAGTGCTTGTTTGCGAAAATGTATTACTAGAAGGCTATCTATAGATAGTTAACTATGCAACTCTCTCGCACCCAGCTTAGCTGAATAGCGAGTCCTTGATCACGATGAATGTCTTTTAGATTGCGCTTGAATGTGGCTATCAGCTTCGTGTGTCGCCAGCCTTCATGCTTAAAAGATGTCTTCTCTTCTGAGATGGGTAAAAGCCTCGATTCGAAGGGCACCATCACTGCCCACGCAGTTTCTGTCGAGGGACTTCGAAGTCATCAGCGACTCCCATATACTGGAAGAGGAGCGGTTCAAGGACTTCAAACTCGGGAAAATACTATCCTGTGAACATTGGGGCGATGTATTTGCTTCCAAGTACCAGGTCGTTGGCAAACCTGGGATTCGGAATTACGTCTACTGTATGGCTGGCTAGCCTGCCAAAATGTTCCGAATGTTGGGCACATCGACCGAAAAAGGCCTCCTCCGCTGGACGTGATTTGATAGGAATGAGTTGCCTGAGTCCTGGAAAAACGTTGTGGAAAATTTCGCGTCTCCCGGAAGCGCTGAAAAGGTGTGTTGAGCATGAGGATTGGTTGTGTAGAGATAGCATCGTTCGTCTCGGCCGCCCCTAGGTCATGATGTCAGACCGCCTCCATTCCACGACTCTGCAAGTGATTCTCGACTGGTTGTTGACCCCGGGCCGGCTTGCGGGATGGCAACAGGGGGTTGAGACAGGAATATTAGCAAAACACATCGAGCCCCGGGTTCTCCAACCGACCGAGACTCTCCAGAGTAACTAGTTACTCGCTGGCTATTGGCGATGCATGCATGCCACTTGTGACATACAGGGGAAAAAAAACTTGATTACGGACACTGCACCGGCTCTGTCGGCAAGCAGCTCGATCACAGGACGCGTATTGTAAAAATTCCAGCCGCCAAATGGGATGGCTTGAAGCGACAACGCTTTTATTGGATTGGTATTTGGATGCGACTAACTCCATAGAAACAGAGTAAGCGGAATATATAGGAATGGCCTATGTAAATAAAATATGTGTTGAAAAAAATAAAATAAAAAAGGTAGAAGTGGAAAAGCAGACGGTATAAAAGTACAGATAGACGAGGGGAAGAGAAAAGAAAAATAAAATAAAATAAAATATAAAAAAAGGATGAGTATAAAAATCCCATGGTATCTTCACACATCCTGACCCTCCGTTTTGCCCATTTCCATCTCGGGGACACAACAAAAGAGAAAGACAAAAGAAAAGAAAAGAGAACAAATGGGGTACACGGAAAAGAGACGGATTATTTTGCGAGTGTTATATGAGTTTGTCGAGCAAACAAGTATTTGTCGACTTCGAAGCCCCAGAATGCATGTTAAGTGAATGAACGATCGCCACCGCCCCCAAATCGCCGTCCATGTCTATATATCTTCAGCGCCAGAACGACCGAGATGAAAAAACACCAAGTGAAAGACTGCTAATTGATAAGTGTGGAAAAAGCAAGCGAATGGACATAATAAATGAAAGGAGACTTGCAGGCCAAGGAATGTACAGAGAATGCAAATATGTAAGTAGATATAAAAGATACGAGCATAGGAAAATGTGGTTGCTGGATCAAGCGACTAGGATATGCAGGGACAAGAATGTCGCGGCTCGCGCGGTGAGGTGAGAGTGCTAAGTGCCTCCAGGTAACTAAAAAGTATATCGACCAATAAAGGGAGTAAGTAAGTGAGATGATTAGGAAAATGTACATATATCGCAAAGGCCAGGGGTAAAATCTAAAATCGGCCGGGGGGTATAGAAATGAAAGAGAAGATTAAGATGAAAAATCGAACCGGAAATAAAGGACCATGAACACACAAATGCCACAAAAAAGATGTGCAACCCTAATTAAAAAGAACCACCCGACCCGGGAGAGAGGACCAGTCTATAAAATGTGCGAATTGACCCTGACGCCTAGGAATCCGCAAGATTCGAAACAATTTGTGATATTAATGCGGTATTGTTGCTGCCGGATATGTTTGGACAAGAGCAAAGGTGGGAGGAGCAAAATGGCAAGAGCATCGGCGAAAAAGGAAACAAGGCAGCTGCATTGTGATTTGAATATAGTCGATGTCGACAGAGATGCGTCGGATGAGGAGAGAAGTGCCGGAATTTATCTGTACGTATTTTCCGCGGCAAACATGTCCGCTGCAGTGGCATTTGCCCATTCGGCTTCGTCGTACGGCGGTGTTGGCCACTGTCGGTGGCTTTCGACCCCAGGTTTATTCATTCCCAACGGTTTTGACGGTGTTATATCTGAGAGAAATGCTGGTCCATCTCGTCGCGCAGTGGGCGATGGCGTTGGATACGGATTGTGACGGTTGGCGTCAGTGGAAAGGCTTGGCTGGTTGTTGAGATTTTGGAAGAGGGTATCACGGGTAGCTTCATCCATGGTAATCGAACCTTGTCCCAGGCGTCGCGCAGCTGAGTTGGTCGAGTGAAGAACCTCGTGCAAGAGTTCATCTTCCTCTTCAGGGGTCTCGTACCGCGGAACCGACCGAGTGGATCCCTGCATAACTCGCCGAGTTCGGCTCGAGAGAGATGTTCCATTTGCAATGGTTCCATTTTCTATTACGCGAACTGCTTGAGCATGCGGTACTGACTGGCGTTTTGGGGTATTGCCTGTGGTTCCACAAGTGTGGATAGGAACATTCGGAGGTGAAGACATATCCATGCTGTATCGTACATTCTGGAGAGCTGTGTCTAGATCCAATAAATCCTGACCGGACTTTCCTTCAGCAATATTCACAGGATCAAGAGCCATGGAGGAACGATTCGACCATGGGACACAGCCGTTGCTAGCTTCAACATCATCACTGGGAGCCGGTACTTGGTTTCGTCCTGATAGCCTTCGGGCGCGTTTTCTGAGATGGGAGAAGAAGCTCTCTTTCAATGCACTGGGAGAGGTCACGTTGGTACCTCCATTGAGCGCTCTCTCAGCTTCTTGGCGATGAATATCTGCATAATGGTTGCCATTCGAGTTAACAGATAATTGGCGGCCAATCTTTTTGGATGCAGTCTTGCTATTGGCTTTTGACGGCGAGTTGTCACCAGTAATAGAAGAGTTGGCCTGAGCATGCACGGCATTTGACAGTGGGGACACAGGTCGAATTGACGGCAGAATGGGCATCGGTGCTCCATGTGTCCATGTGGCACGTTTGCTAGTTGAAGCCTTGGCCTTTGCCGGGGAATCAGCACCACCATTATAAGGCGTCTGCTTCGAACTGTCGATTTGCTCCAAAGTGGGGGCGGGACTTTCGGATCTTCCGATGAGCGAGCGTCGGAACCATGAAGATTTAGAGGACAGTCCAGGAGAATCTCCTTGGCCCTTGAAGCTCTTGTCAGATTGTTTGCGGCCAATAAGTCGGGCAGTAGATGATTTCGGACGTAATGGGTCAACGGCATCGGCAAAATATTCGTGGTTTATTGCCTGCGTCGATGTTGGCCTGTTCTTTGGATCCCACATCAGACACCAGGTGACAAAATGACTGAGAGAAGCTGGCCACTGGGGTGGTTGCAAGATGCTTTCCAGAGAATGCGGTGCCATCTAGATCTGTGAGCCATGTTTCCAAGATTCAGTCTAGATTACAACTTACCTTGGGAAACGAGAAACCCAATTTCTGAGCCAAGCGAATACCGTCTTTCCACTCACCACCGCCCACCTTGGCTCCTGATTTGTTATACCAGTTTCCTGGACTGCCCATGATCTCGCAAACACGCCAAACCTGGTCAACTTCATTCCCTCCCGGAAATAGAGGTTTCAAGGTAGCAATCTCCACGGCCATCGCACCAATAGCCCACATGTCAACGGGCGCGGAGTATTCCCCAGCGCGTAACAGAACTTCAGGGGCCCGATACCATCTCGTGGAGACGTATGTAGTATATGGGACCTTCGAGTGCGTTTCTCTTGCCAATCCAAAGTCCGCAATCTTAACAGTATAGTTTGGAGGTGTGGAGGGAGGTGTTGCATAGCGGCCCAGAACCGATTCGAAAGGCGCTGATCCGGAAACGAGGATGTTTTCCGGCTTGATATCCCGGTGGAAAAAGTTGTGTGCGTGAATATGATCGAGACCAGACAAAATCTGGAACAAAATACTTTTCACACTTTTTCCGTCCAGGCACTTGTGATCCCGAGCTTTCATTAACTGATAAAGATTACCGTCCATGTATTCCATGCATATATGTAACTTTTTACTGAGCGGGTCGCGGAAGATGTCGAGGGCAGGAACCAGGTGAGGATGATGGGGAAGTGTCCGAAGGAAGATTACCTCACGAAGTTCGAGGCAGGAGGAAAACGACTCGAACGTTTTCTTCATCGTCTTGATCGCAACCTGTAGAGAATGCGCAAGAAATGGTCAACGGTCCTGCCGTACCACGAATTGATTATTTCGCATCAATCGAAGCTCCACTCACCATTGTACCTCGCTTCGCCACGTGTGAACCCGCGGTTCGCACTCGGGCGACCACCACGCTTCCAAAGCTTCCATCTCCGATCTGTCTTATAACCTCAAACCTATCCTCCAGCGGAGCCGTATTAGGAGTCCGATACGATTGATCGTAGCTGACTGTCATTTTTGGATGTTTTCTGCCCGCAGATAACAGATATATACCGGTACAAACGAGGGTCGACAAAAGAATGCACTGTGAGGAACATATAAGGCGTAAATATACAACTCAATTGGCGCTGTATGGAAGAGAGACAGAGAGAAGGGGATGAGGGAGGGATTGGACTGGATAGGACAATACCTCAACAACAGGCAGTAAAGGGGGGGAGATACGCCGTCCAAATGCGCGACACACGAGCGAGATGAGAATACCACGGATGTAAGGAGCACTATATGAGCATCTTCGAGTCGGAGGGCTTTCTGAGGTTCTAGGGCTGGGACGGAAACAATTCCAATCCCAATGCTAAGAAAGAAGCGTTCAAAGAAGCAAGCATGGACGAGAGAGGGGACGAGGAGCGACACAGAGAAAGAGAGAGAGAGAGAGAGAGAGAGAGAGAGATAGAGAGAGCTAGCGAAGAGGGATTCCCGAGTTCCCAACCCAAAGAGCGTATAGAGTGAAAATGGACAGTGAAGGGGAAGAAAAGCAGGAGAAGAGGAAGAAGAGAGGAACGAGAGTGCTCAGCAGCGTCAGGAGGTTGGAGCATGAAAGGGAGCGGAAGAAACAAAAAGGACGGTGGGGAGTGGGCAGGCTGGAAGGGGAAATGGTCAGCACGCTACGGACGACGGAGTGGGTTGGCGAGAGGAGGAGGAAAGGAGCGAGAGCCAGAATAACGGGAGCGCGGATCCGGTGCGTGGGAGCCACTGAGATTGAAAGGAGATGACTGTCTTCTTGGCTTCTTCTCCCCTGGAAACGTGACAGGACAGGGAATGGAGCTTCTTGTCAAGGTTCAGAACTGGCTTTTCTTTTCCTTTTTTTTTCTTTTTTTTTGTTTTTCTTTTTTCCCAGCGGACCGCGTCGTGGAGATCAGAGTGGCTTCGAGGGTCCGGTGATAAACAAAGCGTGCTGGGGCCCTGCTCACTGGATGACGGGGAACCGTTTTCATGTTGGCTCACCCGCTGTCTTCTCCTCGCCCATCTTTCCAGCCAAACAAACAGATCCCCGTCCCGCTGCGATCAGGCACATAAACACGCGCCTTTCATCTTACTACTCTCCCCCTCTGAACTCACTACTCACACGACAGCGTCGCATCCTGCCCTCCGGCATGGACTGCTAATTTACCCACGTATCCGACGAAATCATCCCCTCCGTTTCGGTATTACATCTGGCGTTTATTCCGCCGCTGCCCTCTGGTAAAATGTACTCCGTATGTAATGTATATAATGTATGTTTGTACGGTATGTATGGACGGCGTACAGTACATCGTTACTAAATCGTTACAACACCAGTACGGCTTTCCCCCCCCCCCCCCCCTCTCATGTGAGTCGAGGCGATGGTGGGACATCTCCACCAGCCGATATCTTTTCTGGTACGATACGCGGCTGTACCGTCCTAGCGTCCCGGTCGCGGAGGAGCCCTTAATTTTACCGGTAAGCAGGACGGATGGTACCCACTCAGATCCTGAGCCCACGTTGAATTGCAAGCCGCTATGCCATAAATAGCGGAGGCAGCCGTCAACTCCACGAGCGATTTACAAAGCCCGAGCATGGGAATGGCCTGTTGATTATTGTAAGATTGGACGGAGCGGTCTCGGGACCCTTCGGACGGTACGTTGGTACGGGATCGATGTATGTATGGTATGTACGGAGTACCGTTAGAGCAAACGAATTGGCACTTTTCCCGAGGCTGGTCCCCCGTACCTGTGGAAACCTGCGATACGGCCTTCTCTTCATCTCACCGGGCTGGCATGCAGTTCCTCTTATTCCGATGCATTTTTTTTTCTTTTCTTCTTTTCTGTTCTCCCTCGCCCTGCCCCGCGTGCGTTGTTCCGCGAAGACAATTGATCCTCAGAATCTCCACACTTTGCTTTTTCCTTGTGCGCCTGAAAATGAGAGGGGAAGTCAGGCACGGGTGCATTAAAAGCCCCCCAAGTTTGCTGCATCACAGCAGACGCGTCAATAATTGGCTGGCTCGATCTGGCTCGAATGTGACCGGTTCTGCTGCCAAATATTATGACCCAATCAATAATCGGTTAAACTTGCTGGTCGATTCACGAATGGACCAACGGTTGATCATCCTCGCAGAGAACATACACGAGCGTAACTTAGCTTTCCGTACTCCGTACTCCGTACCGCGTATGGTTCCAAGTCAAAGTGTCAATACGGGACACCGCTCGGGGCCAGCGGGAAGCTAATGAGGAAACACATTGTTTCTCGAGGCAGGGAAAAAAACAAAAAAAAAAAGTTACGCCAGGGCTTGTCTACTCTCGATATCAAAGGCTCGCAAATCTCTCACCATGATGCCTGTCGCTTTCCAGGCTGCTGTGGAGTTGCCCAGGGAATCATATGAATATGAAACCGCAGAGATCTGTCTCACCATGATCCTTCTTCTCTCAGGGGAGACCGAAGAGGCGAAAAAGGTTCGCTTCTCGCTCGTCTCTCCAAATATTGGTCACGTTCCAAACTCCATCTTGGTTCCCACAACGACTGGCGGACGCCAGGCTTTCGAAATAGCTTCGAAACATCCGGCGGTGGCGCCCTTTTGGCTGTTCTAGCAAATCTGACCCATCTTGCTCCAATCCCCTGGGACAGCTGATTCTCCTTGTTTTAGCTCCCCGTCAGCAACCTGAGGCGACATGTTAGTCTGGCGCTAAGCCGGCTAAGGACCGGACCCTGGCGTTGGTGTTCCCTGTTCCGGTCCGGCTGCCAACTCTATCAGCTCCCACCTATCGATGCCAAGTGTCTCTGGAGGCAAGCAGGAAAGGAAACATCTCAATGGATTCAGACGTCACCTCTCGTGATTATCAATTGGACACCGCCTGGGCAAGAACCAAGAGAAAACCACTCGAAATATGGAGATCTTCGGTTGTTCGAGACTCAAAGCCTTCCTCCCGGCTGCGACCGGCTGCAGTCTGTGACACTGCGAAGGAACTCCTCTCCGGGCGGCCTACCCCAGGGGGTGGTGCTGTGAGCTTCACCTGGTCAACGACCAAGTTTTGTAGCACAGTGACAAGCAAAACCAGTTTCACTCTGCATGAATATCCTTCATCTATTTCTTTGTTTCTGTCTATCTCTCCATCTTGTTTGCTGGTAGTTACTCCGTCCCAATATGACTAATTTGCTTTTCGAGTCTTTGTTTTTCCCGCAAGTGCAACGAGTAGATCCAAAAGCGGACAAAGATCTCAATGGCACATTCAGCTTCTATTTGCGTGGTGCAGCTGAAGCGGCAAGAAGCTTCGCGCACTGGTATCCGGGGAAAGCTTAAGTGGTACGGAGGATTGCTCCGTAATCGCGGAGGAAACGGTGGCGCAATTTCTTTGAACGGTGGACCGTGCAATGGACTGGTTGGAGGAAGCGGAGGCCGTCCTCTGGAGGGGAAAGAGGAAGCCATGTACTCCGTACCAGAAGATTCTGTAGATCGATGTTTGTCTCAAACTTTTGCAACAAGCAAGTGACAAGAACCCAGAAAGTCTGCACCCCCGAAGCTGCGGGACATGCGCATACCGACATGGTCGAAATAAAGTTGTCCCTGGAAAGAAGATTACTTTTGGTAGGTTGTGTCACTGGAGAAGCATTAGGACCTGACGTAGTGTATGCAGCTATCCATCAGACGCACCACACCACCTCTGGTTCCAGGAATACTGGAATTTTGGGTTCTCTGACAGTATCTCTTCACTGTCAAGGTGGAATGATGCTGGTATACATGAATGTTCATCGAAGAGAATCACAGGGTGCAACATGCGCAGGAAACCTGTCCAGTTGGTAAGCTCTTTATTGGCACTTGCCGAGGAGATCTCAGATTAGCTTACAGGATATTACCTTATAAGCATCTCACAAACGGCATCCCTTCTTCTTTTTCTTCTTCTTCTTCTTCCCCTTCTTCTTCTTCTTCTTCTTACCTTCTCATCAGCCTTCAGGTCACACCAACTCACACTTGATGCCCCTCAATTCCAACCATGCCGCCTTACTCGGGCTTCGATTTTGAGGCTCAAAAGAGAGCGTAGGTTCCTCTCTCACTAAATGCAAGAACAGGAAGCTGATCACCATGCAGACTCGAGAGGACTCATCTCCCTGATAAGTGAGTGCCGCAGAAAATACATCCAGCATGGCGATTGCACGCGTTGTTATGGGAGTCGCGGTCACTGACCCTGTTCAAGGATCAAGTGTAAAATCTGCAAGAAGATCCGCGGCGCAAACGCATTCTCAAAACGGCAGCTGGAAGAACTTCGCAAGGCTATTCTGAAGAATGGAGCCACAGGTCTCAATGGGCCGGGCTACGCTGGATGTCGTTCTTGCATCAGTCACCAAACTGTTGAACTCACCTGCTGCGTATGCGACAAGACAAAGCCTTTGGAATACTTTAGCAAGAACCAACGAAAGGATCCTGATAATGCGGTAAGCCTCCTGAGCGCGTGTTGGCAGTATTGGCCTTTTCAAAGTTGGAGATGATCTGATCAAGTGCAACTTCATCCAGAGGTGCACCAACTGTGTCCAGGGCTATTTAGATATCGAGCCGGTGATGGAAGATTCCAAGCTCCTTACTGATGACGAGAGTGCCACTGATACAAACACCTACGCAGTACGTTCGTCCGTCTAGAGTTAGTTCTCCAATACTAATGCTGAATCTTAATAGAGTCAGAGCGAGGCCTACACTGCCAACTCTTCTAGCGCCCTTTCTGTCACGGACGATGACAATCTGCTATGTGATGAGAGCTACGATGTCATGTCGGACCATACGGCTAAGCTCTCTTATCATGCTCTTTCCCAGCTCTCAATCAAAGGAAAAGGAAAAGAAGAGAACACATCGCTGGGTGGAGGAGTCTGGTTGGAGCAAGGAAAACGTTTCCCTGAAGAAGGGGCTGCGGTCAAACCCAGACAAGGTATCCCGTTCACTGCATATGACCCTCAGGGAAACGCGCATCTCCGTATTACTGCGCCACCTTCGCAAACGGGGAGCTCGACTGCCGACAGTTCTCAAGATACCTGGAGGCACTCTCAATCTGTCCAGGTGCGCCAAGCGAGTCACTCACCAGCGATGGTAGTTCCCAAAAGAAACTCAAATTTCGTGAAGATCTTAGTAAGTTTCCATTGACACTTTATCGGTTGGCATCATATAACTGATCGCTTGCAGGGAGGTCGGGTTCCTAAAGAACAGGCACCGAACATGTATTTGCCAGAGCCAACTGGACGCACTGTTGGCTCTGATGGTTCCTCCTCCGATGACGATGATGACGATATCCAGGATTGGATTTAAAAGTGCTGTATCAACCAGATATTGTGACCTCGTAAAGCTTTGAGCAAATCCAAACCAGAAACATGGGTCAATAAAATGGCCATAATACTAGGAAATATGAACGTTATTCCAACTCTCCTAGCTCACAAATTAATTTACCAAAGCAGATATATAGACAAGTATCTGGACGACGTGGCTTCTTTTTGGCGCTCTCTTTATGCCGGAAAACATGAATGGCATGACTGCAACAAGGACCGTTCTCTCCCTGTTCGAGCCAACTTCAGACAAGCCGTACGTACACCCTCTTCTCGAGCGGGGTCATCCTGACTGGGTTCCTCGTTCGGCTTTTCTTTTTAAATATCGAACTGATCAAAAATTTTAGTAACATCCTTGATATGCTTGAAAAATAATATTTAATACTCCGTAAATGCCACCAAATCTCTAGAGTTATATCACCCCGTGTTATAAACGACCGTTTTTGTTTTCCTTTTGCGCTCTACAGAGCCACAGAGACAAGCCTATAGTGCATTTTGGCGACGAAATAGTAACAGCCTGACAGGCTGCTACCTACAGAGTAGAGAGTCCTACAATACCCACCCCATGTTGCTGTCTGCAGTGAATATTTTTAGTGCATATGTTCCTAGATGATTAATTCCCCCTTATCAATATTTTCCCCAACTACCAACAATAATCAACGCTACCCCCTCCCCTTTATCTGAACTGATCGGAATTGAAACCTGACTGATATGTGAAGGATGCCAACACAACTTTAAGCATCATAACTTACCATTACAGGAGAATGTCACTCATCACTGATGGTGTCCTTATGGCGCTTTGGGAGAGAGCCCAGGAGCGATCTTCAGATGAACAGGCCTCGGCCAAAGTTTGGACTCATTTGTGGAACACACACTTCTTTTTGGAGGAGAAGGATAGGGTGATTTCCCAGGTGGCTCCTCCGGAGGTATGTCGCCGTCGACGGGTGGACATTATAGTAGAATTTACTGGGTGAAGGTACTAAATCGGTGGTTCTCGCCTTCCACGAGGCAGAGATATTGAATGCAGGGTCTCAGGATCTCGAAGAAGCTGAGATTGAAGCGTGCAACACTTGTATGAAGTACCTTGGAAAGCACCCTGAACTGAAGTTTGTGAACGCGTTTACGTCGTTCGGCACCAAAGGTAGAGCATGGCTATGCGAACGAACGGAGACTTACTTGACGCTATTTGGCTCAGGCGACCCGGCTGATCGTGGCCATTACATTGATATACACTCCTCAGAGGGTTACCTGATTAAACAAGCAGTCCAAGCGATGAGAATCGTCCCGTCATCTATATAGATAGGATAGTGGAAGTACGGTGGTGTTGGTCTCACGGTCTTATGTATCTTGAAATGGCCTTTGATTGTGTGTATGAATCAACTCAGCGGCAGCAAGAGATGGGAGGGAATGAACCTTTACAATGTAATCGCAAATTTCACTTACTCCACTTCCAAACACTACATGAAGTGAACAATTTCTGCAAGTTATATGATACTCCACAAACTCCTAACCCTAATTAATGTGTGGATGTGTATCATGCACCTTCCACCATCCAGTTAGCCTAATACTCTCCCATCCAAATGTTTTATTTGCTGCAGAAATCGAACTAAGACCTTCCCTTCGTGAAGAAGGCAATATCCTAGCTAAACGCGCAAGCTGCAGGGCGGAAAGGCATTCTCGCATTTGGCAAGTCGAGGATGCCTGCTTCCATAGTTTGAATCTCCCTGGGAAATCTGCTTTCCAAGGGCGTCATAAAACTCACAAAGCAACTCATCAAATCTCCCATGTCCTTTTGTTTTGCCTGCTGCAAAACAAGCTCAAGGCTTCAGTTTGCTGCAAACTTTGGTGCAACAAACTTTCGAGCACCAACGTACGTTATCCTCATTCATCCCTCTTGCCCGCACAGATGACTTTCGCTGTCCACTTTGAAGAGGACCATGTGGATATCTTCTCGACATTCTCCAGCACTTTAAGCTTGTCCTGCAGTGCTAACTGCATTGATAACAACAGGGCTCTTCCTGCGTGTCACAAGGTCGGCGTCGTCTTCGCTACTACCTGGCCGCGATTCGATCCAAGAACGGTGCTCAGGTTAATACTTTGACCCTGAGGCTTCCCGTTTATCACACTCCAAGAAAGGAGCGATTCTGTATCAAGGGAGAGAAAGACCGCATGGTTAATAATATACTTTAAAGCTCCAACGTCGGAAATGCCGGACCGGACTGGACATTGGGAGGATCTCAGACGCAGCCCTGTCGCATCCCCAGATGCATGTTAGAGAGAGAGGATCCGACGTGTGACAATTACTCGAGATGAAAATCTTGGCTTGCATGCGACCACTGGCTTTCTTTTCTCGGGAGAAGATTGAGCTGAGGGCTAGGCGAAGATTCAGACGGCGGAGCACACGCTATGGATCAAAAGATAGCCTGTTGTTGATGAGTATTCCTGGACAAAGCCACAGCAGGAGTCCTTCCAGCTCTTTTGGGTGTAATTGAAGGGGGTGCTCTCAGGAGCTATGGGCGTTGCATTCCCTCCACAGCCGGGCAATGCGATGTAATCAGCCAAGAAGGCCGAGAGTCGCATGATCGTGCCCGACCCCACTTGGCAGAGCCGTCCTGCTGGACATGCTGTCTTCCTCCCTGGCGAGTCTCAAATCCATCTTCATCGAAAGCTCATCACTTCCATCGGTTATCCATTGGTTTTCGAATTGAAGATTGCTGAGATTCCAACGTCCCGCTCAGCTCACAGGTTGACCCCAACTGAGACAGGCAAGATCAGATCACCGCTCAATCATGGCCTACGAGGGCTATGGTAGCTCTCAGCCCTACGAGCAGGGTGCCTTTAATGGCTCCAATTCATACGCCAACTCACAACAATTTCACAATCATATTTTGCAAGCGTCGTACCATGGCAACTATGAACCCACGTCAGATGGAACCCGGGTGCCAATACCGCCCCAGCATCCTCCTCCGAACTCACAGTCTCCTATTCCTCCACCGCCCATCACAGCTCCGCCAGCCACCGGAATCCCAGAGCCATTTCCGGATCCATCGCGATTTTATCAGAGCAATAGCCAACCTACCACAGAGGGTACCGGCCCCGCATTCCAGCCGAAACTGGACATCTCGCCCGAGGTTATTGCCCAGATCACTTCCAGCGTCATTCAACAACTCAAAGGCTTCAATTTTGGAGCTAATATCCCGCGTCCACCGCCGAACCAAACTGCTCAGAACCCTGATATAACGTCGTTCACTCCATCTGTATCCGAAATTTCCCATTCATCTCCAACTACCACCACTAAAGTCTACACTCCACCCTCCCCGTTCAGACAGGCACAAGATGGATCGGGCCAGTCTCCCCAATTTTCGAACCTCCAGTTTACACAGAATATTCACGGCTTATCGCAAGGTCCTGTGGACCAGGACCGAATTTCACGAGTTTTCTTTGACGGGCATGAGCACCGGCCTAGACCTTCTCGCCTTACCACGCAGGACGAAACGCCAGCCGAACGGATATGGGGACAGCTTTTTGATAAGGAGGGATTACCAACTCCAAGGCTGGGCCAGTTCCTGCGCGGAATTGCCGCTCACCTGGTAAATACCACGCATCGAAACGACACCCCCGGATATATGTGCTGACAATATGCGTAGATAGAAGTTTTTCCACCTGAAAATACTCTTGTTGTTACCCCAGACAAGATGCAGAAATATTACGAAGATACCAAATCACTGGCTGATCCGTATCCATGGAAAGGTACGGATGAACCCTTTTTTTTTTTTTTTTTTCTTAATTCGCGGCGCTAAAGCTAACCTGGGCCTTTAGATATATTTGATGATGGGACGTCTTCAATTTCGCGTCTTTATCGAGAGGTCCAAGCGGAGCATCATTTAATCCAGGATAGGTTAGATCAAAGGCCTGATATACCGGGCCTTACGCCTCGTGGGTTTGAGCGCTGGATGAGACTCATGATCGTCGCCCACCCTGAACAAGAATACCAGCGACTTCAGAGAACCGTTCTGGAGATGCCAATTAACAACCCAGATGATCCGAAGGAGCGGTTCCCAAAGGAGCTTCCTCGGCGTCTATTTCCCAAGTCTCCCGACCATAATGTGAAAGAGCACCTGGAACGTTCAATCCTAACTCACTGCCATGTGGATGTCTCAAAGCCGGTGAGCAGAGATCAATCGCAGCCCAACACCCAGCGGCACCGTGTTACACCTTCAGTTGGCACTCCACCGCCAAGATCAGACCCAAGGTTGAGTTCTCCATTCGAAGAGGAAGACGAAGAGGATGAAGAGGATGATGATGAACCACCCGCGCCGCCGCCACCGGCACCACCAGCAGTAGCCCGCCCTATTGAGCGCGAAAGGAAGCCGTATTCAGTACAGCCCGGTGCGGGAAGGATATATGAGGATAAGCTGAAGCGAAACCTGAACAGCCCTGTGGAGCAAGCTAAATACCGTGAGTTTGGTAGTCGCCGCGGACGTCGTAGTCCCGCTACTGGGCGCAAACGTGAGTCGAAGGATTATCGCGACACCGACTTCGTGAAGACTCCCATTTCAGCTCGATTCCGCGACGAGAGTGACATACGAGTCATGGGCCAGCCGAGAGGAAGAAGCAGAAAGGGTGAACGAACACATGGTCATTTGCACGATCGCGAGTTTGATAGAGAAGGCCAAAGCGACAATCCTTCTCGTGGAAGCTGGGATACGGACGAAGAGGACTATTATCGGGCTTCCAGTGCGCTCAGTGGCAGGGGTGGGCGGAACACTCCACTCTACGATGATGACCACTGGGCTTTTCGTTAAGTAAGGCGATGGGCCGGCATAAATGATACCGAGGGAAAAATGCAGGAAGCGGACCATAAAATGGAACAGTTACAAAGTGATTATCGGGTAACGGGTAAACAAAAGGAGGACGAATCAAAAAGGAAAGCTATCTGAGTTTCTCGAGTGTGTATGATTGTCTGGCTGATCTGACGAAAATGTTTCACGATGTTATGATGAATTTATGACAAAAATGCCTCTGGAAGGTATGGGATCTGACGGGAATTGGACCGGTTAGGGGATGGGGCGGGGAGTTTGATAGAATATGGATGGACCAATGGGTCTTGGAGTTCGTTGCAGTTTTCGGCGATTTTTGAATGTGACTACATGATTCTTTAATATGAAGAATGGCATAGATGCATAGATTATTTGCGTCTTTGCAGCTCCAGTACATGTCCATCATCGAATTCACTAGCAACGGTCTGAAACAGTTGCCATGGATGCTACGGAGTAGATATATAACTATCATCTTCTTGCCCTTCCATCCATAAAGACCTGATTATCCTCTCGACACGTTTCAGCATACTTACGTCTCAACCTATCGTCCCTCGCATACATATTAGCGATCTTCGCCCTATCCCTCTCCTCTTCCAACGGTTTACTCTGTCTCTTATCTTCCTTCGCTTGTTTCGCTTTCTTCCTCTTTCGTTTCATCTCTTCCCTTGCCTGCTTGTCTTTCTTCTTCTTTCGTCTCATCTCTTCCTCACGCAGATGCTCTGCCCGCAGGTCCCCCATCTCCTCGGCCGACAGGACCCACGGAACTGACAATACCTGGACGAAATACCTCGTTTTCTCTTCCCAGAACCGCACTTCAGCGTTGGTATCATCAAGAAGGGTGTAGCGCTCGAGATGTAGCTGGAGCATGCCGCGGAAGCGGGTGATTGTGCCCTTGAATTTTGCGACGGCTCCAGGTTGGAGCGGGGAGATGTCGATGGGTGAGCGGGAGTTTGATGCTATGTGGGTGATTCCTGGGTCTGTCTCCGCAATGTTCTGGAGTGATGGTAGGGACGATCCGGTTCTGTTGGTGACTGTAGATGCGGGAGCAGAAACAGATGACAATGATGATGTTGACGGTGGTGCTTTGGAGCAGACCACTTCGATGGTGTAGCCTGTGCTATCGTCGAGGACGAGGATGGTTCGGCGGTCGTGATCATCGCGCGAAACGATGACGCCTGCGAGGCAGATGTATTGAACGGGAAGGTTGTTGTAGAAGTAGATTCCCTGTCCTACGCTTCAGATGAGAAAGAGTTAGATGGGAAATCTTGACAACAAAATATATGGGCGACCCCATTGCGGGTTAAAAACAAGTCTCAGGAAATAATAGTTGGATTCAACAGAGAGTTAAGGAGATTTGAGGAAGTTGTGATATCTTACCCTCAAACCCTCTTGGTTGCGTTAATCGGTGGACATCTGCGACGCCGAGCTTCACCCAGGTGAAAAAGGTGGGAGCTGCTCTGTGGCAGTATTCCGGGTAGTAGATGACATTGCGAGGGACATATCCGGCTGCCATGTGATCGCTATCATCATATCTCCTTCGCGAGCATCACGTCATGGACGACAATGTATGTACGCTCTCGCGATGCCCGTCCAAGCTGCGCTGCTGATGCCTGAATGCCGGGCCGGTTGTTGGCCCCTGGCAGAAGTCACGTGCTTTATAGCTGAGCTACCTGACGCAGGCTCAACGCAACTTTCAGTTTCATGCAATGTGGGCGCGTTGCAACATGAAGTGCTACAGCTAAAAGCAAGGAGCATTGCTGGGTATCAAGAACCTCTTTAGGATATGGAGAAGGCACAAGAAGCTCTACCACAGCTCATGCCCATCTCACCGCCTGCTGAAAGTTGAAACGATGTCTCACGAACTGCGATGCGCAGACATTGTTTTGAACTCAACGAAGGCTTGGAGCTGCTTTCGATCACTCTCGCCTGCAATGAGCCGGATAACTCGCCTAACTGTACCGTAGTCCAGCGCCGCAAGACGCCCAAGAATCCGCACCCTCGGATTGATATCTAGCCATATATGAACCCGAAGTACGCCTTCGGCACCTCATACCACTTAAGGAACATTCCACAAGAGGTATTGCCAAACAGTTGCTGAGGCATAGTGGAATATGAACTTGCCCAATTCTTTTCCCCCCTCGTTTCTTACAAAATTGTGGATCACTTGTGTTCCTGAAGAGGAGTGGGCTGTAAAAGGGCCTGTTTTGCAGCTTGCTGCATCCATAGCTCCCCCCATTCACCACCAGATGTCACAAGAATTAACACAAGACATATATGTTGTACACAGATATATGTCCAACTATGGATTTTACAGCAGCATAGCCTGACACCAGCTAGGACATCTAGGCTCTCTAAGCTAATTGCTGTGTTGAAATTGGCCAGATAATGAAGGCAGCTCGCAGCCTTTACAACCCAAGAGCTATTGGTTGTGTGAATGCTGTTTAATATGGAATGCTTCCTGATGCAGAGCACCTCCACGGTTTCAAGTCCTATCCCTACCCTGTATATCAGAGGGCATTGAGACGGACAAGGAGCAAACAGGCAAGTCTACAACCTCCAACTCCACATGTTTGATAAAGCCTTAATTGTTAGCAATTACCCGGAAATCATCTTCAGGAAGAAGCTTTTGCGGATATTTCTTATTTCCTTTCTGTAACTGGGAATGTGCCATGACATCCCTCTTTCATGTGAGTAAGCTCCTACACTTTGTATGTTGGGAGGAGGAGGGAGAGAGGGGGAGGGGGAGGGGAGCAGGGGGGCAAACGGCATCATAGTTCATAGTAATGAATCGTAGCTTTGAAATCGGAGCTCGTGAACCTGTACGGGTTAGATTGGCCCGAAAGGCATGCAAGCCGTTCTCTTAGGAATCCAATTCTCTCCATCATTCTATCGCTCAAGATGCTCTGGATGAAAACCATTGCCAATTCACAGTCTGAAGCTAGTATAGCAGTCGACAGAGGAAGAATGTGGCGGGATATCTCTTGAAATTGAATGCTATCTATGCTGCCTCCAGGATTTAAAAACTATTTAGCATTTTTCTTTTCTTTTGTCTTTTGAGGTTTTGGTTTTGGGTTCGGGTTGCCTTTCCATTCCAGTTTGCGGGGCGTCATATATTGCTTAAGAACCTCATCCGTGACCTGTTTTCTCCGCTCCTGGAAGTCCTTGACGTATTCTTGTAGTAATGTGATAGCCATCTTCTTCAGCTCTCCCGTAAGTAATTCGCCTTTCCTGTAGCTTTCCTCTATTTGCTTCAATTTTTCGTCGTCTTCTTCAAAATATGAAAGATCTACAAATTGTCATTAAGACGTATAGCAAGCTATTCGGGGAGGCAAAGGGCCTTACATTGAAAGGACACATCCACGTCCGGGTTTCCTCCTAACCGGCGGTGCTCTTCTATGGTGTCTCTTCCACCACTGAATGCGTGTTTATTGATTTTATTCTGAATGTAACGTCAGCGATGTGATCATAGGGAATCTTAGCAGAGTTTACCTTGATTTGGTTGGGCGTATCTGTCATAAAAATTGCAGAACTGTGGAAGTGTAAGCTATGGATTGTCCGACAATAGTGGAAGTTTTTGGGATCGTACTTGGGGTCGCTGGCGCTCATTTTGCCGCCGGCACCTTGTAGTGCAGTAAGGAATTTCGAATGGATCAAAGCCGGCTTAGGAGATGGGTATCGCATGCGGTGAGCATTATCACGGACAAGGCGAAAATATGGGTCTTGATCAATGGCCATCGGAATTAAGCAGGGGATCTTCGCTATGGCTTTTGTCCGATCTGCTGGTGGATTATCTGACCAAATTTCTGGGTATGATGTCGCGAACGACGCTACACTGTCGTGGCGGTTTAGCAGGTGGATACTTACAAATAAGGAGAGTCGACTCTTACCACTGTACGGATGGAAACATTATCCGACCGATATTGGTGCTGCGAAGAGTTAGGATAGCGCAATGAAGAGAAAAAGGCACCTTTACTGGATGGGATAGGACGGCCGAGACAAAATCGTGACCATCAGATCCTCAAAATCAGTTGATAAAGGAGCTTGCTCACCTCTCATTGAATCCAAATGCCCCCCGAACTTGATTGAACGTTATGAGCTTCGCAAATTCCCAAACGTTCATCAACATGTGGCCTTTGACGTAATCTAGATCACTGAAGATGAATGTTTTCTTCGGATCAAAGCCGCAGGCAATGATATCCTTTGCGTTCTGTAACCCGAACTTGTATGTGTCCTCAAACGTGAGGTTATCTTTAAAGAGTGCCTTCTCGTCGTCTTTGTCCCAGTTAATATTCAGAAACTGTGGCTTCCGTTCCGTGGAGCTTACCAGTAAGCATGATAACTGTACAAGGGGTCAGTGAAACATAGACAGCTTTCCAATAGCCTAAACATACCTAAGGGGACATCGAAGACGTCCTGCAACCACTTTGTAAAAGAGAAGGGAATCGTATGGCCTAGATGCAGAGCATCGCTGGACGGTCCTCTGCCGGTGTACATGAAGAAGGGCTCACCGGCCTCGTACTTGTCAAGGATCTTGTCAAAGTCTCGATGCGAGAAAAAGAGGCCGCGCCTTAGCCAACGGTGTGGCTTGTGGCCGGTAAGGCGCTCGAAGCGCTCGAGAAGGTCGTTGTCTATGAGTTTGGTTGCCCATTTTCTGTTCCCGTTAGTACATTGGCACTCCCACGGAATGCGCAACTCAGACCCACTGTGAAATAGCAACGTAGTCAAAGGCCAAGATGTTTCCCTGCTCATCGTGCGCTGCGTGAACGTCCCAAGGGTTGATCTCCTGCTCGGTGGAGGCAGATTTCTCTGCGTCGCGGATTGGCACCACAATTTCGGGCTTGGAGTCCGCCATACCTGTGAACTCTGCAGTGTGCTTCAGAGACCCAAAAACGAGGGACAATCGCCGAAAAGGAGCACCGAGCGAAGACGTAAAAGATTTTCGACTCGCATGAGGGGTCTTTTGTCCGCGCCCTGAAGCTTTGCGGGGTGACATTCGGACAGTTGACTCAGCGCAGGATCATAGTTATTCCGTCCGTAATATATATTTTCCGACACCGTTTTTCAGGGGTAAATTCCAGTTCGCTGCCCCTGAGAGTCTCGCAAGGCACTGGCCGGGTGACGAAGAGAGACAAAACACCATCGCCATGATAGGATTCCGGTGCTCTGTTGTCAACATCTTCTCGTTGCTTGCGTTTGCCAGACCAGTCCGTAACTATCGGGCCGGCCCATCTATGTTCCAGTGTCGGGACCGGGATGCGCAGACACCCGGCTACTTTTATGATTGCCTAAGTCGGCAATGCCAACTGATTATGGACGAAATATGCAGCCATGTGCTGTACCTCGCGGGCTGCGTTGTGTACGGAGCACGAAGATATACATGCATATACACATATTCATGTATGTATGTATACTCCGAAGCGCTGTGCTCCTATGGATCGCTGGCCGCGACCGTTCATTGTTTCGACCCGGACCCCACCACAGATAGGAAACACAGCGAAGAACCACCTGCAACAAAACTTGACAACAGCATCATTCCACTAGTTCATTGAAACAGGTGAATTAGGGCTTGTTACCTCGCAGCTCTCTTCTTTGTGTATTGTTGGCAATGTGCTACCCAAAGATGCCATCAAGCAGCTCTGTCTAACCCTCTCTAAGGCCCCTCGTTATTATGCTCAAACATTGCGTTCATACATACAAAGCTTGACCGTGTGCTTTCTTTCTTCCTGGCACTCTCCTGAGCTCTTCATTTTCTTTTATCGACATCTGTTGTGATCGCAGGCCCATCCTTGATACCTGAGCCTCGTCAGGGAGACCAGATGGAGCCAGAGTCTACAGATACCGCTGACAGTGGCACTGCTCCTAGTATTGTTCCAGGTGATGGACAGCTGCAGCCTCAATGTCCTTATCTTAAGGGCTTCCAGCTGTACAACGTCATCACTGCGTTGTTATTGGCCATGCTTCTCACTGGCCTGGATGTCAACATCGTCGCAACAGTATGAAACCATTTTTGTTGAAATTTTTTTTAATCATCATTCATGAGCTTGTCTACTAATCTCTCATGTATAGGCTGTGCCTACAATCTCAAATCAGTTCAATAGTTTTAAAGATGTTAACTGGTATGGTTCGGCTTTTCTCCTTGCAATGTAGGTCTATTCTCTTCCACACCAAGAGAAAAGGATCTGGTATGACTCACCATGATGATGATAGATGTGCGATGCAGCCGCTCTCTGGAAAGATATACTCATTATTTATCTCAAAGGTACTAGAAATTTTTCTGTTCCATGAGTGTGCACTGTATCAGAGGCTGATATTCCTGCTCGTGCTAAACTTGAACCACCAACCACGCTTACCCTGGTGCTCTCCAGCCTGACAACAAGGCCATATAGTAGGTGAACATGCTCCAGCTACTGTTACAGGCCTTCTTTCCCCTTTAAGAGTGGTTAGGTTGCATTCTGTGGGAAAGTGTATATTCATTGTCGTTAGGCTGGGGTGCACCAAGTTTAAAAGCATGTTGGTGAGTCAAGCTTGGCTCGAGGAAACTCTTGTAGCATGTTTTCATGGGATTCATGGCCCTCTTTGAACTGGGCACCCTGATATGTGCCCTTGCAAACTCGAGTAAGATGATAATCGCCGGAAGAGCAGTAACCGGTCTCGGTGGAGCTGGAATTTTTAATGGTGCCTTGGTCATCTCGACTACGTTAGCACCACCAAATATTCGCCCAATGCTTACCAGTATTGGAGTGTCAATGCTCCCTATCGGTGGCTTCCTTGGTCCAATAATTGGGGGCGCATTGTCTGAGCATGCCATCTGGCGCTGGTGTAAGTTGAACGGCTATTCCTATATATTGAACAAAAGGGATGAGGCCAATCTAACTCCCTTCCCAGGCTTCTGGGCTTTTCTCCCTCCTGGTGCATTCGTCATGCTAGCGATACTGCTACTTCGGATCCCAGAGAGTGCACCCAAGCCGCTCGTAAGATCAACTCTAGCCAAACTTCCTCAGAAACTTGATCTTATTGGTTTCACTCTTTTCGCACCCCCCTGTATTATGTTTTTGATCGCCATAAGTTGGGGTGGGGTGACATACCCATGGGACTCAAGCAAAGTAATTGGCCTTCTCTGCGGTAGTGTTGTCATGTTGAGTTTGTTTACTGTCTGGTGTCTCTATCGCGGAGAAGAGGCTCTGATTCCCAAGAGCCTTATCCGCCAGAGGACCGTGCTCGTTGCCTCTTGCGTTTCTGGTCTTCAAGGAGGCGCCTCTATCATGGTGGGATACTTTCTTCCCTTGTGGTTTCAGGCCGTAAAGGGAGCAACCCCAACCAACAGTGGCTTGATGATGCTACCAACAATGGCGAGTCAAATTGTTGGCTCTATGCTATCCGGGGCACTCAGTAAGTTTCTTTTTTTTTTTCCCCTCTAATACCCCTCTCTCCGCACAGCTTCTCAAATTTGGTAGTCCGCAAGTTGCATTATCTACCTCCGTGGGCCATCTTGGGGAGTATATTTGCCGCAGTTGGCCCTGGCCTTATGGTTACTTTCAACTTCAATACACCCAGAGCACAGTGGATCGGGTACCAAGTGCTTGGAGGCGTCGGACGTGGTATGGCGTTGAATATGGTCAGTTCTGGGAGAACACGATAACAACGCATTTTTTTTTTTCTTATCAACTAACGGCGACGCAGCCATTTATAGCAGCTCAAGAACAATTACCCACAGCTATAATTAGCGTCGCCTCTTCTGTGATTATCCTATTCCAATATTTAGCTGGGTCTCTCTCTATATCAACCGCCCAGTCAGTCATCCAGAATCGCCTACCCGCAGCTCTGGAGAAATACACACCAGACACCGATATTCGGGCCATCGTCCGTGCTGGAGCTACTGAGTTTATTAAAACCGTGCCACCCGACCAGCTCCTCCCTATTAAAATCGCTTATAATGAAGCATTGGTAAAAATATTTGTGAGTGAATCCCATCTATTTCAGCCTTAACTTACAATTATCCTAACTGTTACAATAGTACATTCCTGCTGCCAGTGCCGCTGCTGCGATATTTGTTAGCATTGCATTTTCATGGAGAAAACTTGGAACTGAGGACGCGAAGGGATCCGAGAGTTCGCGGGCCTAGCCAAACGCTGAGCTTAATGAAGAAGTGAAGGTATCGGCGGGGAAGTATTCTTATAGATATGTGGCGGTCTGTTGTACACACCTGCGATTGCGCTGCAATTCAAACTGCTCAGCGAAGAATCAGATGCAAAAAGCAAAAGTGGGAAACAGGATTTAGTTTGGCCCATGCTCCGAGACCGGTAGTCTTGATCGTTAATAACTGGAGAGCAAGTCTTCAGCAGATACCCGTGTGTCCAACAGGTTGGTTCAGAGGAACTCGAACGATGAGGTGACCAATCAAGACCATGTATGTGAAACGGATGGCATGATTGTTAGTGAGTGGGGTCAACACCTCTCTGAATCAAAGCCCTAAAAAGGGATAAAAATGCAGATGCACTACAGAGAGGTTCAAGGCATTAAAGAATCATATTAGCCGGAATCTTAGTCCTTTTCTTTTGCCCTGCTGGACAGATATGTGCTCCTCGACCAACATCCGTACCATTACTCTGCTTTAAGATTGCTTCCATTCAAATCTTTGTTTCCCCTAGTGAGTAGTAGGCCAAAGGCCCACAGCTTCAGTTGGAGTTCTTATCCAGCATCGGAATACTCCTAGCTTCGCAAATTGTCTCGACATTCTTTTCGTAGAGCGTTACCCAGAGGTATTTGTGATAGGGATAGTGTAGCTTATTCTTATAAAGGGGTTAGGTTTTGACATAGACCTGAGGTCCCTTTGTAGGTCGTACATGTTTTACCAATTGCCACTTTTCGACATCCAGTCAGCCCCGGGCAAGGGAAGTCTCAATCACTCTGACGTTAGGATCGGAAAAGGAGAACACGCAAGAAGCCTCTCCTTATCGTTTCAAATCCGGAATAACAGCAAAGCTTCAAAGAGTATCACGGATACCTAGCAAGGGCTTACTCCGTACATGGGGGTAGAAAAGAGGTAGCTGGTAGTGGGGCTATGTCGTCCGCTCTGCCTTCGTTATATATTCATATAAATTAAAGCAAAAAAAGTGAACCTTTAAAAGACCCATGGACTGTTCTTTGATGCCCAGTTCCGCGTGAAAATCTGGAAAAGTATGTGTTGCGCCACGGTGCCTCGTCCGGCTACCGCTCATGATCCCACTGAGACTGGGAATTGGCGCATTTAGTCTTGGAGAAGCCGTCAGGAGGAAAGGTTGAAGTTCGCAATCAAACCCGATGGACGAGGATGTCCCTTATTATGAAAACAAACTGGGGCTCATTTATTGGAATTTGAGATTCGTCACGTGACTAAACAGCTGAAACTCAAATCGAACTTCAAATCTTCATGCTCCTGCTTGCGGTCATGGATTAAAACATATTTCAGAGCAGCCAGTGCAGAACAAGACCTAATATAGGTGTCAGCAGCAGTTGACAACATATGGGATCTCAAAATGATTGCACGAAAAAGAGTGAGAAGGATACACTGCGGTTGCAAGCCAACATCTGGGTTTCACCGCAAAATTTCATTAGCCTGAAGGGCTTTTCTGTTTCCTCACCCTTTGTTTATCGGCAGGTTCCCTGGAAAGATTGGCAGCTAAAAATCTTCACTATTCAATGGCTAGCCAATACCATTTGTTCAATTCGAGCGCAATGCAGCGATGGTCTTTTGGTTTTTGCCCTGTGTCGAGGGAGAGCCAAGAACAATATCAAAGCAAGATCGGACCCGCAGCTCATTGCAGTTCGTCCTCTTCACTCATATTTTTTTTAATTAATAAAGGCATCAGATTGCTCTTATTCTTGATGCTTGTTACAGTATTTATTTTCCCTTTCTTTTTATCTTCCCTGTCTTACCCTACTTGACCTGCTCCGTCGATACTAGCGGCGTTGGTAACATCCCTGACTCCCATTTGAAAGACCTGTTGCATATCAGATCCTTGTATATACCGACTGAAGAGCTGAAATCTTTTATTTAAAAGGTTGCACACTTCCGCTGATACTAGAAGAAGCTGTAAAGATGGGTTTCGACGAAGGTTCCGCTTTCGCGGAAGGCCAAAGGGTGATGAAAGAAGCAAATAGCTCCAAAAATCATCATGTTGAGAAATTAAATGGAACTGGCAGTAACGGTGAATTGTACACCGTCAAGCTCATTCCGGACAGAGGCTTTGGCTGCGTTGCTACTTCAAGGATTCCTAAGGGCACGCGTATTCTCACCGAGGCCCCCCTTTTTACGGTACCCAAAGCTGCAGCGGATATACAGGCTGTGGAAGAAGCTCTTCTTAAGGAGTTGAAGAGCCTTTCCAAGGACCAGCAGCATTCTTTCTTTTCACTCCACAACGCCCACAAAGGCAAGTGCAGCCCCGTGATCGGTATCACCAAGACAAATGCGATCCCTTTCGGCTCTGGGGGTGCAGATGGTGGTATCTTTCCGCGGGCAGCACGGATTAACCATTCGTGCAAGCAGAATGCTCAGAACACGTGGAATCATAACCTGTCTAAACTTACGATCCATGCGTTCAAGGACATTGAAGAAGGAGAAGAAATCACGATATCTTACGTCGACGGCGCAGAAACCTTCAACACGCGGCAGCTTTGTTTAGAAGAAGCATTCGGATTTGTATGCCAGTGCGAGCTTTGCTCTCTTTCCGCAGAAGAAAACAAGAAAAGAGATAATCGCCTGGAGGAAATGGCGCGGCTTGACTCCATGCTTGGCAACGGGAGACGCATCATGTCCAAGCCACTGGATTGTCTTCATGATGCACATACCATTCTCCGTATGCTTAATGAAGAAGGTATTGTAGGCTCAAGAATTTCAAGAGTCTACAACGACGCACTACAGATCTCTATTGCACATAGCGATCAAGCGAGAGCGAAAGTCTTTGCGCAACGAGCCCACGACGTTAGAGTTATATTGGAGGGAGAGGATAGCCCAGAGACCATGAGATTAAAGAGATTGATAGATAGCCCTACAAGCCACGGATTATACGGCTCATCAAAAGAGTGGGCGCAACCTGCGACGGCAATTCCGCAAGGTCTGGACGAAGCAGATTTCGAAGACTGGCTCTGGAGACAGAATCGTTGGCAGAAGGAACTTAGAGTTAATGGAAAGCTTCAAAACTAAGGGAATTAACACGGCGATTTCGGGGAGTGTCCGAGAGTTTTGACCATAGCATACGGGTTGGAGTACGGAGTATGGACAATAGACCAAAATAGATGCGGCTTTCGTTTCCCGCTACGAAGAATCGAATCCCTTTTGTCCGTCGACGACCGATATGGTTCGCTAGTCGTGAATTTAGCTCAGTTTGCGTGTCTGCACAAAATTCTTGCGTCCTCTTCAATCGCGGCCTGTCAGAATTGAGCCCGTTACCGTTGCCCCCAAAAAGAAAAGAAAAGAAAAAGGGGAATACGAGAGTCCACTTTTACCCTAAGGCTTCCGAGTTAGATTCTCAATTGGTGGCTCCTTTTCTCCGAGGATACATTATATTTGTCTTAACGGAGAAAGATGACCACGGAAATCAGCTAAAGGTCGTGGGATTCTAGCATGAATGTGGGACGGGAATCCAGGACCTTTGTTACGCTCTTGCTATTTCTATGATGTTTTTTTATCGCAGGCAGTGGCCTAGCCCCACCGATTGACTGATTTCCGGCTATCAGCAAGCTCAGGGTAGACGATGCAATAGAGATGGCTGAAAGTTGAGAAATCTTATTGACAGAGTACGAAGAATAATAGAAAGGACAAAGAAAATCCAAGGAAAGTTTGAGAATTAAGGCTGTTTTACGGTCTACCTGCCGCTAATCCATAGCAATCCGGATATAAAATAGAATAAGAAGCCGAAAGGCGGTGGATTCAAAAATTCCAAGCTCCAAATCCCTTCAGTATGTGATGATCCTCTCTGTCAGGAGGGATGGATAAAGGAAGCACGCCCGTATATGATACTCTGGGTGAAACTATGATCCTGGGAGATCCTCTAGAAAGCGCAGTCCTTACCGGAGTTGGTGAAGTGTCGGATCATTTCTATTAAGGGCAGCGTTGTAGTAATGGGTTTTGTTTGCTAGAGTGCTCTCAGTATGCTTGCTTGGATCTTATATACTCAGGGTACAGCAAATACCTTTATTTGTCGTTTGACACCCATCTTCCATTTCAGAGGGGCAGTATGTTTGTTTCGGAATATTAGTTGGCTACTTGAAATCCGTCCAGAGATGGTACTCGAAAAGAGATATAATACTTGGGTTTTCTACCTAGCACAGAACTAGGTCTCCTCTTCCTGCTTTTCCTCCTTTTTGATGTAGTGGTATGATAACATTGCATGCTTTCTTGGCTAGCTATAATGGCTTCGAATTCGGTTGCGATGTGGAATATTATTCTCTTTCTTCAGGCACTGCCTGCTTATTCCGATTTCTTTGAGGCTTTAGACCCGGGCTCAACATTATTGTCATCAAGAGATTCTTCTTGCGATAACAAGGCATTTCCCGATCTTTACTGTCGTCCTCCATCGACTTGCTACTTCAATCAACAAGGCATACCTCAATGCTGTCCCGCGGGTCAAGATTGTGGTCAGTGGTGGGTTGCTCCTCCAACGCCAACGTCGACTCCGCCATCGCCGGCGGATCCGCAACCTTCGAGATCCGTCCTGGATTGCGACTCCGGTTACGGTTCTAATTGTAATTCGGCAAACTTTAATAATAACGTATTCCCTTCTCGAGGAGTCCTGACGCACCGTAGATATTCACCTGTGATACGGGCGTTGATACTGGCGTTGCTGTGCCTGGCGTTTTGATTTCGTCTTGGTCTTTCGAATTGGAAACCGGTTAAGCAATGGAAGAGGCGCGTTATCTTTAGATTGGCTGGAAAAGTTGTTCTCTTTGGCGAAATGTCAATTTGATCATATCTCCATCATTCTCTTCTTCGGGTTCCTTGGCATCTCTTTCTGTCTCTTTTGTTCTTCAATGGAGATGTCGTCCACATTCGTTTCACCCTCCCTTGGACCATGCCCCGCCTTAGCAACTTTCAGTATCTCATCTTCCATCCCTTCAACGAGCTCCCACCCTATTCCCGCCGCATCCAGCATCTTACAGCCTTGCGACTGACCCACGAACGTTCCTGGTTCCTTAACCCCAAAATAAACCCTATCAATGCCCGCCCGTCCATGATTCCTTGCCTCGACGATCCTCACCGCACACGGTTTATTCCCTGATAGCCTCTTACCGCACGGCTCCATGGTGACGTACATGAGAATTTTCGCATTGGGATCATCTCCCCGCTCCTTCTGCAGCGGTATGCCTACATCTTCCTCCGGGACCCCATGATGAGAAGCGTATTTCGACAGGCAACATTGTTCGGCATGTGTGTTTCCGCGGTGCTCAAGGGTGTATCCCGTCGAAAGAATCTTATCCTCAAAAGTGGTTTGCTGATCTGGGGTCGTGCCCAAGGTCGGCGGGAAATAGCGTCTGAGGAGAAGTATGGCGCCGACACGGAAATTGGTGGGTTTGGGGGGAGAATATGCTGCTAAGGCGAGGCATTGGGTCAGATAGTGGAGGTGGGTTGATAGCTCGGTAGTGTGATAGGGTTGAGGAGCGGCCATTTTTTGGTGGTAGACGAGCCAAATAGGGCAACGTTATTCTAACTCATTGAAGGGCTTCCCGTTACTTAGGCCAATAGAGCAATTCCTCCGTGTAGCGGGCGAAAATTGATCGGGTTGATGGGAAGACCAAGTTGAGAGCCGCAAACTGAGAGGTGAAGATGACGTAACTATCCTGGAACCTTAGTGGAGTTCGGGGAGATGATATTCCGCTCCCGGCAGCTGTCAGGCCTTGGAAGGTACGTGATTGGCAGCTTGGAAATTGACTGGATTATAGTAGGTCTACGGAGTAGTACCTTTGGCCAAGAGTATATTCTCATTTCACCTTCCTGTCTCCAAATGCTTTTCCATCCGCTGATACTACATTCAAATTCCGCACGTCCCTGTAATATATCTTTGAGGCCTGATGTTGAAGCTGAGAAGCAAGCTAGTCCAAACATAGTATAGTTCCGGGGATTTATATTATCCGAAACTCAATTTCTGCCTATTCTAAAAAAAGGATAGTGCATACTCCACGTGCTTGTCGCGTGTTCTCCAATTAATTTGGTTTTCGCGACCGCGTTTTGTATGTGATATTGCCGGCTGAACGGCCATTTGACACCAGACCACGGCAAGCAAGCCGCGAGCATTGCTGTACACAAAAGTAGGCGTTGTTCCGATCTCACCTGTCAATTTCAGGTTCTCCTTAGAATAAAGGACACCATGCCCACTGCAGATGATGACCTTGTCGCGGGGGAACCCCCATCCTCGATCAACCCGTATGAAGTCTTGGGAGTGGAAGAAAAAGCAACCGCAGACCAGATCAAATCTGCCTACAGAAAGCAAGCCTTGAGACACCATCCAGGTTGGTACCCTCCAGTTGTGTTGGAAACACTTTAAGATGCCTGGCGTTTTATAAAGATCGTATCCTTACCCGCTTTGTGCCGCGCAGACAAGGCTTCTCCCGAATCCAAAGATGAGGCCAATAAGAAGTTCCAGGAAATTGCTTTTGCATACGCCATCCTTTCCGATGAGCGACGGCGAAGACGTTATGACACGACCGGCAACACGTCCGAATCCCTGGACCTCGAAGATGATGACTTCGATTGGGTGGATTTCTACCGCGAACAGTTCTCTAGCATGGTTGACGGGAAGGCTATCGAGAAGATAAAAGCCGAATACCAGGGTTCCGAAGAGGAGGAGAGAGATCTACTCGAGGCTTATGAAACTTACGAGGGAGATTTAGATAAAGTGTATGAGGAGGTCATGCTGAGTAATGTATTGGATGACGATGAGCGATTTCGGAAGATTATCAAGAAGGCGATTCGGAAGGGAGAGGTTACTGATTGGCCGGCATTCTCGAAAGAAAGCGCCAAAAAGAGATCTCAGAGAGTCAAAGCGGCGGAGAAGGAAGCCGGGGAAGCCATGGAACTTGCGAAGGAATTGGGCGTTGAGGGCAAGCTCTTCGGGAAGAAAAAGGGCAAGGGTGATAATGACGAAAAGTCATTGATGGCATTGATCCAACAGCGCCAAAAAAGCAGAGCTTCAAACTTTCTGGCAGATCTTGAGGCAAAATACGTGGCTCCATCGAAAGGTGGGAAGGGTAAGAAGAGAAGGACGGAGGACGCTGAACCGCCGGAAGAAGCGTTTCAAAGGAACAGGCCTCGGACGACGAAAAAGCAAAAGGCATATTAGTTCCGATGTCGTCAGTCGACAGGCTGCTTTTCGCCGGAGTTTGGTGTGCGTGTCACAATACCCCCAAGTCTGATCATGTTGCTCTTGTTTTTTCTTTCCTCCCTTCTTTCTTTTTTCCTTTTTCCTTTTTTTTTTTTTTTTTTTTTTAATACTTTCTGCTTATCCCACGGTTTGATATGAATGGCGTATTGATCGGAATGCACAGGGTGAGATGCAGGAAACTCGCATATGTATCCAGGTTGGTTGGGCTGGAGTCTATGGGGAATTATTAGCTACAATTGACGAGAAGCTCAATGTACCAGAAACATTCGTAGTTTATTAAGGAGCGCGTTCTGCAATTTATTGAGAGAATCACATTTCCTCCGTACACGAGGTCCTTCTCGCTGTTTGTCGGCTGCCGCAACGCTGCCAAGCGGTGAGCGCACAATGCGATAAGGCTCTAGTGCACGATGAGCTTGGGAATTCGCTACTCGCCAACCGCTATCTCATCTAGCGGGTCGGAGCTCTCTGGCCTTGCTGGCTCCTGGCTCGCGAGAAGAGAAGGCTCTCTTCCCGACGGCGACGCTCGTCCCTTGCAGTTGACGCGGAGCAGACGACTATCGTCTCGCGATTCTCAACCCTCCCACCCAAGGCAACGCCGTGTGGATCTTCAGCAGACCAAGGATCGGTTTGCGTCGAACCATGATCCATCACGCTCCCCATTCCCTGAAGCCCGTTCCTTGGCCGGCCCTCTTCCGGACTTGGCTGTCGAGTGTCCTGGTCGCTTCTCGCCGAGACCCTAACTAGCAGCCCGCGGGTGCTTCAGCCACATGAAGTTTGTTCGTCCCCTCCCTGGGATATATCTGTCGCCTGCGTGCAGGAGAGTTGCTCTCTCAAAAGCCGTTGATAACTCTATCTGGTTGGTTCCGCATGGTTGTTTGTGGCCTTATCACCGCGGCCACACTGTTGTTCCTTTGTTTGGAGGCCCTTGTTGATTGATTGATGGTTGAGCTGTTGCTTGGATTTTGCTACTACTTATGACGATACATCGCCCTCACTCCACCACACGATACTATAGCTGCAGCACCGGTGTGATATTACTCTGCACTCCTAGGAGCGTTGTAGGTGCACTTCTAAAAGTGCCTCATGTCCTCTTTCCCAATTGCCGACCACATGAGCTGACTTATTTGCCACCCCAAAACTCAGTTCCGCAGCAATATACATACATAGGTATCGCTTCCTTGTCAATACCTCTCCAAGCAGTACTGTATCGGTCCAGACACTAACCCTTCTGCCCGACAGCGTTTGTCTAAAACAGACTCCAGAGTGGGGTGCAAAGGAGACTCCTCCACCTGCCCTTGAGGTCTCCACCGCGCACACTGGTCCCAACGCAAAAAGCTCACACGATCGTCGATGATAACTTGATCCCCGCCACCGTTTCCCGATCTCTCTCCCTTCTCTCGCCTCGAAGATGTCACAACCACCACATATGTCGCTGGAAGCGGCACTCGACGAGGAACGGCGGGAAATCCTAGACATTCTCGAAGGCCGGAAACATGCGCAGCAACAAGCTCCACGTCCTGGCCGTCGCGCCAGCCCCGCGCCTCCTGTGCGAAGCATGTTGGATATTGCTCCCGATTCTGGAGCGCAACGACATGGCTCGATCGCTGGCATTGGTGTAGGTGTAACGCAACCTCCCAACAGATCGACGGCCAAGCCCGGCACAGGTGTACGCAGCATGTTGGACCCAATTGCGCCCTCTCCCTTAAGATTGACCCAAAGTGCTACATCCTCTCCGACCACAGACACCGCACCTTCACAGGAGACACCTGAAGGCCACCGCCGTGCGTCGGATGCATCGTCAAAGGGCCTTCCCGAGATAAAAAAGAGGCATGGTGTAGACCCGCAGCAAGACTACCAGTTTGAGATGCTCCCTAGCATCCCCAATTACGCCCTACCGAAACGAGTCACACAGGGTGGGAAATTGGGCCATCATAACAATACGACGCACAAGAATTCTATGGCTGCGGTCATGTCTGGTGCAGATTTCGGTCCGTTTCCCGGTGCTCCAAGAGGTAGACAAACAGGAAGACATCCCTCTCTACCGGGCCAGTCAAGATCCCCATCTTCACGACTCGGACGGTCGCAGTCACCCGGCACGAGACTGCTCAATACAAATTCCATGAATTTGATGAGTACTCCCGGCAAATTTGTGACCGATTCTGGGAAGGTCATCAACATGGATCACGCGTATAGACGACTGTCGGCCGCTGCGCTGTCCAGATCAGGCGGAAGTCTGGCTAACTATCCTGGGAAAGCGGCGCCCAAGCAGGCTGATGGTGTTGACGGAACAGCGGAGGGGGATGTCCGGCTTCAGAAGGATTACTATTCCGATACACTGGATGGTGGGTTTAGTGAAGATTATACAAGTGAGGAAGATGTCGGTGATACTAGCTCGGGAGAGGATGCATGGAAATCTGAAATTCATCGGGGCCGGAGACGGACTAGGAAGAGGGCGGACGCAGACGGGCCTGGACAAGGCAGCAGTAATAGCGGGGGCCCTAGGAAAATCCGAAACTTACTCGATGCTGCGGAGGAAGAGCGTATGTTTGCTCCTTTTACCCGAACTTCATTTGAGATGAAGCGAGTTTGCTCACTCACCTTAGGCGCCAAAGTATCATCTTCCTACAAGGTCAAATCGTTGCTTGATCCTGTCGCGCCGCGCACTACGAAAGCAGCTTCAGAGAAACCGATTCACAAGAGGACCGGTGTCCACCCGAATACTAGCTTCGATATCACTGCCTCCACAGGCAATACCCCGGCAGGCTCAGAAGATGAAGCTGAATTCTCGGATATCAAAAAGGCACAGAACCTCAGCGTCTACATGTCTCCCGTGGACCAATCAGTTCCGAATAGAGTGATTCGAACTGTCATTCGTGGTGATTTTACTAAACTTCAAGAGGAAGGCGACCGGGGTCAACGTCGGTTGCGGAAATATCTTGTTGCCACGGATCTGAGCGAGGAATCCACATACGCCCTTGAATGGACCATCGGCACGATTCTTCGTGATGGAGATACAATGTACGCAGTGTACGCTGTCGAAGATGAATCAGGATCAAGCAAGACCACTGGCGACGCGGATAGCACATCCTCGGTGCATATCAACGACGGAGCCAAAGCGATGTTGGACATCACTACGACCGTCGGGTCGCAGACAGAGAAGACGTTAGGCGATCCGAATCGAGCATCCGCTCACTCGTCACCCCGCGGATCTTCCACTTATCTGATACCCGAGAGCAAGAGTGGTTCTATCGACTCGCGCGGCACCACGAAGAACGAAGCAGACAGACTTCATGCGATCGATCTCCTCACGCAGACCGTTGTCAGGTTGTTGCGGAAGACGAGACTGCAGGTCCGGGTCGCGATTGAGATTATTCATTGCAAGAGCCCAAAGCATTTGATAACGGAGGCGGTGAGTACATTTTCACGTGTTGGCCTCCTCGGCATCATCCTGGCGGCCTCAGACTCTCGGCTTCGAACTAACCGAGTGATACAGATCGACGCTCTCGAACCCACCTTGGTCGTTCTAGGCTCGCGTGGACGCAGTGCTCTTAAAGGGTAAGCATCGCCTTTACATCGTGGAAGTCGGTAGTAGCAAGAAGGCCCTGACTAATTCGATATTCTTCCTCCAAGGGTCCTCCTCGGCTCGTTCTCCAACTACATCGTAACCAAGTCGTCTGTTCCAGTGATGGTTGCACGAAAGAAGCTCCGCAAGCATGCGAAATACAAGAACACTCACGTTCGATTTTCTAATAATCTCACTGCCCCGAAAAAGCTTGCTTTTGCAAAAGTAGACTGATGCTCTATGATGTTACCTTTTGGGGAGGATTTCTCCACGTATTGCTTTTTACAGAGGATTAATTTCTCCTGGGATGCTTAATTCATAATTAGCAGGTGTTCTAAGAGGGTAAAGTTTCAACTCTGCGGCCTGATTTTGTTTCCTATGACGCCGGAGTTCATTGCGTTTGGTCGTCATTCCGGCTGTATGTTTGATTACTCTTCTCCTTTCTCGTCCTTTGCATTTTCCTATTCTTCCTTCCCCCCTTCTTTTTTTCCCCTCTTTCATTATTGAAATGTTGCTATGATGGAATACGAACTGCTCCAAGTGATGAAGGTGGGCGGGAGAGGCGTTGATGCCGTGGAGTTTGAAGCCTGGGATTCGATATTCTTAGTCTTTTCTGGAAGATGCATGACGACCGGCGTGGTTCTCGGATGTTTATTATTCGACATACATATGTAGACTGAATGGAGGACTGACTCCGGACTTCCATCCCCTCTCTCGGGTACTTTGTTGTCACTCAACGGCGAATTTTCCAGGACCAGGATTACTCTAAATAAAGCTTGTGGGCGGAAGTATGCCCAAGGTCGCCAGCCCAGATGTGTGACAGCCGCCACGAAGCACACGCGAGAATCTTAGCTGAAGACCAAAGGACGCCACGGCCAGGGAGGACCCTGCTTGGACTTCTGGGCTTCAAGGCCTGTCTTCCTGAGGCTGAGGGCGATGCCATTTTCTTCCTGCTCAGGTTCATCTCAAGAAGAAAATTTTTTGCGATGCCACGTCTGGGCTGCAACGCCCAACACACTCCACTGGCAGACACTGATTGGGTTGATCGGGTCGCTGATTTTCCCATCGAACAAGGGCCAATATGTGGTCTTTGCTTTTCCTCACTGCTTTGAACGCATGCTGGTTCGCTCATGCCGTCTTCCACACTGCCTCAGAGTTTATTTGAAAAGATCGATTGAAAAATCGCGCTCTGAAAAGATGGCATCAAACGGAATCCCCACTGCTACGGCTTTCTTCTTCTGATCTGATATCTTTTAAAAAATTCAGAATAAATACTAGTCTATTTCCGCAATTGATGCGCCGTACGGAGTACGATGTCTTTCTTTTAGCCGATCCCTTTGAGACGGGCAGTTAACTTGGGCAGGGGGCCGGGTCGCTTCCCGTCCGTTTCTCTTTCGTTTGTGAGAGGGCGTATAGATACCATATATATATATATATATCTCCACATTTTCCCAGCAGATTGCCACTCCTCGCTGTCTCTGATTTCCACTACGGCCGTTTTGGAGTTGGAAGGGAAGAAGTCCGATCCTTTGTTGGGAGCGGGTAACCTGCAGCCATCTATACGCAAATTTCTGGATAACACCCGTCGTTCAAACGCACGATATCTTATTTTCTTTGTGGGAGAGGTGCTTGAGTTGCAAAAGGGGGCGGGGAAATGAAAGTGAGAGGAGCAGGCAATTGACACAATTCAGATATTGCATCGAGACTAACACGACTCATTTCCAGATACCTTGGATATGGGCTGCGGGAGCGGTTTTCACTGTCCAGCTTTGTGCTGAAGCAAGGCCTCCATCCGATGGGTGCACGATCGGAGGCTCACCCATTGCCCGCAACGCCACCCTCACATACAGAAGAGTGCCTCCAGGAATCTGCGCAACCAGGTCTCTTCATCAAAAGCAATACACGGGCTATGTTTCTCTGCCACCATTTACGCTGCATCCGGTGCAACAAAACTACACAATCAATACATTCTTCTGGTTCGTGGAGGCCAGAGAAAAGCCTGAGGCGGCACCCTTGACAATCTACCTTAGCGGAGGGCCGGGGCTTAGCAGCATGCAGGGTTTATTCCAAGAAACAGGCCCTTGCGAGGTGGTTCAACTTTCTAATAATGAAATCGGAACCATTCCCCGTGAATGGGGCTGGGATCGGAGTTCACACATGCTCTACATTGATCAACCTGTGCAGGTGGGATTCTCGTATGATACGCTAAAAGAAGCATCATTGGATTTCTTGACGGGGAATTTCATTTCGCCACCAATAGACCCACCTGCGAGTCGTTCCCAGACATTTCGCAAAGGTATCTTCAGTTCCAATGACGCCGAGATGACGGCGAACACAACAGAGACAGCAGCGAAAGCAATTTGGCATATGCTACAAGTATTCTTTGCGGAATTCCCAGTATACAGAGCTCGCCAGGGAGTTGCAGAGGTTAACTTGTTCGCCGAAAGTTATGGTGGCAAATATGGGCCAGCATTTGCTGCGCATTTCCACAAGCAGAACGAGAAGCGCGAAAGGGGAGAGATCTCCAGGTGTAAATCGGTGGACATTAAGGTCAAGACGTTGGGAATCTTGCAGGGATACGTTGACGATTTGGTACAGAATCCATATTTCTCGCTCTTCGCATATAACAACACGTATGGACTGCGTGTGATGTCCTTGGACGATGTGAAGGCGAGTCATAAGAAGTTCCATCAACCGGGGGGGTGTAAGGATAAAGTCAAGGCCTGTCGCGAATCTGTCCGACTCCACGACCCCGAAAACGCCGGTGATGTGAGCATTGTTAACACTGCTTGTGTGCAAGCAACTATTGCTTGCAATGGAGAATTGAGCAGCGTATACCCAAAAGTAGGACGAAGTCAATACGACATAGCACAAGGTGTTCTTAACCCGGTATCCCCATTGACATATCTCGAGTACCTCAATATGCCAGAGGTTCAAAGCGCAATTGGTTCTCGGGTCAATTTTACAGAGTCCAGCAGCACTGTGTTCGATGCGTTCCTTAACGCTGGGGACTACAGTCGAGGCGAGTACACCTCCACCCTTGCTTCGTTGCTCGACAGTGGTGTACGAGTCGCCCTTATGTACGGCGATCGCGACTACATCTGCAACTGGTTTGGTGGGCAGGCAGTGTCGTTCGCCATTGCAGCCGCATCAAGGTCGTCCTCGCCGTCTTATATTGCGAACTTCAATTCTGCAGGCTATGCTCCGCTGATCGTAAATACGAGCTATACGGGTGGAGTGGTCCGGCAATTTGCAAACCTCTCGTTCGCACGTATCTACGATGCAGGCCATATCATCCCGTACTATCAGCCCGAAGCGGTTTTCAAGCTATTCACTCGGATCATTGAAGGGAAGAATCCATCGACGGGCGAGTCAATTCCCAACATATCAGCATTCCAAACAAAAGGCGATGCAAATTCCACGAAGACAAACTCTCTTCCCGCACAAGCCAGACCGACGTGCTACCTCCGCAAAGCGCAGGATACGTGCAGTCCCGACCAAATTGAAAAAATGAAGGCGGGAAAGGGGTACGTCATTAACGGGATATGGCACGAAAATAAGCGCGAACGGGCCATCCAAAGGTAAGACGCAAACCGAGAAAGTAGCTCTTGGGCAACAATGGCAGCCACCGTGAGGACCATGCTGTGCTTGGTGTTGTACCCATGGAACTCGACTCGTGACAATTGTGAGATCCGTGTGTCCGTGCAACGATATGCCGCGGAGTTTGTGTGGGATGCTCTGTTGGCGGAGTCAATGAAAAAGTAGTTTTTAATATAGTTTTCTTCTGATAATGGATATTGACAAGACCTAGTTTCTTTTTCGCTCTCTTTCAATGCGAAGGCCGCCACCACTGTGCCGCCCTTTTTTTTTTTTTTTTTTTTGCACAACACGCAAGAGAGGAAATTTCTGCTCGCTGCATACAGATTACATTAGTCTTGATAGTGGTGGCCGCGCTCGAACGGCCAGCCAAGAGAGCTGTCTGGGGTAAATTGCCCGGGTGAGCTGCATCTGAATACATTGACAAAGCGAGAAACCTTGCTGTGGAACCTCACCGTTGATGAAAAGACAATGGACTCGGCCCGCTGAATACTCAATAGATGAGGCCTGCGAAATTAAACCCCCGATGATCACTTCTCAAACAAAGGCCGGATCCCTTGGCCGGCGTTCTTTGTGTGTTTTTTTTGCTCTTTTGTAAATCAATCAGAAGACGCATCGCACAAAGTGCTCGTCACATTTTGACATCATTCCAAGTGCACGCGCTATTTTAGCGTCTATCTGAAGCACTGGACTTCGAAAGTACAGAGTACCCCAGATTCCGTCCTCCTCTCCACGCGTTTGGAACGGGGGGTTGTGTGCTCATTGCTCTGATGATCTCTTGTCGATCCTAGGTTCGCTCGATCCACCAACTCGATGCGGTCGATGTGATAATGCATGTGTCCTCGACTCATTGTGATACAGTGACAATACCCTTACCTCAATGCTCTTCGGCAACTACCCAGAGCTTAATGTCGAACGTTGCCCGTGTACGTGGTACATAGTCCTTCAGCGAAAACCACTTGACTGGAGAACAACATTGATATTCAGGGGTAATTTGAGACGTGCTAAGATGGCTCTGCAAATACCACTTTCTGCAAGCCTCACGGGACAAGTTTGTGCAACTTTTAATTCAGCCGAATACGGACAAAGAGCTTTTCTCCTTCGACAACGGGAAAACAAGTTTTTGAGAAACCCACCGTCCCGAAAGTGCCGTTGGCTTGCTGATAGGAGGCACAGCCAAAGGATGCGTTGGTTCTTTGTCCATGGAGATATTCAGGAGCACGGGCAGGAAGCATAAATACCTTCTGTGCCCTCCGTGATTTGAGTCCGATAGACAGTCCATCCCACTCCACATATCTCTCAAGCCGCCCCCCCCCCCAATTCGTTTTATTTCGAAAGAAGAGAGAAGGCCCAAATAGCCACCATGGTTCAATTCAAAGCTCTCGCCCTTACCCTCACTTTCTTCATGGCCATTGCGTCTGCAGTTCCTGAACCCGAGGCTGCTGCGATCGATGACTGCATGCCTGGCTGCCATCCCAATAAGGCTAACTGCGAACCCCCATACGTAAGTCTCGGGCGCTCTCCCTCCCCGCGAGCCCCAGATGCCTCCGGGTAGATTCCTAGAGGATGAACATGCATAAGCTTTTGGGCCGAATTGAACAAGATGCTAATCTGGGACTCTTCTAGTATGAGACGCCATATAAACTGCCAACCAGAACCGTATGTTATCATCCCTGAACCCAGGATCATCCCCCCAGTTTCCTTCGAGCTCGCCATTTCCTTTTCGGCTGAGAGCACTGGTATCACTGACACAAAGTTGTTTCTGCAAAGTGCTATATGTGCTGCAAGAAGAAATAAATCACATAACTCGCCTGGTAGTATCGTTCCTTGGAGGCTCTTCGCCGCCCTGAAATGCGAGAAGTGAAGACGAGAAGATGGCGGTGAAATGTGACGGGAGGAATGAGGCTAGTCAACCTGCCAGGTTGCATTGGTGATGTCTGCAAAGTGTCGGTTATGTGCGGAATAAAGATTCAATACCCCTGGAGTGTAGTTAAAAACCTGCATTCAGAAGAAATACAACTTTATCCTCAAGAGACTCGGGTCTGCTTTCAAGGGAGGTCTGGATAAAAAGTTATTAGATTGACTTTCCATGATGCAACTCAGATCCACACAGTTTGGACAACAGCCACGAACGCCAGAGACGCTGCGACGGAAGATGGAATCCAGGTTTCCATTGTGTCTGCTATATCATTTTCTTTTTTGATATCCCGAAAATACCGCGTCATTCAACTTCCTGTTTAGCATTCCTAAACAGATATTTTATTATCGTATCAAATTGATTTTTTCTCAATGCTGCCCAGGTATCACAACCGGAACCCCCCACCCCCCCAAAAAAAAAAATAAAAAAATAAAAAAAAAAGTTAAACAAGCAAAACCCAACGCATAAGACAAGAGAAAATTACATGGATGGTGCGTTGGTCAAGTCCGGGTGTATGTACAAAAGGATATTTCAACTATTCCAAGCACTGAAAACATGACACTCGCGTGTGTGTGTGTGTGTGTGTGTGTGTGTGTGTGTGTGTGTGTGTATTGAGGGGGATAAGGGGTTGACCGCTTGCTCAGGGTTTAGAAAGGGAGGAAAGAGAAAACAGTGGCGTGAAAATGCTGTGCCAATGACACTTAGTGGCATTGATTTGGATCGCTAGAATATGCTGGATCATGAATGGATTGGGATATCAGAGTCGTTCTCGGGCAATTATTTGGGTGAATGATAGGATATGTAAGATGGTTATGTGTGTCCACAGTCGAGAGGCACGCAGGGTCGAAAGACTGTTCGCGTATATCAATATATCTGGTGACGACCCTTCGATGGGTGGCGTTGAGGGGTCGCTTCCAGCTCTACCAACTGAACCCCAGCAGCTGAGCTCAATTCTGGCGGTCTCTCGTCCTGCATAATGGGTGTATGGTATTGACCAAGGCCATCCCAGCTCCGATGCGCTGGTGGCGGTGACCGACTCTGCAGCGGAGGGCTATACGGTCCACCGACGTGGGACATATCCGGCGACATCATGCTCGTATGGCCCGGGTGCGAGCCCATCGTAACCCCATCTTTCTCGCTTCTGCCGGCCATCGACCAGTCTCCCCCGCTCATTGCCCATCGCCGTGTCCGGTCGTTACTCTCTTCTTCCGAGTTTAGCCACTTGCGGTAAACGCGGTTGCGCCCAAGCACGAAGAAAAGAGCGGCCAAGATAGAGATAGCGGCGATGCTCCCGATCACGATCCCAGCAATAGCTCCACGACCCAGACCAGATGATGATGACGATGGCGATGACGATGGCTCTGAACGGTCACTCCCTTCCGCAGGTGGCGCTTGGCCGGGAACCAACATGTACGGATATTTCAAGGCCTTTGCATACTGTGCATCCCAGGTCATCGATTCGTTCTAGAGAGCAAGGAGAAAGATTAGAACATAAGAGTCCACAGCCTTAAAAAGTGAAATAGACCACAACTGTGAGGACTATACCGGGTTGATTACGCCAACCATTCCGTTCACAATACACGAGTCGATGGCGGTGCAATAAAAGAATGTCGGCTGTAGGAGACGTTAACAGTCGTCCTATCTCGGTGTAAGGAACCAGGGGTTTATGGGAGACTACCTTGGTGTCATTGACGGTCAACTTCCATGTTGGCGGCTAAATATCATGGACTATCAGCATGGTCATGCACTCAAGGCTGCAGAGACCTCAAAGCTCACTTTCCCAACCAGCATGCCGTCCTCCTCGTCGAAAGAATTGAATATTCCCGAATAGAAGTATCTCCCGGTTGCAGGTACGCACGGCGCCAGGTAATCTGCCTGCACTACCGAGTGATTGCGTGGATAGAACTCGAATTCGATTACATCGCCAACGTCCGCTTTGATGGTATGCGGTATATACTGATGAGGATCCTCTTTTGCTCCCACCTTGACGGTATGAGTCGCACGGCCGGTGTTCGTACTTGTTCTCGTTGCCGTTGTCGAGGAAAACTGCGAGCTGCGAGTGGGTGTTATCTCTGATTCCGAATCCGAGTCGGTGGTGCTCTGCGCCGTCGTGAGCACGACCATTTGCAGGGCGACCGGCAGCAACGCTAGCCGTGTCACTAAATGGTGCAGCATCTTTTAAATGCCTCTTTGTTTGGTCTCAAGTTCTAGAAGCCAAAACTGGCATCATTCGATGCCCTCTCTGTCTGTGTGTATGAGAGTGGGGGGTTTCTTTTTGTTCTTTTTAATCGATCGCTTGTTTTCCCTGCTTTCGAGGCAAAAACAATATGAGCTGGGGCTGTGAAAGAAATTGGAGGGCCGCCAAAAGCGGTCCGGGGGGAACAGGCGTGTCCACGTTGTCGAAAGATCTGCAAGCCCGGAAGAGGGGACCCTTAAAGGGCACCCGGTGATAGGGCCTGACAAGGGTACCGCAGGAAAAGCCACTCTAGAACCTCTGTTACTCTTATCGAGGACTAGGTCAAAGCCACCTACGGGACCCATTGAGTCCGCGTTGTTTTCTTCGCCTTCGGGGGCCTAGAGAGTCTGGCATCATCATCGTACTGCGTGTGCCGTGATGGTGGCTTGTCGGCACCTGGTTGCCACCTGTATATTCTGCGTACAAGACGTCCGATACGAAGTATTCCGCACAATGGTATGCATCTCCTCTGGACGGAGTATATACAAATTAACCTTCACGAGCCCGGTGGTTGAGATATCTTGGCATAAAACCTCCAGCTTTTCTCCAGCAAGGATGCACCGTTGGCATTCGGATCCTGCGATCTGGGCAGACTCGGCGTTCCCACACAAACAAGCCAAGACCCGGGCAAAAAGGTAATATTGCTTGGTCTCGCTACGTTGGCCGGTACCCTGTGCGCGCTACGATGTGGTCTCACAATGCTCCCCGCCAGAGTTTTACAGAGTGCAGAGCAATTGCGGGTTGAGGATGGGACAGATGCTGATCAAGCAACACAGACAGGTTCCCTCGAGAAGGTGAAGGTGTGCGGCTGGCCAACGAAATTATCCCGAATTTTTGGGACTCTCGTGCATGATCGGAACTGGCTGCCTCGACGATCATTCCGGCTGACCGTGGCAAGGCTGAAGTCTGCTTTCCAAACTGGCCACTCCCAGGCCGAGAGACTGAGATGGGTGGAATGCGGGAAATTCGAGACGAATGAGTGGATGGAGCCCTTGCTTTGGGAGAGTCCAATGCTACCTTGACTCTTGTAGCCCCCCGTCCTGGCAGAGAAATAAGACTATACTCCGTATACAGGGCTATATTCAGTCCAAAACTGTAGCTTACAATTATTAATAAACCCCCAGTTGACCCCCAAGAAAGTTATTCGGCAAAGGGGTTTATCGGCGCTGAACGCAATCAAACGAGACCAATACCTGCCCTCATTCTAAATAGTAACCCCCATCACGCATCAATTAGGTTGCCCTCAGCAACGGCGTCGCCGCCGCTAGTATCCCTAGTGTCTTTAGTTGGCTTCCTGGATCGACTCTTAGCGGATCGCTGATAAAATTCATCAATGACCTTCTTCGGAATGCGATTAAGGAGGTCCTTGGGATAAATGCGGAGCAAGTTCCAGGCGATGTCCAGCGAGTCAAAGACTGTACGGGACTCATACGGCGACTGCGCGATAAATGTTCGTTCGAATTTTTCAAGGAACTCCAGAGAGAGCTTGTCCTCAGCGGACAGAGCTTCCTCACCAACGACAGCTTTCATGGCGGCTATGGTTAAGGTAAAGTCAGTGAGCATGCCCCGGCACTACAAAAGGATAGTCGTAGGAACAAACCTGCATCACGTCCAATGGCGTACTTGGCGTAGAGCTGGTTGGATACGTCGCCGTGGTCTTTACGAGTACGTCCCTCACCAATGGCAGATTTCATGAGACGAGATAGCGACGGCAACACGTTAATAGGCGGGTAGATACCCTTGTTGTAAAGTTGACGGTCAACGAAAATCTGTCCCTCGGTGATATATCCTGTTAAATCGGGAATAGGATGTGTGATGTCTAGGCACGAATTAGCGAAAAGGATTCGAGTCGGAGACACGTCACATCGAACATACCATCGTTAGGCATAGTCAAAATTGGGATCTGGGTGATAGAGCCATTACGACCTTCTACACGACCAGCTCGTTCGTAGATCGTAGACAAGTCAGTGTACATGTAACCGGGATAACCACGTCGACCTGGCACTTCTTCACGGGCAGCTGAGACCTCACGAAGAGCATCACAATACGCCGACAGATCTGTCAAGATGACAAGGACGTGCTTCTCCAATTGATACGCATAATACTCTGCAGTAGTCAACGCAAGGCGAGGTGTAATAATACGCTCAATCCTGATCCCTTGTTAGCTTTCCGCGCTCCCCACTATTCTCAAAGCCATGCACTTACGTAGGATCGTTGGCAAGATTCAAAAACAATGTGACGCGCTCCATACTGCCATTCTCCTCGAAGTCTCTTGTAAAGAATCGACTAGTTTCCATGTTCACACCCATAGCGGCGAACACGATAGAGAAATTCTCCTCGTGTCCGTCATGCACATCCTTTGTCGGTTTCACAAGGCCAGCTTGACGACAAATTTGGGCAGCAATTTCATTGTGCGGAAGACCAGCGGCGGAGAAAATTGGTATCTTCTGCCCTCTAGCGATCGAGTTCATGGTATCAATGGCCGAGATACCCGTAGAGATCATTTCTTCGGGGTACACCTATAGTTGAGATCAGCCGGGCTTACGGTGCAATATTTTGAGTACGACGCCCACTCACTCTGGAGTAAGGGTTGATGGGACTGCCGTTAATATCGAGATAGTCTTCCGCGAGGACCTTGGGGCCTTTATCGATTGCGCGACCGGATCCGTCAAATACTCGACCCAACATGTCTTCGGACACACCGAGCTTGAGACTGTGACCGGAGAATTCGACTGTGGTCTTTTCAGATAATCAGCAATGACTCCTGCGGCAATTTGTATAACCGCGCCTCTCACCTTCTTCACATCGATGCCAGATGTTCCTTCAAACACCTATATCACACCAACTCGTATCAGCATCCATCACGGGGGATTACCATTCGGTTTCCGCATAACGCACCTGCACGACGGCTCTATTCCCTATAAATCCGGTGCAATTAGCCATGGCTTCCTTATCCTCAAGCTATAGCAATTGTATACGTACCCCTGGCTTCAAGGACCTGACCAGCTCGCTCGGAGCCATCAGGCAACGTTAAGGACACGATTTCGTTGTATGTTGGGAATTTGACCTAGGATACAAGGGCAACAGTTTTAGTCCAGTGTACTACAGCAAAAGCAGAAATGGCTTGTTTCCGTACATTGTCAAGAATCACCAGAGGGCCGTTGATACCCCCAATGGTATTGTACCGGATGCGAGGTTGGACGGAAGACATCCGGGGATCTTCAAGCCCCGGCGCCATGATTGAATGACGAGGCAAGTTAAAATATCTGTTATTTCTTGGGAGTAAAGGGCAACTCAAGAGAGGTATTCAAACGAGCGCGAGCTTCAGTATGCGCCGATTGGAGATGTGATGTGCTGGAGTTACTCCGTACAAGGTGCCGTTCGTAGCTCGTGATTGCGCCAGAGCCAATCAGATGACTTCCCCGCTCTAATGACGTAAGCATATCACGTGACATGGAATTAATAGTTTGGATCCTTATAAGGGTATTAGCTGGCCGAGCTCTCGACAGTGAAGAACTTAGGATACTGGATTCCACTTATTCAGAAGAATCAGAGAAAATTGCGCGATATCTGACCACTCTGACAAAATCATTAGGCATGGATGGAAAAGAAGGCATGTGCTTGATATCCACCCCAACTTTCTCCCAACAGGTAGGAGCCCAAGCTCTTCACTTAACCTTTGCGAATCTCTTAGTTGACATTGGGAACAGTGTTTCACATAGGCTGACACATGTTTATACATCCCTGGCCACCAGTATCGAGCTTGTAAGGTGGAGTAAGTTCCTTCTCGCCCTTTCTGACCAAATTCATCATGCATCATGTGTAGAATTTGTTTGCGTTGTTCCAAGTCGTCCACAACACGCCTTAGGGGTACTCCAGATCCTGCTCGCCTAAAAAGTTGATCTGCTTCCACAACATATTTGGTTGCTTTTCTGCAGAATTTGGCGTATTCTTTTCCATCCATGCCTAATGGTTTTGTTAGCGTAGTCAGATATCGTGCAATCTTCTCTGGTTCTTCTGAATGGGTGGAATCCAGTATCCTAAGTTCTTCACTGTCGAGAGCTCGGCCAGCTAATACCCTTATTAGGATCCATAAAGGCAAATAGATCTTCATCCTCCTCTTCAGATTTAGGTTGTTCCCCAACACCAAGTCCCTCTGCCACGTGACCCATACGGCGCGAAATTTCCTCTTCTCCGCGAGCCGTTCAGGCTTCATCGCTGAAAAAGCAGACTCCAAGGCGAGAGAGTAACTATACTACTGTACTCCGTATAGTTTCAGTAATGTGCGGCGTACAGAGCAAATGTAGACTATGGCGATAAGACTGTATATGTACTTGTGCTCGAGAAGATGCCAAGCATATTTTGCTTTGTTCACAATTAACATGGGAGCAGGGGCTGCACCATAGTTACTCGGTAACTACAATATCAGCAGAAGCAGCTCCAGGCACTTTGACGCAGGGAAGTAAACGTAATTTCCCACACAAGTTTTCATCACCTGCTTTGGCTTTCAAGCCCGCCCCGAGAAGTGCAACGTCAAACCGTCCCCACTTCATCTAGACACAGATGGAACGATCCCCGAGCAATAAGTCGATTATGTAGTCATGACGACTTTGACTGTCAAGATAACAACGACCCTCAAAATGCCTTGAAACCCGACATCCCTGCCTCCTCGTCCTTGCGATCCCTACTAGAAGCTACGCAAGATCCATGGTTAAGGTCATCCCTGCTTCGCAGGGAATCACAGTGCGTAACTGTGCTCCATCAAACAGCTCCAAAAATATGGAAACGCACCGACTAGTTATTATAGAATAGATAGTACGTACTGCGGGATTTAAGATCGTGAGTACATCGGATCTATATCTATTCCGCTGTTGATATAAAGGTCTTGAAGATCTGTTTTTAAAACCGAAATACACAAGTCACGTCCATCTTCAGACATATCAAGGGGCTTATGGTGCCAGAGAGCCAACCCCCCACTGTGGATATGTAACTACATATAAAGCACCGAAACACTATTCAGTCTCTTCTGCACCAACGTATTCTCCCTTTTCCCATTGGCTTCATCGCTCAAGAACTTTCCAACTCGGGGCCCTGTACATTACTATCGGAAGAGTTACGTTCCTTGTGGTCAGTTGAGAAGAAAATATCTTCTTCTTTTTGTTCTCTTAAAATCTCAAATCCCATCCAATCTTTGGCCCAATGACGGGCAAAGCATCAGCGACACTCTGCACATCCTTGTCGCCCCGGCCACTCAAATTCAGGACAATGTTCTTCCCCTTGCCCATCTTCTTTGCAAGCTCGATCACGCCGTACACTGCGTGGGACGATTCCAGGGCGGGAATAATGCCTTCCAACTCGGCAATAGTCCGGAAACCAATAAGAGCCTGAGCGTCTGTGGCAGCAATGAACTCGGCTCTCGAGGTGTCTTTCCAAGAACTTAATTCCGGCCCGACGCCGGGATAGTCTAGACCAGCCGAAATGGAGTGAGTTTCGGAGATCTGGCCGTGTTCGTCCTGGAGAACGTAGGTTCGCACGCCGTGAAGAACACCTTTGGTTCCTCCAGAGAGAGTCGCCGAGTGCTTTCCCGTTTCAATTCCGTCGCCTCCAGCTTCGACACCCAGCAGTTTGACGCTAAGATCGTCCGCGAAGGGATAGAACATGCCAACAGCATTGCTACCTCCGCCGACACAAGCAACCACGGCATCGGGGAGTCTGCCTGTTAGCTCCTTCATTTGCTGCTTCGTCTCTTCACCGATTACCGACTGGAATGTACGAACGATAGTCGGGAAGGGATGAGGGCCAATCGCTGAGCCGATGATGTAGTGTGTAGTTTCGAGATCGACGACCCAGGCACGAAGTGCTTCGTTGACGGCGTCACGGAGTGTCCGAGAGCCAGCTTCAACAGCTACCACGGACGCCCCGAGAAGCTTCATGCGGAACACATTGAGCGCCTGTCGACGGACGTCCTCTGCACCCATGTAAACAACACACTCCATGCCAAATTTTGCGCACACAGTTGCGGTAGCTACACCGTGCTGGCCTGCTCCAGTTTCGGCAATGATTCTGGTCTTTCCAAGACGCTTTGCAAGCAAAACTTGGCCGAGTGCGTTATTGATTTTGTGACTTCCTGTATGATTTAGATCTTCTCGCTTGATGTAAATGTTAGCGCCCCCAGCGTGTTCGGTGAGGCGCTGAGCGAAATGCAGATTACTGGGACGTCCCATGTAAGGGTAGTACGAGCGATATTCTTCCCAGAATTTAGGATCATTCTTGGCTTCGTTAAATCCAGCCTCCAGTTCAGCGAGACAATCCATGAGTGACTCCGGAACATATTGCCCACCAAACTCTCCAAAGCGTGCTGGGATCGCAGCTGGATTCCCGGTCACATTAAGAGCCTCGAGCTGGTCAACGAGCCCCGGTCCTGGGCTGGAACCCTCCTTGATAACTTTGTCGACTTGTGCCCCCGTGGGTTCCTGCGCTTCTGCCAGTGCCTCAGTGAGGCCAATTTCCCTCGTGAACGGCTCTGACAGCTTGCTCCGATCAACCGTCCTTCCCGTGATGCTTGAACAGTACTCTTTGATCTTCTGGGCTCTCTGGCCTTCAGGTGCTTCACCCAGCACGGTGATCATTTGGCTTCCGATAACGACACCCTCCGCAATTTCTTGGACGTTCAGGAAATGCTCCCTCGTGCTCACGCCGAAACCAACAGCAGCTGGTATATTTCCGGAATAGCTGTGAACTCGTGCCAGAAGCTCTGGAAGGCCCGTACTTAGTCGACCCGTGGCGCCAGTGACACCCATTCTCGACACAACATAGATAAAAGAATCGGCGATGCTGCAGAGTAGTCTCATTCGGGAGTCTGAGGTAGCAGGGGCAATCAGAGGGACATACGAGAGCCTACACATAGAGCATGAATATCAGCATCGCCACAGTTTTAAAACACACTCCCCGCGGTGACTGACTCACCCTTCCTTCTTGCATAGATCTCTAAATCGAACGGCTTCCTCTGGTGGCAGATCAACCATAATGAAGCCATTGATCCCGGCGGCTTTAGCGGTTTTCAGTATCTTTTCCTCGCCATATCGCAAGAGCGGGTTGTAGTAGCCCATAAGCAGCACGGGAGCTCTCAATCCCCGATCCCTCGCCTGGCGAACCATTTCAAGCACAGAAGTGATAGTAACACCATGTTGCAACGCCTGAGTGTTCGCGCGCTGGATGGTGGGGCCATCGGCAATGGGATCTGTAAAGGGCACACCGAGCTCGATGATATCTGCCGTCCAAAAAAGGAGAGAAATGGAAAGGTTAGCTGACAGATAATCACAGATACCTTCATTGAGAAAAAAAAATGTATATATATATAGATGTAGCGAAAAAAAATTTTTGCGCCCTTACCGGCTCCACCCTCTTCCATGCCCAATATGATATCAACGGTTTCGTCAGGGCGGGGATACCCCGCGGTGACATACGCAACCAGCGCAGAGCGTCCCTCTCGCTTGCATTGTGCAAATGTCTGCTTTATGCCCTCCATGATGGAAGTTGCTTTTCTGCCCTCCGTCTGGTTAGGCGTTGGTGTCTTTCCTTGCTCTTCGATCCGATCAAAGCGAATTGCGGGGAATTAATTTTGGAGTGAAGGGGAATGGGAATTGAAAAATTAAAGACGGAAAAAAAAAAAAAAAAAAGAAAAAAGAGAAAAGGAAAGGAGCTACAGACGCTTAAGCAGTCAGCCCGGTAGGAGGAGGAGGATAAAGGGAGAAGAGTTGAGGGAGAGAGAGCTTTCTGGGGAGCAACAAACTGCGAGAGTGGCGCTGACTCACTGCTGGATGGCTTGCGATTTCGAATATCGAGCGGCAGAAAATTTGGGGGGTTTCGGAGATACTCGCCCGCCTCGCGATCAGATTGCCCCCCAGCAGCAGCTCCCGATTTCCACTGGCTAAACTTACTCCGAGCTAGCCAGGAACACGCCAGCCAGCCCCCTAACGCAAAACTCCGCACTTCGAGGGCAAGCCGAGTTTTTCATTTTCGCCACCCACGGGCGCGCGAGACGGGTACTCACGTAAATCGTGAATGAGCACAATATTTGGAAGATGATATGGAGTATTCTAAGAACCAATTGAATTGAATTCAAAAAACTATCTGATATCTGAGTCGGCGCCCATTATAACTCCCAGTAGCTATATTTCCATCCAAAATAACCAAGATCGGAAAAAGGTGTATTAGGATCCCTTGCGACAGGCTCGCAGCAGCAAAATCACCAAGTCAAGCTCCAATATCCAAAAAAAAAAAAAAAGAGGAAAATCAAAAACAACGCAAAAGCATCCAATATCAAAAAGCCCACGCAAAACACAAGCAACAAGTCAAAAAACAAAACCGCCACTTTTTCCCGTGCAGGACGCCAAGAAATAGTCCCGTTCCCATATCCGATGCAATGCTGTGTAAAAAGGAGCGGCTGATGCTAAACCAAAAAGCATGCAAAATTTTCGACAAAAAGGAGTGACCGTGCCCAGTTTTCCTTCAAATGCAAATAAATGCGCGTCAACCGGACCTACCCAGAAACAAGCTTTGATAAACAAGAGGGGGCGTCTATTAAAACACAATATCCAAAGGCGAAGGAGAGTCGTCGGGTGAGATATTAGAGAAACGCCTTTGGGGAAAGAGGATGATTAGTGTAAGGGAGGTTCCAAAAAAGGGATTAGAGCCGCGATATAAGTAAGACGCCGTCCACCTGTGTCATCGACATAAAGGAGTGAGACATGACCAGGGGGGAATCATCTGTGAAAGCAAAAAAAAAAAAAAAGACCAACCAACGCCGCGCTTGTTTCTGACAGGTCGTCAAAGGAGTGGCAGAAGGAAATTCGTGACCATTATTATATCAGTGCATCGGAGGTGTAAAAGGAGCGACTCACGGGACCAGCATCTTCCAAAGATGAAATCGCTCGCATAAAAAGCGGAAAAAAAAAAAATACAAAACCGCTATGCAATACAAAAAATTATCGAATTAGAACAATTACGGTGATTCGAAAGACGGCGGAAACAAGGTACTGGGTAGGATCAAGAAATAGGGGGAGCGAGGTCGACGTCAAGAAGTGGTCTGGCGGCGCACAGCGTGACTTAAGGTGAATTGATGACTATCGAAAAGGTAACTCTCTTAGACACCGCCGCCTGGATGACTGGGAGGGTAGGACGAGTGATTGGCGTCTCGGCCAACAGTTGTGAAGTTTCCAGAATAGGAGTACGGCAGGTCTTGAGGGGCCGGGTGAGTGGAAGAAGGGCTAGAGGTGACAAAGTTGTTGAAATCAAAGGAACCGTGACGCGGGATCAAGGCTGGCGACGACACTTGTTGTTGCTGGGCGCGATGGAATTGATAGGCCGCGTGCTGATTGTCGATGGAAGGCACAACAGCACGCATTGGTGAGGCTACCGCCATTTGATTGTTGCCATAAACCTGAGCGCGGAACTGTGGAGGTACACCTAGAGCACTAGAAACGTCGACAATACGCTGTGAAGATCCGGCAGGATAGTCCAACTGGCCGTTAACATTGACATTGACGGGATAGTTTGAAGCCAGGGGCGCTTGAAGAGTTCCTGCTGTTGAAGAGTAACTGGCAGACTGTAGGAAGGCGATTTAGCATCTGGCTGACCGCAGAATCTAAAAGAGGGAGAGTGATAGACTTACGTATTTTCCAATAATCTTCTTCAATGCATGAGCTAGAATTCTCCATGGAAACACCTTGACGTCCTTCTCAATATTTCGCGGTTTCGGGTTCGGGAAGCCCATGATGACTTTGAAGAACTCTTCGCTCTCCGCTTTTGCCTTCGAAACGGTCAACGGGCGGAAACCCTCAAGATTCCTACGAATCCGGTTCTTCTCTTCCACGGTAAATCTAACTCCGACAAGCGATTCAAGCAGGTAGATGGTGTCAACGCTGGTCACATAGCACTCTTTCTTGCCAGCCCAGTAAATGCAGCTGATACAGATACTGTTGGGAGCACGATCAGCAGGCGCTACGGGAGCGAAATCCGCATGGATACTGCTGCCAGTTTGATGACGCGTGAATTGTACAAGTCGTCTTTGAACTTCCTGTTCATCTTTCGACCAGTTATCTGCCATGGAGTCAAGGTCGCCATTCAACTTGAGAACTGCCTTTGTGGGATACATCGCATAAGGGTTAAAAGACTGGTTTTGAGATACTGCTCCGGAACCTGCGAGCGATTGTTGAATTGTAGAAGTTCGGATGAGAGTCGGGTTTTGACCAGTCCTAACAGAGAGAGGCAATTCCGTGGTTTGAGAGAGCGGCGTCATATTATATCGAGGGTTGAAGTCTGCAATGGTGCTGTCTGGAAAGTCTGGGCTCCAAGATGACGCCAGAGGGGATGGGGCTTTGATTCTAGATTGAGAAACGTTGGCATAGACATCTAGCTGCGTTGGGGGAAGCGGCGAAGGAACGCGCTGGCCGTTGGCAGGATAGCCCGTCATCGATGCCGGAGTAGGAAGATAGGCCGAGTAGGGGGATGCTGACAAACTACTTTCGGCGTAGACTGAACTTCTTGGGCTGTCTTTGGTTCTCAATTGTTTCACTGGCGCCGAGTTCGAGGAGGAAATGTCATCTGAGCCGCAAGACATCTTTCTCTTCCGAGACCCTGGAGAAACAGCTTGAACGGACTGTTCATAACTAAAGGCACCGATTTGCACCATGTGAGTTGTGGGTCCCTCAGGGTCCTCCATTACTAACTGAACAGGGATTGAAGAAGAAGTCGATTCTGTTGAGGAGAACGGTGGTACATCGACTGTAAGGGCGTATTGGAACAGAACTTTCTGGACACCTACAAGGGCCACAGAGCATTCACAGCGTGAGGATCCAAATATCAAAGTAAACGACCACGGAACCGGGTTGATAATGTCCAAAGTTGACTGTATTTGGACTGTCAATTTTGTGCCTTCCGCCCCATTGGCTGGGTCGAAGCTAACAACTTCAGGTGGTGGCCGTGTGGACGCCTCTAAGCTCGGAGAGCGCGGGAAATCAAAGGGGGAGCCGGCATATCCTCTATTACCTACATAGTGGATACTTTCATCGTCTGAAACGGGATGACTTTCAAGAACGGGAGTGAAAAGTTGCCCAGAGTATGGCGCTTGGGCATATGCCGGCAACGCGCCTTGATAGAGAGCTCCTGTCGTTCCATCATAGTCTAGAAGAGCCAATGTCAGTTATTAATCTACTGAGTATGTGTGTGACCTTGCATATCCAAACTCGGTCGTATTGATTGGAGATATACTAACCTAACAGATCGGTTGGTTGACACTTCTCGTAAGTCGACATGGACATCGGGCCTCCAGTCTTGGCCCAAAGGCCGTCTGAGAATGTTCCTGCAAATCTTGACTCCTCCGGATCTGAAAAGTCGACTGATTCGTCAAATATCAAAGGCGACTGGAAGTCCAGATCGAACTAGATCAACAATATCAGTACTCCGTACCGAGCCACTACACGTTCAACACGGATATTTCCGATATGTTTCCGGTAATCCGCATAGGGAAAAGGTAAGGAACCAGAATCTTACCTGGGTAGTGAGTCCCTTTGAATACGCCAGGGTGACGGTGCTGCAAAAGATGCAGCAAGAACGGATTTGGTTTAGTAAGCGAGTGACTGAGATCTGACTGATCTCGCAAAAAAAAAAAAAAAAAAAAAGCCTGGATATGTCTCGGAAGCGCTTAATTGCACTTCGAGCCAAAAGCGAGCGACAGAAAGAGACTGTCAATGAGTCTCAAAATCACACAAACCACAGAAAGGGCGGCGAGTTAACATCCAGGGAGCACACGATAAGTCAAATAAAATATGTGGTTGCTGATCGCGCCACAGCCAATATGTCGATCGTTGGTTTCCTTCAATCGCAAAGCACGCTTCGAGTGCAAAGCCGCTTGCAGTGTGTGATTTTGAGAATTGAGAGCAAAATGTACGACAAAAGCTGGGTCAATGGTCAGCATTAGGAGTTTGACAATCGGCTGGCGGCATCATCGTATTAGCAGACTTACCGAGTGAATAAAACAAAGTATAGCTTAAAAAAAAAAAAAAAACCAAATGTCGCCCGACGCAGATATGCGCTGGAAACTCAACTAGACCTGCGATGATGTCCTGAAAGAAAACGTTCGTTAGTCTATAGACAGGTTGACATCCAACAAGAAGGAGACATGAACCATGGTACCCGATAACCATTGTGGCTACGAACCAATGAGAAGCAGAAGATGCCCAAATAGCCTCTTGACCTGCAGCTTAGAGATAGCAAGGTAGGAACGCGTCGTTGCTTACCTTGGCCCGGTCGCCTTTGACAGTGTGGAATCCACTTTGGCTAGTGGTTGATACGCCCCGGTAGGATGCCGCTCTTTCAGAGATGAAAGGTCCCAAGAAAACGCAAAGGAAGATTCAAGGGACTAATCCTTTTTGCGAACAGAATGCGGAAAAGAAGATGTCCGTGGACAGGCCCACAAGAAAATTGGTCCTTGATGCCGCGCAGATAGGGATTTTCCTCGTGGTGTTGGGTCTGCGTGCGCCTTGCAGATACTCGATCAACCGACGGAACGGTACAGCACACGGGATGGATTGTCGAGTTGCTTTGAGCACAGCAATGGAATGTGCCGGTGTCCTGCTTCAATGGAATGAATTTCGCATGGACCTCTTTCTTGATCCCTCTTTTTTTTTTTTTTTTTTTTTCTTTTTTTTTCCCTTTAATTTTTTTTTCAATTCTTTCTCTTTTTGCTTAGAGTATATGATTTTCTTTTTTCCTTCCCTCAAGAGGTATATACTGTATTCTGTTCTGTCGCCCAAAAGGGGAGGGGGGGGAAGTCTCCCTCGGAGCCTAGTTTAAAAAAGTGAAGGAAGAAAAGAGACCTTCTGTGGAAGTAGAGTGTGTTGAGAGATGGATGGGAGAGCGAATGTGAATTCCCCAGCGATTTGAAAAATCGATAGCCACGGATTAAGAGATAGGATATTATGTACTAAGGGGGTTTTGTATATGTAGATTATATTTTCAGCCGTCGTCCGAAAAAGCACCTTAAAGCATGTAGCGAACGTAAATTCGTCGAAAAGCGAGTGTGTAGTTCTGGAGGGAACTGAACGAAGGGACAAACGATGGGGAGCGATGGATTTGGGTCAGAGCGCCATGGTCGAGGTGAGGGATGGGGGCGGGAGAGGGGAAGAAGAAGAGGTGGAGGAAGAAGAGGGAAGAAAAAAGAGAAGAGGAGAAGAGGAGGAGGAGGAGGAGGAGGAAGAGCAGGAGGGAGGAAGTTGGAGGGTGCTGGTGGTGATATTATGTTATGACGAGCATATCGGGCCTGGAGGTATTTTCTGGAATGCTACAGTCACCCCCGCCACAAGCCAGAAAATGGGCAGCTTCAAACTCTCCAACGAAACGTGACAACTCTCGCTGGGCGACCGGGGTGGGCAGCCGCTGACCAGGGAAACTCGACAGCCGACATCTGGCGAAATACGGTTACCGGACCACTCAAATCAAGCAAACCACATGGCCGAAAGAAGACGGTTGTGTGGTGCGCCCCACCAATCACCGCCCGCTCCCAGACCCGCTCCGGTCCAAACATCCATATCCGCGTTACAGTACATTACGCAACCCCGTCCCTCGACTGTCGATGCCCCACGCCCGCGCCTACCGATGACGGCTGCAGCTCATCGCCTGGCCATTTCAAATTTTCGGCGCACGGAATCTTACAGCTTGTGTGCTGGTACCGTAACACCAGGTCGCTTTTAGATCATTAAGTAAGCGGCTTGGTTTATTACCGTGGGAAGCACGCAGAAACCGACCCCGGTACGGGATCACTCATCACGGTCCACCCGATATCAAAAATATCGAAAAGTAAAAAATAAAAGAAAAATAGGAAGGAAGAGAAAGGAAAAAGAAAACTATCGGGTTTATTCTAGAGGCAGTGCCACGTTTGGTTTGAGCGGTCATGTCTGGGGAAACTTTTTTTCGGACATTGTTTTATCGTAGCACTCTTCTCGCGGCTTCAGAGTTACGACGACACCCAGAGTTTTTGGCGAGTGTCCTCGCTGTACGGCGCATTCGCGCTAGATTCTGACTGGGGAGCGCCTTTTTTTTTTTTTTTATCTACCTTTTTTTGTGTTGTCGGATCTTCGATACGAAACCACTAGCGACCGATCAAATAATTCACAGGACCAGCTAGCTGGCCGTAGCGTGTCCCAGGTTGAGCACCGCAAGATAGCCCGTCAAGAACAAGCTCTTCCCCCTCCCTTCCGAGCTCTGGAAACCAAAGCTGTCGGTCGTGTCGCTTTGACATTCGAAGCATTGACTCCAGTCAAGCTACGACGGTGCTTAAAAAAAAAAAAAAGAGAAAGCCCAGAATCAAGCAGAAACGTCCCATCCTAGCACGGTGCACTGCCTCGCCCTCCGATACAGGACCCCGTACAGAGTGCATACACAACTGTTCCTTTTCCCCCTCCCCCCGACTGGCAGCCTTGGCGATTCTTTCTCTCTGGCAGAGGTGCACGTTGAGTTGTTTCCTGCGCTGTCCCAGCATCGATACGGAAGAGCAGCCGGTACCTCCAATCAGATACATACTAGCCCGTACGGAGAGAGGTCCCAAGGTACCAGGTAATGCGGCCCGTATTGAGTTATGCCTGATCCGGTAACCCTCAAAGTCGCCAATTCTTGCCTCGCGAGGGGCCGCTCTACAGGGCTCTTCCATGCGAAACTCTCTCGCGCTCGCACCGATCCTCACCCTCCCGACAAGCGATGGTGCCGAACGAGCCAGCACGTCGCCAGTGAGCAGCGCGTCTCCATATCGCTGCTCGCCGTTGGATGGCGAATCTTTCAACAGCAGCCAGCCAGCCAGCCAACCGGCCAGCGGGACAGGCGACGTAACGCAGCCCTTCCTTACCACCCCCACGCGAGAACGATTCCTGTTGAGGTTCTTTTTACCTAAACTCACCACCTGGTTAGTTACCTGACTACGGAGTAAACATCTATATTTAGAACACAGCCTAAAGAGTTAGGCTTTTCCGGAGTAAACTCGAACCACTCTTTGCCTCTCCGATTCCCGAAGGATCCATCACCCACGCCCTAACGATCGCTTCTTTTTCTGCCCTCCGAACCTTTGACTTCTCACATCATTCCACTACGTAAGAGCCGCCCCGATGATCGACTTTTCAAGTTTGGAATTGTCCAGGGGCCGCGGACCATTCCTTGAACCTGATCCAACGCCCGCGTTTCCGCGCGAGGCGGCGCAGACAGGCCATGAGCGACGGTGGAGTATCCTCACAGTTAGCTCTCCATAGGAATAACAGTAAAAAAGAACCTGCAAAAATTGACATCTAGCTGGCCCCTCGATCCCCATTGGACGGACACTTGCTGCTCCAGCGGAGAGACCAGAGGCAAGCCAGATGGGCCATCGACGTTTCACTGCAGGACGCTTGAGATGTAGCAGGGCCTTCCACTCTCTCGACCCATTTTCGGGGAAAAGGAGTAAGGATGGCTCAATTACCATGATGACAACCGGGCGCTCCGTTCCAGCTTTGCGCGAAACTTTGCTCGAAGCTGCTAGCTTGTTGGGGGGGTTGGTTTGTTGTGGAATATGACCCCCAAAGGTAGAATTCCTTTCTTTTTCTAATTTTTTTTTTTTTTTCCTCTTCTTTTTTCCAACGCCAATTGGACCCGTGAAGAAAAAAAAAGTAAAATAAGGTAAAATAAAATAAAAATTAAACTCTCCCTCTGGAATCTTGTGAAGAGAGATCACAGGCGGGTACAACTCGGCAAAAGGATTCCATGGGAACATCGTCTGGCGTTCCTGATGGCTTCATTCCCCTTATCCACACATGATGCACAAATACACGACTAAACTTCTTCACACCGTATCTGTTTCGAGTCAGCCGGCCGTTTTGTGTCTGCTGAACAAAGTTTGCTCCTAAAAAACTACTCAGCCCATCAAGCTCAACTCTGGTTCCGCTGAAAAAAAATCCGAGATTTGAGCGGATGACCAAAGAATAATAACGGGAGGCCCTTTGTCGGGCCCTGTTTCCAACTGGATGCAACTCCCACACACGTGTTTATGGGAAAGTTTCCTCAAGCCCGTTTGGTTCGATGCTACATAAAACGACAGCGAAGAGATGGATGTCAATGACAGAGGCGTTTTCCCTCTCTTTTTTTTTTTGTTTTTTCGTGGTGCTCTGTTCCCCGTAGCAGCCTATCCCATCCTTAGCATCCTGCACTAGTCCTATTTTTAGGGCCTTTTTCTCTCCTTCTTTTGGCTCCTGTGTTTGCCAAAAACGTGAAAGCTCTAACATGCGTCAGGTGACGTCTTTAGCTTTCCGCACGAACTCGACATGAAACGAGGGAGCCGGCGAACGACGAGGATCCCCTTCTCCCTCCCGCGCTAGGTACGGAGTTAAGGGGGTAAAAGAAGGAGAAAATGAACATTGAAACCAAGTTCTCGAATTTTCAGTCAAGAGCGCTGCACATCCATCCCCGTGCGAAACGTGATGGGCGCTCAGTTCAAGTGCCAGAAGACCTTGCTCGCACATCACTCAAACCCCGAAATCTTGCGTCTGTGGAGCCGAGTGCTCTGGCGCGAGTTTCAAGAAGCCTACCAGAGTCCCTCGTAGCTTTGGTTCAAGCTCCTTCATCCCTAGCTAGGGGGGAGGGGAGAATGAAACGTCAATTGCTAGCAAAGTCTTCCTGGAGCTCCGAGTCAAGCTTCGATGAACTTCCATCTCCACAACAAGAAGCACGAAGTGCCTGATTTGTTGATTCCAGCATGCCTGGCATTGTGGAGATTGAACAGTTTGAAAGCTCCAAAAGAAAAAAAAGGGGGAAGAGGGGGAGAGAGCTCTCTTTCTTTGCTTTTTTTCTTCTTTTCAGGCTTCCCCCTTCATCGTCGTTTCATCTTGGAGCAATGCAAAGCTTTTCTTTTGTGTGGTGTAATTACTCCCAACGTTATGAACATGCCAGGGTTGGCTTTGCGCTTGGGCTCCCGGCTTAACGCAGGACCTGGTGCTCAATGGCGGGGGGGGCCTGGCCCTTGAAGATCAAACGATCCCCCAGGAAATTTTCTTTTTCCTTATTTTCTTTTATTTTTTTTCTCTGGATTATTTGCATATTTTGACAGAAGTTTAATTTTCCTGGTGACGATCTTACTTCCTTATCAGTCCCATGACTTCAAAAGCGCGGATCTTGGGATGGAGCAGCAGCTGCCCTGCTTTTCCGCCAAAAACAAGCGACTCTCATTTCGACTGTTCTCTAGGATACCTTGTCCAGATCCCTCATGCGTCCTACATTATGTACAACTCGTAGAGGACATAGCTACACGAATTGCACAGGGTTGACGTTGCATTTTTCCCTTTCTGATCTCGTCTCATTCGCTTGGGGAAAACCGGACAAAGATTTCTTGGAAATCCGAGAATGAAAAAAAAATGAAATCCGATCTCCCATCCTGGAAAATCCAAATTTCAACTAAATACTTGTTTCGCAATTTCGCAACCCAACCCAACCCCCCCAGCCTGGTCCAGGTGTCAAAAGCTATGGGTCCAAGGAGATTACGGCGAGAAAGCAACTGGCCAGGAGTTAGCAAAGCGAGGGAGGCTCGAGCTCTAGGATCGTGGAATTCCGTAGATCCCCGCAGCGGATTCCAGTTTCAACTGGACAGGTAAGAGCATACAGAGGGATTTAGAGAGATGATACTACCACTCACCTCTTTAACGAACGAACGAAGATACGGAGTAAACCCACTCACTCCCCCGTAACTACGTGACCCCAAAGAAGATTTGAAAATGAGCGCAATGCGGCCTTTACAGCTTGCTGTCGGACACGCCGTCATTGGCGATCCGAATGACCAATTTGCCAAACTGGCTTCCCTGCTTCATGTCGTCAAATAGGCTATCGATCTCTTTGATGTTGTTGATACCCTGCACCACGCGCCACACAATGGGCTGGATGCCATGCGCTTTGACGAAGTTGACCATGTCTTCAAATTCCTTTCTCGAGCCCATCGTCGAGCCCTTGACGTCTATGTTCTTAAGCACGGCTTGCATGAAGAAAGGCATCTTCGGCGCGATCGTCATGCCGTAAACGGAGAGAACTCCTCCGGCCTGTAATCATAAAGAAGGGAGGGCAAATCAGTGAGCGGATCAGAGGGCGATTAATGCCGTGTTGGGTGCGAAGGGAAGTAGATCCCCATAAGAAAAGAAAAACTAACCTTGAGCAGCCGGGCTGATTTCTCGACAATATCTCCACCCGCACCGTCGATTATGGCGTCAAAGTTCCTCTTCCCCTTCGGCAGCATGCCAAGCAGTTTCTTGTCCCATCCGTCCTCCTTATAATTTACCCCCCCGCGAGCACCCAGCTCGGTAGCTTGTCTGAGTTTCTCCTCGCTCGAGCTCGTGACGTAGACATCGGCGCCTCGGGCGACTGCGAATCTCAACGCCATCAGGGCGACTCCACCACCGATCCCCGTGATCAAAACCGCCGCACCGGCCTTGGAGTTCTTATCGCCAGCTTTGGTGACAAGAGCACGCCAGGCAGTCAGGCCTGTCAAGGGCAGAGCAGCGGCCTCGACGTCGCTCAGATGCTCGGGCGCTAGCTCAACCTCCGTCACGTCCAGAGTGACATACTCCTGCAACGTGCCCTTGGGATTAGCCTTCGTTCCGCCCATGATGGCATATCCCGTTGGCGACTCTGGACCGTCCTCTGAATCTTTCCATCCTGTGCCCGGGTTCAGAATGACTCGCTTTTCGATCCAGGATTGTGGCTCTCGGACTTGTGGGCCGGCTGCGACCACGACGCCCACTCCGTCCGCGAGGAGAGGGGTGTCGAACGAAACACCCGGGTACAGGTGCTGGCGGATGAAGAGGTCTCTGTGGTTTAGAGCCGCGGCGGTGATCTTGATGAGGAGCTCGGTGCCTTGGGGCGTGGGCTTGGGGATGTCCCGAAGGGCGAGAGGGTAGTAGACTTTGCCCGGCTTACCCGGCTGGCCGTCGGTGGAGGAGACGGTGATGGCGTGCATGGTTGGTGCTGCTTTAGAATTCGCGAAGAGTACTCAGCAGATACTAATGATATCCTATAATGTCCCGACGAGGCTCAATGGCAAAGATTAGAGCTTAGACTTTCTATATATACTCGATATCAATCAGCATAACCGGATGTCTCCCAGAACTACATATTTTCCCTCGGCCACCGCACGGAATCAACTGTCGAGGAGTCAACTCGACGTACCTGTACTCCGTACTGCTTCCTTCTAACGCTAAATATCGAGCTCAATTCCTGATTGAACCGCAAGCTTCAAAATGCACTCTTCTGAATAATTATCTCATTAACACCAGCAACATCGAATCTCCAGCAGCCAGCTTTCCCAGGCGTCGTTCTAACGCCGCCGCCAAAGTGACCCCACAACAGGCATGATGACTAGTTAGTTAGTTAACTAGCTTACAAATGTGACGCGCTGCAACCTCCTCATACATTTATTTTCCCACCGACCGAATCCGATAAATGAAGATCCCGTTCGGCTGTGGGCGACGGGGGTCAGTTTCTGCCGAGACCAGCTGTTTTCAAGGGCGAGATTTGATTCTGCGTGCTGTTCAATGCTGTCTATATGGTGTGTGAAGTCGATATATCGGTGGTTTGATGTCGTCGCGGGCGGGCAATGAGCCGAGGTTTCTTCAGTTTCCCCAATGCTTGTTTGCCCGGGCCGAGCGTGGGCAAAAGTCGGCAAAGGAGATAGGTGCAATCACTGACGTTCAAACAAAGAGGGGGTGAATACAAAGAGAAAGCGATAGTAAAAAAAAAAAAATAAAAATAAAAATACCAAAAATAAATATAAAAATATCAAAGAAAAAGTGGAGAGTTGTTTGCTTGAATAAACTGATGATAAATTGATTACCCGAATATGGTAAGACTCAACTGGGATGCTGGTTTGTTTGCTCTTTGACTAGGAACTAATCGACGTCATCCAGAATGTTTCGAACCTCGTATATAAAAGGACATTTTCAAGATTTACTACTCTTTCTCACCCACATACCCCTTTTGATACATCATGAACAAGAAGCCAAGCCAAGAACAAGACAACACACACTTTGCCTCCGGCTACCTTTCGTAATGCTATAAACGATGGTCTGAGAAGTGTGACGACAAAACTTCCCTTAACACAATGAGTGAATCTGTACATATACATAGCAGTCATAGGCGGTGAAAGTCTCTCAGACTGTGAATTAAAACTCGTAGCATCAAGTTCGCCACCTAGGGGTGAACCACCGCGAATTGCCCCTTTCCCTTGACCAAGAAGCGGAATCATCACAATCTGAAAATCTCCTCTGGGAATGGTATGGGGTAAGCATCGACCATCCTCCCGAGGCAGTAGATGAGCCATCGGAAGACAGAGAGGATGACCGCTGGCGGCGGGTCCTGCTGAGGCTCGATTCATCGTCTGAGCTGTAACACGAGTCATCGAAGCCGAGCACGTTCCATCTCATAAGTGGCTCATCATCCGAGCTATCGTATCGTGATGATCCTGGAGCTTGCTGAGTGCGAAGGTGTGGTGTGGGTATGAACACAGGCTCGCGCCGTCCGGATGGTATCCTTGGATATATTGGTTCGGGTACCTGGCGGAATCCTGGCAACGAGCGATGACGATGCATGGAATGGGGACTGGTAGGGTTTGTCCTCGCCGGAGGAGGACGAGGGACCAAGTCATGCACATTTTGGTGGTGATGGATGTGGCGAGGGGCTATAATCCCATGACGCCCATCGTGAACATGGTGCTGGGGAACGCCGTAGCAATGAGAGCAATAGCAACCTGCCTGGACGCCGGTGCATCGGGATTGCTGTGCTCGTCGACCTTGTTGCTGCAGGAGAAGATTCTCTCCGCTGTGAAACCCAGGGCCGTAGTGTCGACACGGGTAGTTTCTTCCGGCGGTGCGGTTGTTGGGCCTGGAAAAGATCAGTGGAAACCCTAGCCGGCCTCTCCACCCGGTAGGATCGGGTGGTTGACGAGAGCGTTCAGCGAACATTGTCCTCCCTCGCTCTCATGCAGATCAAGGAGGTTTGTTTACAAGTGCTGGTATCCAGGGCGTTGCGCCCCCGGACATATATCCCTAATGTGTCTTAAATTAAACGGTCTGAGGGGTTCAGTTGGAGTGCAATCGAGGAGACGGGCCATCAAAAAAAAGGAATTAGATCAAACAATCAACACGGTCGACGTGGAAGAATACTTGGGCAGTTTTTCAGAAGGTATCTTCGGATATTTATATCCCTCATCTCGTAAAATGCAGCTGCACTCCCAGCGGGCTATGTTTGCTGGGGCCATTGTCGCATCATATGCAGGATGGTTGCATCTCCGAGCATTGCAAGGCAATCGAACAAGCGTTTTTTATCTGAACAGTGCTGAACAAATGACCGCGGCTGTCAAACGCTACGAAGTAGCAGCAAACACGGCAGCCCTAATATCAGTCTTGCATATGACCTCGGAAGTGAAGGGCAACCGCAGTGATATAGAGGTGAGCTAAAAAAAAAAAAAGGGTTTGCCATCGAGCATGTCAGAGCGTGAGTGTGTCAAAAAGCTAAAACGCCTCTTAAGCATCCAGTGCATTGACAGGCGGTTCTGGTGACCCAGAGCTGCCTGTAGATAAACGTGCTACAGACCAGGCTTGGTTGTTGCAGAGTATAGGGAAGAGAAGGGGGGAACGAGGAGGAGAGCTAACGGAACAAGCCTCGTGTGAAGTCATCGGTTGCTGTCCAAGGCAGCGTGCAGCAGAAAAAGGGAGAGCTTGAAACTTGTCGCTGCGTGCCGCCCACGCAGGGCCATCAGAGCATATGCTCCAAAGAGTGCTCGAGGCTCCGACACTCCCAGACGTAGGGCGACGGCGCCATCCGGCCGGCAGGCTCGGTTGGGCTAAACCAGCATCTAGAATCGAAGATCCAGAACCCTCCCGGATGACATCAACAAAAGGGCAAATAAGCAGGCTGTCGACCGGCAGGCAGTTGTTAAGGTTCCGCCAGCGAGTCGTCTTCTCGACGCCCATGTAACCACGGGTTGGAGCAGCAACACCCAAAGCAGGTTTGCAGCGGTGACTCCGTGCACGGCACAGTAGGCAGCAGCCACGCACCGGGACGGCGCAAGTTGGCTGGAGGTGGCGCGGGCGGCGGTGTGGGCGGCCTTTATTTCCACGCCACCCCGGTGATTTGTCCAGTGAACCCTTTTTTTTCGCACTGCCAAACCAACCTCCAAACTCTCCCAAAAGAACTCAACAGAGGTAAGAGAAACACAACCTTCTTTTTGTCTCTGCTATCGCATTTGTTTCGAGAACCCCAGTCCAGCCAGCCCCCAGCCAGATCCTGCTGCAGATTTCACTAATTTCCGTCGGCTCTCCAGCTCCTTCTCACCGCTCCTCAGCAACTTGCTTCTTCTAATTCGCATCGTCTTTGCCTCGATCCCCCAGCCCGGATTGCCCTAGCCGCCACAGCACCTGAACCCAGCTCAAAGCGGCTTTTATACCTGCTTTCGTTTAGCGATTGGGATAACAGAATAGATCCTTTCTGTCTCATCATGCCTTCACCACTTCCATCCACCTTTGCCTCTGCTGCGGCTGGCAACACAGACTCCTCGAGAAGAGACGGCTTGAGTAGCGGAGAATGGTAAGACAAAGACTCCCCTTTTTCTCCATACCACCGTGCTTCTGCTCTATCAACGCGTCCCAATCCTCCACTACGTGCTGTCAGGCCCGGCTTTGTGTCGCCGGTACATTTGAGCTAAACTCCCCATCATTGCAGGTCTCGAAATCGTCTTAACGGAGCCACGCAGACATTTCGTCGGCCGTCTCTCGCAACCAACACATCTCACAGCCGGGACGGTGCGCAGACGACCTCGGGCGCATCCGCTACCCCTACCGCCCCGGCATACATACCTCCTCACCTGAATTCAAGTTATCAGTCTGGTGCGTTGCGTGGCGGGAGTGGAAACGATAGTCGATACTCCAAAGATCAACTGCTCAACTTTTACAAAAACCAAAAGGAATCCAAGGAGTGGGGGAAGAATGTAACGGATTATTTTATGGCGGACTGGAATCCTTTGGAGGAAACCCCTGCCACAAACGGTGGTTGGGGCAAAAGAGAAGACTTCAAAGACAGCCATGCGGGTCCCGAAGTGTGTTGGGATCACGGTGGGAGGATAGAGCCTCTGGGTTTGATGAACATGACCCAGGAAGAGAAAGATGTTTGTTCCTTTCCCCCCTCCTTATCGACAACTTATTAGGATAAGCGTTCCTGACTTTTTGTTCAGCTATTTTCCAGCTCCGTCAACTCTCCACTTAAACCTCCCCCGCAGAACGTTTCAAAGGATGGCAACGCGCCTGGGGGCTCAATGGGTCGTAAGGCTTCGTTTTCCCACTCGCAAGGCCATATGAATTCCTTCAATACCTCGTCACCGGGCACCGGCCGACCTGGTCCTCGGCGACGAGGCACTGGAGACTCCCTGGCAAACACAATGTCCCCGACCGGAAACACTCGTATGTTTCGTGATGAAGCAAACACGGCCACTCCGCCTCCATCTCTTTTGCGTCGAAAGACTGATTTCCGTGATTCTATATCAAATTCAAAGCTGGAGGAGAAGGAACAAGAGAGTTCGAATCGTGATGCACCGCTAGACATCACTTCTCCATTCGGGACTTTGAAACGTAGCGCTACCAATCCCCTTGGAACTAGCACCTCCTCGCCGTGGCCGACCGGCTCACATGGTTCTGCTTTCTCTCCGATGGGCTCATTTGGAAACTTTTCACTTGGACCCATAGCGTCGCCGACTGCGGAGAAGAAAACTAGCTTTGGAAGTTTACGAGGTGAGAGTCGCTTTAAGAATCTGTTGTCTAAGAGCAGTTCAGAGGATATGGGTACGAACTCCAAGGAGAAACCATCTATCCTCGACCGTCTACCCGAAACCGAGAACGACAATCCTCCACCAAGCCAACCGGAGGTTGTACAGACTCGTCCGGCGCGTAGCGACACCAATCCGTTTGAAGAACCTAGAAGTGGGAGTGCTGCTCTTGGTGGACAGGATTTGAATCCTCCTAGTACTGGAATTGATCAGTTTGGGTTGTCGTCGTTCGGCCTGCCCTCCTCCACTCATACTCCCAGCCGGCTCCATGGCCACGAGCCTATGAGCCCGACTCATACCAACCCATACCAATCTCCGCATGAAGAGCGGGGTGATGCGGACGAGGTTGCCACGAATGGATCCGATATACAGCATGCGCATTTGCCGAGTCTTACTGAACTCCGTGAGGACTCTGGCCCTTCAGCATTTGGTTCTTTTCCTAGGAGTGCGGCAACTGGTGACATTACAGCTGGAGATCGAAGCCAAACATCGAGTGTAGGAGGAAATCGAAACTTTTCGGGACTGGGCGGTCTCGGCGGCCTTCCTCCGCTTGCTACATCTGCGGGTTGGCCAACCTCAGCTACAACAGGCACTCCCACTCGGGAGAGATCCGCATTTATGGGTGCATTCGGTGATCCTATTTTTGGTCCAATGTCCGAGCTGCAGTCTCCTAGTTTGTCATCTCTGGGGGCTGGTGGATTTTTTGGATCACACACTAACCTTTCGAGCGCTACAAACACTCGACCTAGTAAGCTTGGATCCCTTTTCCCACCTGCAATGCAAGACCAAATGCGTGAACAGTCACGATCTGATCTTCCAGGAAATGAAGGAGCCGCAAGACCACAGGGTGAGTAGTGTTCGTCAATGTTGCATTTTTGATCCGATTCACTAACTTTTTGACTAGACCCTTTTATGACTGAGAAACCAAGCGCAAATCATTCCGCTACTGTTTCTGCATCTCAGACCCCAGTCTCAGCTGTTGGACAAGGTTCGGTTTCTGTAAGCCAGCCACCACCGGAAGGCAGCTCCCAGGTGAATCAAGGTTCTGGTCAGTGCGGCGGCACTCCTTCTGCGAATCAACTCCCAGCTGCTCAGCAGAGACAAATGGTCATGCCCGATCGCATGCGGTGGATCTATCGCGACCACAAGGGAAACACTCAGGGTCCGTGGTCTGGCCTTGAAATGCATGATTGGTTCAAGGCTGGTTTCTTCACCGCAGAGCTTCAAGTTAAGAAACTCGAGGACGCTGAGTATGAACCATTGGGCCAACTTGTTCGACGTATTGGCAATTCTCGAGAACCTTTCCTTGTTCCACAAATTGGCGTTCCTCACGGTCCTCCAACCACTCAAGCTCCATGGTCTTCGAGTTCACAAAGTGGCGTTGTCCAGCCCCCGTTTGCTAACAGCTTCCCAAGCTTCGGTACAACTTTGACAGCCGAGCAGCAGAATGCACTAGAACGACGAAAGCAGGAAGAACAGTACATGATGGCTCGTCAAAAGGAGCACTTGGCACAACAGCAAGCGCTGCTAAAACAGATGCAGTTCCAAAATCCCGCCCATACAATACATCCACAACTGCAACATCATTCTAGCGCCCACAGTCTTCAGAGTCAGCCGAGTTATGGCAGTATCACTTCGCCGGCAACATACCAACCCCCTCCTACCATGCAGGCTCCAATCCAGCCTCCACAGCTCCTTCCTGGATATTTCGATCCGCAGACGAGGCCAGGCGCGATGCCAAATATTGCACCTCAGGTGCCTATTCAAGAGCCTATTGGAACTCAAGATCAGCTGCCCACTTTACTTGATCGTTTGAATATCAACCGCACCGGGCAGTATCCTTTCGGTAGTGGCCCTTCCTTTGCAGCAAGGCAACCCGAAGGCCCCATGCATCCTGAAGCGGTGACAACAATGTTGCAAGATCGAGCGCATCTCCAGCAGGAACAAGATCAATTTAATAAAGGCCAAACTGATTCTATCTTTGACCAGCAAGCCCGTGAGGAGCGCCTGCGCCAATTTCATGCACTGAGAGGTGCGGATGAAGAGATACCAGCGCGTAAAACTGAGGGACTTCCAACCCACCCACCAGCTCCTGCGATGGACCCTGGACACGAAGAAGAGATAGCCTCCATGCTTAATGCTCAGGCTCAACAGTCGCAAACCGTACCGGCCAGCAACGAGACCCCACTTTCTCTTACACAGCAGGTGCAGAATGCCGCAACGGCGCAAAGGTTGCAACAACAGATCCAACAAGCCCAAGCACCGGCCGTCCAGCAGGAGTCCCCCTGGCAAAAGGTTGATAATGGAATGCCGCAGCCATTCCCTCCACCGCCTTCTCAGTCCCCTCTTCCAGCCCCAGCTGCGCAAAGGAAACAGAATATTGCAGACACCTTAGCTGCAGGATCCCGGTCACAGAGTCAAACACCTGCTGCCGAAACCCAAACCACATCTATTGCACCTTGGGCAACGCAAGCAACTGAGATGCCGAAGGGACCGTCCCTGAAAGAAATTCAAGAAGCTGAAGCTCGCAAGGCCGCCAAGTTGGAAGAGGCTGCTGCTGCCGCTCGTCGTGCACTTGCTGAACAAGAGCGCGCCAACCAGCCACCACCGCCTGTCCCCGGTCTTCCGTCTACAGCCAATTGGGCGAGTGCTGGATCTCCTGCTACCCCAACCCCAACTGGCTCTGTCTGGGCGAAACCCATCGCTGGAAAGCCCTCAACCCCAGGTGCAACTGCACCAAAGAAGACCCTAGCACAAATCCAAAAGGAAGAGGAGGCCCGTAAGCAACGCCTTGCTGCAGCAAACACACAAGCTAATGCAGTGAGTACCGCCGCCACATCCGCAGGTAAGCGTTATGCCGACCTTGCGAGCAAGGTTGCCCCTCCAAATCAAGCATCGTCTGGCGGTGCTTGGACGACAGTTGGAGCCGGTGGGAAAGCAAAAGCAGCAGCCGCTCCTCCAGCGCCCACGCGAGCTGTCACTAGTGCTGCACCTGTAGCCTCTCCCGCCAAACCGAGACCGGTCACAGTTACGCGGTCAACCACTGTTGCAGCACCCGCCAACCCAAACAGGGCGACTGAGGAACTGTCGAAATGGGCCAAGCTTGCATTGGGTGCGGGATTGAATAGTGCTATCAATGGTAAGTTTTCATATTAGTAAAAAGGCAATTGTGATCCTTCTCACTGACCTTGGCGGTAACAGTTGATGATTTCGTTCAACAACTTCTCCTTCTTCCGCCAGAGACCGAGATCATCTCGGATTGTGTCTATGCCAACTCCCAGACCCTTGATGGTCGCCGATTCGCCGAAGAATTTGTTCGCCGCCGCAAGCTTGCGGACAAGGGAATCGTTGATCCGATCCCGACCACTGGCGGAAATATGTTTGGTGCTGGTTTATCGGACTCCAAGGGCGCTTCCGATGGGTGGAACGAGGTTGCTAAGAAAGGTTCCGCCAATGCTCATCGGGATGATGGAAACACAGCGTTCAAGGTCGTCTCCAAGAAGAAGGGAAAACGGTAAATGCGTGCGACTGGGGAGAAGTTTGGTGACTTGAAGCAAAACCTACGTATTTCAGCATTGTCAGCGGGCAAGACAAGCGATTTTCACGCGGCATTTTTCTGTTGTCATTCTGGCCTTTGGCGCCTGGTTTTGTAAGAATAGTTTTCTACATTTATATCTGTTTCCTTTTTTTTTTTTTTTTTTTCTCTTTTTTTCCCCTAGTTTGATGTGATTGTGTGTAGTTGCATATGCTGCTGATGCCGACTCATCACGAACTACCTGGTGTCGCCTTGATGTACTGTATGCGACAATGCATTTGATGCTCATTTCCATCTCCAGCTAAAGCAATTCTCTATATGCTAGACTGATGCAAATCCTTTCTCGTGGACCTCTCCTTTCTCATGCAGCGATTTGGGACTGCCGCCATAGTTTCCGCAGAACACCCGTGGGATCATTCACCCCACTCTGAAAAAAACTTAGAAAAAGCCGGACCTTCTTTTCCATGTTTTCAAGGTAGTTGGAACGGTGGGATACGGGACCGGCCTTCCATGTCAACCTCATTCGCGGTCTCTGCTCGTCCAGCGACGCGATCTGCCTTTCCGAGTCCAGCCGTCTGCCAAGCCGGTTTCTGCATCTGATAACAAGTTAAGCTCACGCCCTTGCGTCCCACATGGTTTGATGCCCCGTTCGGCGGAGCTGTGACAGCCGTAACCGATTTTATGGGAGGGGAAAGCTCCATATTCAATATCACAAAAGAGGGGTGAGTCACAATTGATTGCTCCTACAAGAAGGACGACACATCCGTGGCTCGGTAGAGTGAGGTCTGACTTGACCATCAATGATCATAGGCATTATCTACAGAAGCCTGCGTTTTTGTTCTTGACAGTACGTCCAGTATCCCTCTGAGAGATTCACAGAAAGGGGAGCGCCCATCTGAAGGGAAAGAAAAGCAGCAATGGGACCATTATCGCCAGCCCCCTCTGACAACAAGATGGTTGCCTTTGGGAAACCCATGCGAAAGCTGTTCCCGCTGCACCCAGATTGGACGAATTTAAATCATGGTATAGGACATTGCATCCCTATCCGTGTTTCTGCTTGTCATGTCTTTCTACGATGAGAGTGAACGATCACGTTCTAACCGGGTCGTAGGCTCCTTCGGAACTTTCCCCCATGCCGTCCGCGAGGAACGGCAGAGATTCGAGGACGAGTTGGATGGCATACCTGATACATTCATTCGGTATGCCAGTCCTGGATACATCGATAACTCTCGTGCTGCGTTGGCCAAGTACCTCAACGTGCCCATGAATGAAGTGGTCTACGTCAAAAATGCCACCACCGGGGTGAATGTCGTTCTGCGGAACTTGGTGTACAAGCCTGGTGATATTATTGTGTATTTCTCCTGCATCTATGGTGCTTGTGAGAAGACGATTGCGTATCTGGCGGAGGTAACGCCTCTGAAGGCCAGAAAGATCATGCTGGAATTTCCATGCACACATGATGATATCATTCAAAGATTTACCGACGTCGTGAGGAAGGCGAGAGCAGAAGGATTGAATGTCAGGATTGCTCTGTTTGATACCATCGCCAGCCAGCCAGGCTTGCGGCTCCCGTTTGAAAGGCTGGTGGAAGCCTGTCGCGAAGAGGGTATACTATCCTGCATCGACGGCGCTCACGGGGTTGGACAAATTCCCTTAGACCTCGCGAAATTAAACGCAGATTTCTTCGTGAGTAATTGCCACAAGTAAGTATCACCTCTTCCTCGCGTTTCTCGCCAGCACAAACCGACAATTCCTCTCCAGATGGCTCTACACCCCCCGTGGGAGCGCCGTCTTCCACGTCCCCGTCCGAAACCAACACCTCATCCGCACCACCCTCCCCACATCATGGGGCTTCCAACCTGCCCCCGATGTCCTCTCCGACGCTGTCCCACGTTCCTCCAAGCCCATACGTTTCCCCTCCGTCCTTCCTCCCGGTGGCTCCAAATCCACCTTCGAACACCTCTTCGAATACGTCGCCACGAACAACGATATTCCCTACTTCTGCATCCCTGCCGCCCTTAAGTTCCGCCAGGAAGTCTGCGGCGGAGAAGCCCGCATCATGGAGTACTGCGAGAACCTAGCCTTCGAAGCGGGGAATCTCGTGGCCAAAATTCTCGGCACGGATATCCTCTGTGAGCCGGGCGCTGAGATGCAGACAACCCGCGGTGCCAGTCAGTTCCGTCGCTGCGCCTTAGTTAATGTGCGTCTGCCTATTGCTGTAGATGATGGTACTGGTGCGCATCATGAGGGAAACAAAGGGTACCCTGTCATTAAGCTGTCTTCCGTCGAGCCGCTGGCGCGATGGATCGAAAAGGAACTGACATATAAACATAACACGATGCTTCCCGTGTTCCATTTGGGCGCGTGGATGTGGGCTCGGCTGAGTGCGCAGATTTACCTTGAGCTAGAGGATTTCGAATGGGCGGGAAATGTCATGAAGGGTATCTTGGAGAGAGTTGCGAAGGGAGAAGGGCCGGGGGGATTGGAGATCGACTTGGAGAATTTGAAGATCAATTAGATACATCAGAGAATGGTTCGATTTTTCGACAAGAATTTTGGATTGGGTATACATCGCTGTGAAAGAATTGTCGCGAGAATATATAAACTCGGGCGAGAACCGCCTCCAATTTCCTAAACGTTGCACGCCAATTAATATAAGACAAAACATCCTATGCCCGGTGCGCCATCAACCATAAAGTTATTTCATGCCATCATCAACAAAAAGTCTTTTTTTTTCCGATAAAAATCATCGCTTAAAATGCCACAAGAAACAACCATCCGAATATTGCAAATTTTATTTTTGGCATCAATGCTTATTAGCTACCGCTATTGCCACCCCCACCGAAGTGAGTCCTCATCCACCAAGCAAATCGACCATTCCCACCGCCACCTGACGGAGGTTGCTGATTGTTATGTGCGCCATTTGATTCTGACGGATCGTCGGATACGATATACGGGTTTGATCTGCTGCCCGACCCAGGCGGTGAAGACGATGACTGTGAAGCAGCAGAATCCTGGGACGACTGATTTTGTCGATAGGTCTCCATTATTCCTCTGCGGCAGTGCGGGCATGTATCATGCTCAACTAACCACGCCGAGATGCAGTTTCCATGGAACCAGTGCTTGCATGGTAATTCGGTGACTTCTTCTTCGATTTGTACAGAGTCCATGCATATAGAGCATTCTGCTTTACCATCATGACCCAACATCGTCTTATCAACTTGCTTCTTCGGCAGGGCTTGAATGGCTTCCTCCGACGCGGGTCCGGGTGCATTGCTGTTGGCTGTTTGCTCTATTAGTTCTGATATTACGCGGTCGAGCTCCTCTTGAGAATAAACCGCGTCACCGTGACGCCCCAATCCCATTATTCGCGCCACAATCTCGAGTGGATTTGGCGCAACAAGAGGCACACCCCCTATTCGACCAGATGGATCTCGCGGTCTGGCGTTGCGTTCCATGAAATCTTGTTGGAGCATTCTTAATATACTAATACCGATGTTAGCCTGATACTCAAAGTTACAAGAGAGGTAGAGCTTACTCATCCACAGTCGCAACTGGGGTCGTATGCTCTTCACCGTGATTCTGCTGGCCCCTAAAGTCGCTTCTGATCCCTGGAGGTTCATTTGCAGGAGGTGGTTGCGGCTGGTTTCCAGAGGCGACTATTCCTTGAAATAGAGCATTAAGATTCGCAAAAAGAGGTATTAAAGGATCGGATCCTGGCATGCCTTGAGGAGGTTGTCGCTGGAAGGGCATCCCTCTCATCGGGGAGCGGATAGTGGTGCTGGTATATGTAACTCTGCCATCGCCGGAGCGATATTGGTGCCGGGTTATGTTCTCTCCTAAGTACTGTTCGAACGGGTTCTGGGGCATGCCATAGTGGTCGTTAATCGGCTCTTGGGGCGGTGAGGGGGAATCTCTAGGGAGGGGCTCGTCCTCCCCCTAGCAATTTTGTTAGCAAAAAGCCACATAAAACAGCATAGCAATCAGTGCAGGAGAGAGCACTTACAATAAACTCCACAAATTCAGACTGACAGTGAGGACATGACAGCCCGTGCTCACTTCTCGGCCATCGCTGTGAACACTGGTGGCAGTAAATCATGGTCGCGTTTATTGTGTCCGCCATGTCTGCGGAATCATGTAGAAAAAAAAGCAAAATGGAAATTCAACGACAAAAGGTGTCCTTCAATTAATGATTTAATAGAACCTGAGACTGGGCATCTAGTGAGAAAGTTGTGTCACAGGGTTGGGAGATACGGGGTGGCAGGTGACATGTGTGGAGTATCTGGTACCCTTAGCACAAAGTTATAACGCTCGCAAAGTTCTTTTTTAAATGATATATGTATAACCCGGAGGCTCTTCTGGAAATGTTTCCTCTGCAGGATGGAAAGGAACGGGTGGTGCTTGGAGCTGTTTAACAGTAGTAAGTTTGCTCGATGGGAAACAAAGTGCGGCACGGGTGAGGTCGGACAGGCTCATCAGAGATAGGCTACCTGAGGTGCCCTGAAAACTGGCCTGGGACAGCAAAGTGCAATATAGCCGGCGGCTCGAAGGAGACTTGTGCCTCTCTGCGTCTCGTCGTCGGCTGTTGCTCAGCTGCTCATCGTCCAGCAGCGAAGTTGCCAGCCGGACTGCCGCATGACGTTGGACTGAGCTAACTCCTGCTGAGGTAAGCATTGGAACTCCGCCACAGCGATCACGTGGTATGTCTTGGGACTTGGAAGGTTGCTGAGGCCGAGGAGAGAAACGGAGAGGAGTGAACAACCGGACCGGAGGAAGTGAGGTGAATGAGAGAGGGAGAGTGTGAATGAGAAGACCGAGAGTGACAGCAAAGAGGGGTGATGGGCTGGCCAGATGTGAAGGGGGAGCAGCCTGGGGTTTGCTAGGCATTCAATAGCAGGTTCATAGGACATATGTACAGTAACATATACGAATTAGTATGTAGTAATCCAGAAGGGTATGATGAAGCCAGCAAAGCTCATTGAAGACAAAAAAGAAAAAATTGACAGCAGGTGATCGTGCTCAAATAAAGAATACAAGACAATGCACCAAGAAACGCCTTCCCAATGCCCACTTCGCTTCTCAACTGGCGGCACAAATCAAGGTAGGACAGGCTGTGATGTTGGGACACACAGATACTTGTGGCTCCTTAGCGTCTCTTTGCTCCCTTCATAATAAGACCACCAACTAGGCCTGCCGCAAGGGCCACACCGCCTAAAATCGCAACACCCACAAGTCCCTCTTTCGCAACTTTATCGTCAATTAGCGACCGTAGGCTCGCAGCCTGCAGGTTCTGGGGCTCGTGATCGAGCAGGAGGTCATTGTATCTTCGTGCTTCGCCGTAGTTACCCAGTTTATAGTTGCCAAGGGCAAGATAATAAAGGCATTCACGCCTTCGTTCGGGAGCGGTGCGGAAGATCTCTGACAGTAACCGGACGCCTTCTTGTTGCTCCGGACGAGAGTTGGATTTAATTAAGCCCTATGGACGTTGCGTGGTCAGGGGCAGAGAACCAGGGCTTCAACAGCTGTAGAACATACCCAAGCGTAATTGAATTTGGTTTGTACTCCGACGTACTCGCCCTCCTTCTCATACTGTGCTCGTAGAACCTGGAGTTCCGCAGGTTTCAGCGGGCTGTATCAAGTCAGACCACGTTCCCCAACTGTCAAAAAGAAATAACTAAACTCGGCTTCGCTAACGGCGTATGTTGAGAGCCTAGCGAGAACTGCAGTCTTCTTACCTTTCTGCATCCGCCGCATCTATGAAACCGGTTAGTGAAGTCTGCGGAACCAATTTGCCTGGAGACTAGCAGGGGTTAGACCTACATGGAAGTTGTGAGGCCATGGCTTACTAGCCTTCTCGGTGACTCAAAGAGTGCAGAGGACAGGAGACAGACAGGCTCGCCTTCGTCGAACTTTGCTGGCTGATTCGAAACAAAGACGGCGAGAAGGTTGTTTTTGCGGCCACCTGTGGCGGTGCGGGTTCACCCAGGCCGGCGCTTTTCTAGAACGGGCAAAACGTCAACACAGCTAGCCAGCTGCTGACCTCATCACGAAGACCACTTCGGGCGAAAGTCGGCATCGTGAGCAGCAGAGCAGCGGCCAGCGGGCACCGCAGAGAACCAGCCGTCGAGACGCATCTGGAGCTGTTCCTGAGAATTGTCGAGTAGAATATCAAGTATAACATCAATTGCTTTGGTTGGCCTGCCAAAATGCTTCTTGAAGAAGACCCAGCCACGGTACGGCTCCCGCAACCCCTCAAGCAGACTGGACACTTCGCTGACTCTCTTCTCAAGCTGATCCACCACACCGTTACCAACTTCAACATCCAGCCTGACAAACAAACCGTTACGCGCATCAACGACTCCCTCTCCTCCCTTCAGCAGTCCCGCGACCTCCGCATCCGCGATGCAGAAATCTCCCTCCGCAAACTAGCCCGAAGCCTCAACACACTTACTGCCCAGCACAACGAGACCGTCGCGTCTCACGATCCAGCCCGTCATGCTGCGTCCATAGTAGAACTGGACACGAAAAAATTTCGAATTGCGAAGGCGGCTTCGGAACTTGAGATCGAGAGTGAAAGGTTGGAGGCCGAGCTCGAGGCGTTGAAAGCTAGGTTGGCAGAGCTCGATGCTCAAGGGCTAGAAGGGGATGAGCAGGTGAGAAGGGAGCGAGAGGCGGATGATGCGACGATGTGAGCAAAGCTATCTACCCTGAGGCAGGCCCGCCAAGTGCTAACTTCACTTTTTTTTTTTTTTTTTTTTTTCTTTTACACAGATTACGGCTCAAGATCTACCGCTCGCTGGGAATCGATGTCGAGGCTGATGAGTCGGGGAACTATACCAAGGCCATCATTCGGAATAGCCGAAAGGGAGATGTTCATGTTGTGAATATAGATCCCAAATTCTCACGACTCTTTTATGCGAATTACTTCTGGCAGACAATGCAGGGCTAGTGTACGGATGGTATGGTCTTTGGGTGGAGTTCTCTGGCGTTAAGAATGGCGTTCTGAGTCCTGGTCAATTGGTGATGGTGCTTGTTGTTGTATTGTCCTGTCGTGATCTGTGGTGCTGCCAATTATATACGGAGTACACAGTTCTCGCCTTTTCTGAGCGATGACTGAAAACAATTAAATATCATTCATGAGTACCCAAAAGGTGTATATGTCTACCATCGAACCCAAACCCAGGTCGCTTTTTGTTCCTTTTTCATATCACAAACGCCAGTATTGAACCGCGTGCCATACTATACAGATCATCGCTTTCTCTTCTTCCCACCGCCTCCGTCTCCGCCCTCGTTCTTCCGCTTCTTGCCCTCGCGACTCCAAAATTCCCCCTTTTCCCTCTTCTCTCTAGCCGCCTTCTTCTCTAAACTCTCCGCCACCTTGGCACGATATACCTTTCGTCGTTCCTCCTGTGCCGCCTGCCTCTTTGCAACCTTCTCATTACGCAACGTCGTCAGCTTTTGCAACAGGTCTCGGGCCTTCTTTTCTTCCCCGCCCAAAACCACAGCTCGCTTCTGCATATACGTCTCCTTCTTGCGGGGTCGCATTTGGACAATCTGGGATTTGAAAGGGAGATCCGAGGCAAGTTGTCTTGGGACGCGGAGCGGGTTAAAGTGCCTGGTGGGCCGGTCGACGGGGCGATATGCGGAATCTTTCTCAAGGGGAGTTGGAATGCCCTGGTCACGCCGCACTTCGCCTGTTAAACGCATGCTCTTCCATCCTCCCTTGCCCTCTCCGTCTTCGACGTCAAGGAGGTTGGTTACTGGGTTGTAGAATCGGGCCGGTTTAATCGGGTACCAAGTACGCAAGAAAACGATATCGCTCATGAGAATCTTATCTTCAAATGTGGCACGGAAATGACCTTCGGGTTTGCTGAGAGCACGTTTAATTTGTCCTCGAATGCCAGACACTGTGCGAATAGCTGCGCCTTCGAACTTGGCAATTTCAAGGGCGGAATTGAACATGTCCTTAATAAAAGCCGTATTTCGGAAGATTTTATATGGATAACCGGTGAGCTTCAGCTTCTTCACAATTTCGCAGCCTTCATCGACACTTAATACGACTCCGGTGGCAGCTATTCTGAATCCCGGATTTTTGTTCGAGAATGACTGGACGCAGCAGAAGCCGGTGTTAGGTGCAACTAGTGGGCCGTAGAAAGTTCCAAAACAATGCATATGCTCCGGGGTATATTTCAACATTCTGTTTCGGGTTCGAGAATCCGAGATGCTGTAAATAGGGAGGGTCTGGAATCGTCGCCAGCCAAGGGAGAAAATTAACGGATCGTTGGTCTTGAGGATTTTTTTGTGCCATCGATGCCTCTTAATCCTAACTTGGACGAAACCGAACCGCTCCTCTGTGGGTGCTAAGCCTCCCACGATGACTGGAAAACGGGGATTAAACCCCGTGGAGAATTCACAGGGAACATTCTCCAGCACAATTCGTGCATATGTCCCGGCTCTATATCCTTCAGCCCTGGCTCTGGAGAGCGAATCCAAGTTATCAAACTCGGCTCGATTAATGTCGATTTGTTTTTGTAGTGCTGCTTTCTGTGCATCATACCACTCGTCCTCGCCAAATTGTTCTTCGTCTCCATCACCCCGGGTGCCCTCTTTCGCGTTAGAAAACCCCTCCCTATCCTCTTCCTCGAATCGCAATTTGAGCTCTTCTTTTCTTCTGGCATTCTTCTCACGTTCTGCTTCAAGGCCTTCCGCGCCGCTCTCCTCATCGTCGCCCTCCTCTTCCTCATCGTCACCACTTCCCGGTTGCCCACTCACCACTTCACCGGTCTCAAGGTCCTCAAAAGCCCCGTCTCCTTCGGAATCGCTGTCACCGTCCTCATCTTCATCAAAACCTTCTTCGTCACCTGATGCGTGTTCGGAAAATTTAACGCTGGCGAACCGCTGCCGTAAAAGCTCCAGATTTTCCTCATCTTGCCACTTCTGTTCAAGTTCTTCATAATCGAAGATTGGAATCGTCCGGTCATCAAGCTCTTGCTTCTCTACATTCGTTTTCTTGAAAAAATCATCAGCATCTTCCTCCTGTTCCTCACCAGACGGCGGGAAATCATCTCCGCGCCACTTTCTCGCGACATCCTCCGCAGGTATCGAGTTATCGTACAGCATACGGGTGAGTTCAGCAATACGATATGCCGGCTTTTTAAACAGCTCTTTTGCCTGAGCCGTCAGATTTTCTTTCCAATGCATAGTCCCATCATCCTCATCTTCGTAATCACTTGGCGCGCTTTCCAGGTCTTGATCCTCCACTGACGATACGGAACCAAGATCTGAATCACTATCGGCAAAGGCAAGATCACCATCGTCCGGTTGTTCCGAGTCATCTTGCTGTCTCTTGAACCGTGCATCAAAATCTGGTGGTGGTCCCACGTCGTCGTCGTAGTCTTCCTCTTCTTCCTCGTCCTCCTCGGCACTTTCGAAACCTTCGTCTTCATCAACAATATCCCGGCCATTTGCTTCGCCGTCCATAAACCGGACCTTTCTTTTTTCCTTTCTCCCTTCTTCGCCAGTTCCAGCATCAATAATATCACCATCTCTGAAGAGTCGGACGCCAGCGGCGGTCTCGCCGAGCAGTTTTCTTTCACCCTGCAGCCCCATGACAAGCTGCTCTCCCAGACCCCGTTCCTCATCCTCGTCATCCTCCTCTTTATTAAAGGTCGAAGTCTTCACGTCAATGTAGACAGCATCCTTATCAACCAAAACACCGCCAACGTCCGACATTGGTGCAAAGAGTAGCTTCTGTTTCTCTCCTAATCTCTTCCGGTTTGATTTTCCTGTTGCCTTCGCTATCGCCTGATCCATGTACGGCGTCGGGCAAGGATCCGGCAGTGCTTCGATTGAAGACACATTAAGATCCCCCACGCCTGGAACGTGCACTCTGGCGCCAACCGCCGGAAAGTTCGTACCGCGTAGGTATCCATAGAGCGCAATGGTTCTATCGCATTTCGGATTTTCCTCTATCTCGGTCGGTGGGGTGATGTCCAAGAATCTGTCTGCCAGACAGTAGGGATGCGAATTTCTCCAAATCAGAGGACGAGGATTCTTCATGACAGACAGGAATCTGGATAGATTATGGATTTCGCGGTCGGGATAGCGTCCATTGATGACTCCGGATAGATAGAAAAGCTTCGCTCCTTGATATAGCTCACTCCAAAACCGATGCTTTAGTCGCTTCTTCGCCTGCCGAAGGGTGCTGATCTTTTTGAATAGATCCAGATGGGTAAGGATTCCGAACACATTTCCAGGCATTCCACTGGCAGATAGGGCGTTAAGAAACTCCATGGTCTCCATCTCGAAGCCATAATTGCCGTCGATCATGAGCAGTACGATATCTGCGATTTTCGCAACGTCGATCATACTCGCCAGCGAATCCGAGGGACATTCTAGGAATGTGAGCCTTCTTCGTTTCGACGTCACAACTGTGAGGGGCCCCGTGGGAGAACTAAGTCCCTGCTTCGAGTAGCGTTTGATCAAGGATTTGATAAGAGTGGTTTTCCCGACCTAAAAATTCGAAGAAAGGCGAGAGTCAGCATCAAAACGCGATTCTCCCAGAGTCGAGGACGTACACCCGGAGGTCCCACCACCGCGACCACAATAGGAGGTGCCTCCTCAGGGAGGCGGTCCACGAGGGGGACATGCAGTCTCTTTTCTTTAGCCTATAAACCAACATGCCGGTGAGTAGCTCGTTCTGCAAAGGCTATGGGGTCTAAACGGGTGTGGTAGGAACAGGGAGGAGGTGCACACATCATGGGATCTAGCTGCCTGTCTTTGAGAACGCCCAGGGCGTGAAACTGCGAAGGCTTTCACATTGGGACCTAGCATGCACTCGGTATTAGAATCGTCGCATTCCGCGCACTGTTGAAGCAGAACCTACCGCTCTTGTCTTTTGACTTCTTCCCCTTGTCCTTGGACTTTCTGTGGGGCTTGTTTGCCTGATCATCCATCTTGCAACAACCCTTTCACACAGCGCACAGAACAGGAGGAAAAGCTGCTGTTCCCAGCTTGCTGTTCACTGCGTGCTATCCGCCCTGTTCCAAAAATTGTTTCTTTGCGGAACTTATATTCAGCTGACTCAGCAACCATAAACTATGAAGAGCTAGCTATTGTCTAGTGGCGATTCCTATATGTTTCAGAAATAAAATCAGCCATTTTAGGCCTAATTCAGTTTCAAAAATAAAATTTAAAGGCAGTTGAGAAATATCAAGTTCTTGTTGAATTTTTTTCTTCTTTCGGTTTGATAGACTGAACAGTCTAACAGCAAATGCTTTGGCCCCTGGCCCTACAGCCGCCCTAGGCTCATCCAGGGGTCAACCAGGCCTGTAGGGAATGCAAACGCAGGGGGATACAGCTTAAGTAGGCTAGTAAGTTCTACCCCTTCCTTTGGCGTTGTTTTAGCAGTCAACTGACGCCGCCCACTCTATTCTCTCGTTTCCCACAGAATACTATATAGCCTATCTTTTGCGGCATCTTTAATATTTTTTTGGTGTTTATATCTAAGCATTTTCTAGTCAACATGGCGAACTCCTCCCTTGACGAGATTGTCCAGAAGTATCCAATTGAATATAATTTCCTCCAGCCAATATTGGGTCGCCTTCAAGACGCGGAGCGGGTGTACATGACCGATGAATCAGGAGATGAAACTTGTCGAAAGAGTGTTCTAAGGTTGCTTTCTGTCCTACATACACAGGATGCAGCGTTTAACATTCCCACAAAGACAAGAAATCAAGATGTTGCTTCTGGGCTGGAAGGTTTACGCACCTACGACAGTGTGATTTCAACTACGATCATTATCGCCCACTCGTCCGACTCGTCCTCGAGAAAGCACCAGATACAGATATCTGGAGAGCTGTGCTTGATCTCATCGACACTCGCGAAACCACCCCGTCGAGCGTTCCCCGCTCGTTCGACGCTACGCCAGTGAGATTCACGTCATCGTCACAGAAAGGATCTGAGCAGACGCGTCGGCTGGTGGAAGGGAGGATATTTGAAGAGATTCGTGGGTGCACCTTTCGAGACGTGGGGGGCTTCTTCGCCAAATATTTTGAAGGAAAGGATTGGAGCGCCAGGGTAGATGCCATCTGTCAACGCATCCTGGAAAGTGAATGGGCCAAGTTCCCTGATCCCCCGGTGCAGAATGCTGTCCTTGACTGGTGGCTCCGGTTCCAGAACAACTTCCTCTCGGACGCGCGTGGTGTCTACTTCTTGACAATGAGCAAGAAGGATCTCGTCGGCTCGGAGGCAGAGCGACAGGTTGATCTTTTGCTAAAGGCCCGTCCACAGGTCCAGGGTGATTCGGGAGAGAAACATGACTGGAAGGATATCCGTGTGGTAGGCGAATTGAAGAAGTCATCGGATGAGATCCGGACAAAGGGCACACTGCTTCAGCTTGCACGCTATGTGCGGGAAGTGTATATTGCCCAGCCAGCTCGCCAGTTCGTGCATGCGTTCGCGGTCTGCGGGACCAAGATGGAGGCCTGGGTGTTTGACTGCTCCGGGCCCTACAGTTCTGGCGTGTTTGATGTTTATAAGGACTCAGAACAGTTTTTTCGTATAGTCCTAGGGTACGCGATGATGAGTGATGAGGAGCTGGGTCTTGATACCTTCACCACCCCAGACAGGAATGCCAGCCGCACAATAACCGTCAATGGCTCTGAAATTGCAGAGGAAATATTGCTGCGACTTGATCCCACTCCACTCTGCTCCCAGTATGCCATTGTATGTCGCGGAACAACCTGTTTTCTTGCAAAGAATGGTGATAAAGTGGAGGGTGTGGCGAAATTCTCATGGACATCTGACAAGCGACGGCCAGAGGTTGACCTCCTCCAGCTTGCATACCAGAGAGGTGTCCAGGGGATTGCGAGAGTCCTTGGGTATCGCACTATCATCAGCATTGCGGACCTACGCCGCGGCCTGACATTCGGCAATCCTCACACCTTTCAAAGCAGGAACACCAGCGCGGCCTCATCGCTCGCGCAGTCGCAATCGCGATGTAAGCTATCCCGATCGCTCACCAGAAAACGCAGATCACCCGACACCAGACCACATGCAGCCAAGCGATCACGTTCCAGCAGCCAGCAGCCGAAAGCAAAACAGTTCGAGAATGAGCTAACTTTCACCGTTGAGTCTGTCCATACACCTAGCCTCTTTGACAAGAATGACGAAGTTTATGATAACCGCATCCTCCGCTGCCTGGTGGTCTCACCCGCTGGCCGGCCCATTTATGAATATAAATCGCCTTTGGAGCTGCTCATGGTGCTTCAAGATGCAATAAAGGCTCATCGGTCTCTCTACCTTGATGGGAAAATTCTACATAGGGATGTCTCGGAGAACAACATAATTATAACTGACCCTAATAGGGTTGGCGGCAGGTCAGGCATGCTCATTGACCTTGACCTTGCCAAGGAGGTTGGGAGCGGGCGAAGTGGTGCACGACACCAAACAGGAACGATGGAGTTCATGGCTATTGAGGTGCTGCTCAATGTGGATCACACCTATCGTCATGATCTTGAGTCTTTCTTCTACGTGCTTATCTGGCAGTGTGCTTGTCACGGCTGGAGAAAATCTAAGCAAGGACTGGAGCAGCCCAAAAACAGCCTTCTAAAAAGGTGGTATACTGGCAGCTATGAGGAAATTGCAACTTACAAACGAGGCAACATGGAAGCTGGTGGATTTGAGCGTATTTGATGAAGGAATTTCCTCCAGGTTTCGACTGTGTCAAGCCGCTCTGTAGAGCCATACGAGACATACTTTTTCCTTATGGGAAGAAAGGGCTTATTGTTGGCACCCCGCAAGATCCAAAAAGGCTGTACGATCCTATTATCAAGGCGTATGAGGACACGATAGCTCTACTTGAAGCTGGAAAGGTTTAATGACGGACTACAGAAGAATCATTCAGTTTGTCTTATTCAAGGATTATAACGTAAATCGTTAGATCCATAACCCATGGCCGAAAGGCTGATATCCAGGCTACGCAGTATGGCAAGGGACCTTGGAACAGATACCTTTCTCCGGTGACCGTCGTCACAGTGCTGCGGAAGGACGTCCAGGTGTAAGGATTCTACTTCAGGTTCAGCAAGATAAAGCTAGCTTCATTGAAAGGACAGCGAGTTTGGAGGGGCCCGTTGAGATAACTAGTTTCGGGATAGTTGAAACTTGATTCTCTGCAGAGCACTCCCTACAGAGTTAATAAACCACCTTGGAAATCCCCAAACCGCCAGAGGGTTCAATCAAGTGGGGAGGGAGCAAGATGGTCTATTAAAACTGACAGAGATGGTATGCTTACCATTCATACTAAGCTATAGGGAAATTCGAAAGCTGAGTGACACGACCTCATTCCATGCACCCGCTTGTTGCCGTAACTTTCGAACCAAGAGGGCGGAGAGAATAAAAGCTTCACCCAGTCGAACGGTGCTTACAGCATCCTCCATCACCAGGGGAGCATGCAATCGTGCACCGCGCCAGCTTGGAGATTCTTGATTTATTGAGGGTTGGGGAAGAGGTTACCGCATGCAATTACTTCTAAAGCCTGAAGTGCCTAGATGAAGTCATCTATAATCACTTCCCACCCCTGTACTCTGTAAAGGCCCAGCAAACCAGAGGAAAATATCAGCAGGCACAGATTACCTTAGTGAGACAATTGCAGGCCAACCTGTCTGGTTCGGCAGCTCACTATTATCGTACTCCGTATTTTATTCTATGCTTATCCAGCCCGAGCACAAGTAGTTAAAGCAGTAACTTCGGAATAGGGTTGAATTCTAACTCGAGACATCAAAGTCAAGTATGAGGTCCTAAATAAAAGGGTGGGATCCCGACTGTCAGCGGTCATGGTCCAATCGATCATGTTGCTTGTCTCTTTTCCAGAGTCCCACTAAGGCAAACAGAACCCCAATCGCGAGCCCCTAACTAGCCCGATCCGGGATATCCAACTTCTCCCGGCGGCCCTGAAGACGGGAGAGCAGGTCCCTCGCGGGAAGCCGTCGAAGGTGCTTTGACTGCCACTCTGCTGAGCCCAACGCAGCCCTCATCATACCCAAATTGCCCGTCCCTGACCCCGCGGGATTTGGTTTCGCCCGGCTCCATCAGGCCATCCAGGCGTTGCGTGGTGAAACTTGCAAAAGCCCCGCGCTAGCTCGCTGAGCCAAAAGCGGGAAACGGTTACATCGAGCCAGTTAGTGATTACATACCTGCCTTCAAACCGCAGTGCGAGACGGCTCTTCGGCAGACGACGAGTTGCATGCACCGGTTTGAGTAACTGCTATTATTGCTTTTGCACGATACGCTCTGTCGACGTCACCGATTGCAGATCTGCAGATTTGAATTATTAATCCAAGATTGAAATCATTTGCGGGGTCGAAATATCTCAGGATTGAGGGTGGGGAGAGAGAGTAAGACAGAAAGACAAGAAAGGGAGAGAGAGAGGCACAGAGAGAGGGGGAAAGAGAGACGTGCAGGCAAGTTTGGTTTAAATAGCACTATAGTGCCGCTCGGTAAGTTCGTTTCTTGTTCTTTTTCTTCTTTTAATTCAAGCTCCATAGGAAGTCATTGGAAGGATAAGTGAGTACAGCTCTACCGGTTTGGGCAACTTTCAAGAGCTCTCGCTGAGTAGCATCTAGGAACAATGGCCCCAATTCGTCCAGCTCCAGCCTACGACGCTCCTGCAGGCTCGCCAGTTCATGCCGACAAGGCATTCTACACTCGCGTAGCCGAGACAGCAAACAAACCCGGCGGCCGCGTCCTCGAATACTCTGCTATCATCCGTCCACGCGCCGGTCACGCATGGAAGGTTCGTGCCGGCCAGGTCTGCAGGATCACCGCCCCCGAGGGGCCCCAAGTCGGCGACTTCAACATCTGGAACCTGCATAACCCCCGCGAGCGCTTCTGGGCAACGCGCACCCGGCAGATCCACCAGAGCCACGTCTCCGTGTTCGATCGCCTGTGGTCTTGCCTACCGTTCATGCGGCCCCTTATGACCATCACTGCCGACTCGCTGGCGGACTACGGAGTTGACGAGTACGGCGGTCGTGTCCACGACTGCCTGGGCACCCGATGTGATCCGTACATCAACCTGCTGATGGGCGGCGAGAACGACGACTTCCATTGCCATTCAAACCTCACTCGCGCCGTGGCCCCTTACGGACTCAACGAATTCGACGTGCACGACGTGATCAACGTGTTTCAGGTGACGAAGCTCGATGAAAAGGGAAGATATTGTATGGGCGCTTCTCCTGCAAAGAAGGGCGACTATTTCGAATTCTTCGCCGAGGTCGATCTGCTCTGCGCCTTGTCGACCTGTCCCGGCGGAGATCTCTCCCACTGGGGCTGGGATGGAAGCGGCGAAATGCGCGAAACCGCCCGGCCGTTGGGCGTAGAGGTTTACAACATGACGGACTCGAGTATCTTGGACGGATGGAAGTCCCCCGAACCCTCTAAATATAAGGGTATGCATGGCATTAAGATGCCGGCTCGGGAACCAGACTCCACAGTCGTAGGATTGTAAACAATTCTTCTGAAGATAATTGGACTATGGCATTGAAATTTTTTTTGTTTTTCCGTCTTTTAATCCCTCTTAGTTGTGATCTTTGAGATATCTATTTACTTTGGCCCAAAAAAAAAAAATAAAAATAAAAATAAAAAATAAAAAAAAAAAAAAAGAAAAGAAAAATGTTGATCTCGTACCGTTGTAACGAACGAGTATATTCTCTAGTAATTTCAACTGACTTCAGGATGTTTGGACGCCTGACAAATCGCTACCGGCAATCTTTGAATTGTGTTGTGCTAACCGATCTCTGTATATCTATCTATCTATTTTATTACTGATTAACTTGGCTAAATATGCCTGTACGGCGCAGGGCTATAGAGCTGCTGCCCATCCTTCTTGAAACCTTCAATAACCTTCTGCCCACCCTCCTTGCTCACCAACCACTTCGCAAACTCCTTTGCCATCTCAGCATTTTTCGCACGAGCCCCGACCAACAAATGTGCAGGGTTCAGTAGTGGATCATCCGCGTCATTGGTGCCCTTTTTATAAATGACCATCTGGTCACGCAGGCCACGGGGGATGGAGAGGTACGTCCCGTAATCGGTGATGGTGTATTCCCTAAGCAGAATGGCGGCGGTGAGGGCCTGGATGGGAAAGGTGATGTACTGGTGATACCAGGTTGAGTAGGCGGTGGCCCAGGGGACCTGTACAAGCCCCAATTTTAGCCAAAACAAAGACAAGATGCATGTGCTGCATTGACTTGGGGGAAGTTATTTAAGTGGTGCTCGGATAACTTCTCACCTGCCCAATGCTAAGCCAGAGCTCAGCCTCCTTGATGTTCGTCGCCGATTTATCGTAGCGACTTAAGAACCGAACGGGAGGTTTAGTATTTCCAGCTTCAGCGGCGTCATGCATCTTCGAGAACATATCAGCAATGTCGCTGTCCCCTGAGAGCTTCGCCGGGTTGGAGGGTGGTCCGATGAGCATGAAATGGTCCCGGAAAGCATAGTAGCTTGGGGACTCGGCGATTCCGTGCTTGATCGAGATACGTTCGGCCACGGGGCTGTAAGTGATGCCGACATCGACAATTCCGTCCTTGAGGTAGTTGATAGTCACAGTGGTATCGCTCTTATACCAAGCAACCTTGAACGGAGCCGATCCGCTGTCAACTTTTGATTTGATGAAGGCATCCGCGAGCTCTTTCATGCATAGATCTGTCAGAATTCTCGTCCCCATGATGAAGAAAAGCAGAAATATTTTGAGCTGTTCACCTTTTACTAGACCACTTTGACCTGCTCCTCCATTGCCGATCCTCAATTGCACGGGTGAGTGCTTCGAATCGTATCCTCCATCATATACATCCTCCGGATCCACGGCCAGGATACCTGCAACGAACTGCAGAAGGCAGAGGAAGAGAACTCTGGTTGACAACATACTGACTACAATCGCTTGCACCAGGCCCTTTTTCTCTTTTTTTCCCCAGAGTCCTCTCGATGATGGGCGTCGAAATGTTCCCCGACTCCCCAGGACAAACCTCTCATCTTTTTATACACTCTCGATCGGTCCAGCTTCGACGTCCTCACGAGCCCCGGCCAGCAAAATGGGTGTAACTATGGGTTAACTAGTTAAACGCCACCGAGAATTCACGGCTGGCTGAAAGGGGAAAAAAAAGAAAAACAAAGAAAGCCACTGAGCTGGCATTGACAGCAAACGTCTCCTACTACCGCAGGCAGCCGATAAACCAGTGAAGGCCACATCAACCTTGTGCAACAGCATGTGGGCTCTGTCCGATCGGGAAGAGCCCGCAAATCCAATGTCTTTGTGATTTGCTTTTTCGGGTCAGCCATCCCGATCGAGATCGACGTTTCACCGAACCCCTGGCGGTGAGCAGAAAACTGACAGGAACCAGCAACGCCCAGGCACGACGGGTGAGGTCTAAAATTGCGCACGGGATTCGGAAAAACTCTCTTCAACAATTACCAAGGACGGCATAACACAGGCGGTTCTCGAGGAGCTCTTCTTCTTTTTCCTTTTCTTTATTTCTTTTTTTTTTTTTTTTTTTTTAAAGCGCAGGGAGGCATTTGGTCGTAAGCTATGATAGGTCATTAGTGGTCAGTGTCGATCAATTTTGCGGCTATTTGGGGCTTCCATTGTTACTAGAAACGGTATGGCTGCGTATATGTAATTAACTATGTAGTTAAGTCGTGCTCCAGAAGCTGCGCGACAAGCCTGACGGCCCTCACAAAAGCTTTCGGCTCATCATCATCTACCAAACCATGGCCCTGTCTCAGGGCTTCGCTCGAAGCAACGAGGCGGAATATCAACGCTCTCACGAGCATCTGCAATCGAAAAGCATCGGTTCCCAACACGCGGAGCAGATTCTCCCCCTCACCATGCCAGATCAGACCGTCAGCGACAACGATCGCTTCGGCATACTCAACAGGCCGCCAGTACAGCGATAGATCAATGATAGTTGGCGACGACGCGCTGTCCCCACCAGATACCGGGAAGAGAACATTGCCCGCCAGATCACCGTGGACAAGCTGACATTTGGTGTTTTCCGCGGCGATCGGTCTCCGGAGCTGAAGCAGCCCGTTGAACGCCTCTTCGAACTCAGGCACAATCTGAACGCCGTCCTCCGCGGGCTGCTCTTCGTCCCAGGCGATCCGGTCACCCCTCGCCCACCTATGGCTCCTGGCGGCGATGAAGGGCGGCGGCTCCCGCACCATCGTCGCCAGGTCTCCATGGAAAACTCGTCCAGCGTGCAAGACGCGGTTCCACCGGCCCTCCAGCCCGCTGGGCCCAGCGCAGCCGGGTACGAGCACCGTGGCAGCCCATCCGTCGACGACGTATTCGCAGGGCTGACCCGGGCCGGTGGCGGGGATTGGCTCGGCGAGCCGGTATCCGGGTGTCTTGTCACCGTTGCGCCGCAGTTTGTGCTGGAGTCTGCTAACGTATTCGGCTTCCTGGCGTTCGTCTACGGGCTTCAGGACGGCGTTTGCGACCTGGTAGCTCTGGCCCTGGCCACCAGGCAGCTGCTGAGGAGTTTCCGGTAGGTTAAATGCGGCCAAGACATGTGGAGGTGGAGGAGAGGATGAATTCATGGTTTGGGATCTCGGCAGAAGTAAAAAAAAAAACAAGAAGAAGAAATGGCTTGAGCCTGGAATTGAAATGGGGACGAGGTATGAAATTCTTCGGCAACGAGGCTCGTCAATCATTAACTCTTTCGTTGGCTTCCGGGATGGACGTTTCTCGGCGATCGCCCCCGCGCCATCTGACGCGTTCCAGGCCAACTTCCTCGAAACTCGTACATTTTTATATAAGTCTTCCAAGTAGCGGACAGAGGAGACTGACTCGGTCACTGGAAAATCGCGCGTCCAAAAACCCAACTGTACACTTCAAGCGGGTAGTACTCCCCGTACAATATCTAATAATTTCCAGTTCTTTATACTTCCGTACTCTGAAGACTATGATGCCGAAGTACAGGGGTACTCCATACAGAGCTACTTCCATTAGACCGTGTCAGGACATTCAGGTACACAAGCGCTCCGTGACTCGCAAATTCACGATCAAAAGTCCACCACAGCCAAGTCGACTGCCACTCTTTAATCTCAGCAGTTAGTTGACTAAGCCAAACCAGCTGACTGCACCACGCAGCTGCCAGACACAGGCCGGTGATTTCCCGTTCAGTCAGGCCCGTTTTTAGCCTCCCAAAAATAAATAAATAAATAATAAAATATAGTTAATTGTTAGTTAAATATAATTAAAAATAAAGTAAAAGGGAGAAAAAAGGGAAGTGATAAAAAGCCGCCCCCACCCTGTCATGAAAAGCCGCTCTTCCTATGACGACATCAGCCGATTTAAGCGTAATTTTTCGCCCATCCGCATCACCCCAATAATGGTTGCGCATAACTCTTAAATGACTCTTCCACTCTGCTAATAAACCTTAACCAGTCCCCCACAGGCAGGTGGGGCATAGAACTAGATGGTAACTTGGAAGTTGCAGGGCCCTCTAAACGTGTAGAATAATGTACTGTAGTTATGTACTCCGTATACGGCAGTTACCTAAGCGCTGACTCTGCAAACCCGGCAGCCGGAGAAAAGAGAAAGGAAAAACATAAAAAGAAAGGAAAAGAAGAGAAAAGATAAAAAAAAAGAAGAATGTCCAAGTACAAGGTCGAGAAAAAGATGACACGTAAATTCTATTCCCGCCCAGTTGATCCGTTTAAAGAAGAGACGTGCTTAACCCATAGAATACCACTCACTCCTTTGCTTTCCGCGCGGGGGAAGAGGGGAGGGGAAAAGAGAAAAAAAAAAAAAAAGAAAAAAGAAGAAGAAAAGAAAAGAAAAATGAAGCCTAAGCGCGCGTTTTTGCCCATAATTCGTAAACCCCGGGTTCTCGTGAAGTTCGTAAAAGATGACGAGGGAAGAAAAAATAAAGAAGAAAGAAATAAAGGGAGCAAGTATGCCAAGGTGAGGAAACAAGTTCGGCCTTGACGAGAAGGAAGCTCACGAACTTTCCCCCCGTCTAGGTGGTCTTGGTCTGCGTCTTTGCCGGGCCATCCTGTTCGACGTTGACGTACTGACTGCTCTGAAGGAAGTGGACGTGGTCATCCGGGTACTCAAGCCTGGAAATTAATCCTTAAGTTAGCCTTTATTTTGAGTATATATATATATACATATCGCGAGGCAGGCAAGAGAGGGCTGGAAAGGGAGATAGATGGCCCTTACGTGAAGCCCTTGATCAGCTTATACTCGTGGCGGATGGTGCCCCCGGTCTTCTTTGCTTCTTCCTTGGCCCTGTAGGAGTGAAAAAGAGAAAAAAAAGAAAAATAAAGTGTCAGTCTCGGGCAGAGGAGCCGTAATGGGGAGCGGGAAGGCAGGCCTAGCGCGAAGCGTACTTTTCGAGCTCCTCAGCGGAGGCGTTTGGCTTGAGGGTAACCTGTAGCGAAACTCGTTAGGGAGGTGGTGCTTTCAGAGGGCGAAAAAGAAAGGTGCAGGGGAGTTCAAGGGCCTGAGACTCACGTTGAACATGACCATCTTGACGGATAAAGACACGGTCTTCAAGGAAGCCCTTTCGATGTGTGAGAAGAATCGAGGATTGAACTGAGGAGGAAGGCTTGTAGAGCTGTTGCTGGCTGTTTGCTGGGGAGATATTGACTTGGACTCTGAAGGCTTGCTGAAGAACAAATGTGAATGCTCGAAGGAGGGTGAAGAAAAAGAGAAGAGAAAGAGAGAAAGAAGAAAGAAAAGAAAAGAAAAGAAAAGAAAAAAAAAAGGTTAAGTGTGAGAGAGAGGGAGAGAGAGTAGAAGAGCAAATGTATTAACAAGCCAGAATATGCGCGCCGGCTGAAGCAGCGGACCGTTGGAAGGCAAAAAGAAGCTTCCGCGTAACAAAGTTGCGACGGAAAAAGGGCGATCCACCTTGTTACGTTTTGGCTACGGTTGGCAGAGCCGAACGGTGCTCGACAAACACGTTTTGGTGACAGCAATCAGTTACAGGCACAGGAACAGGCAAACTGACAGCTGACAGGTTACGGGGCGGCCAGGTGATGCCTTCAGGGGGAGGGCTGGGCTGATGGGGCGCTGAGTGAATCATGCTGTCCACCTCCATCCTCCATCTAAGAATAGATGGATCAGACGGAATAGGTAAACAATGCAGGTATGTAATAACTACAGGCCGCTTAAAAAAAAGCTGTGCTTGATGGTTTCTTACGTCAGGCTGCATAAGCTTGCGCTAACTAGGATCTCGCTGCGATTCATTCATTGTTTGCTCCCCTAAAGCACAGAATAACAAAAGCCTCCAGAGACGTCACCGCCCAACGATAGTTAAAAAACAATGAGACGAAAACCCCCAAACCCCCCCGCTCCCAACCCAATCAGATTGCATTTAGCATGGGGAAAGATTTGAAACATCTCCTAACTGGCTCTGGGATGCGGATTTCCTTCGAAGTATCCCGGATCAATTCGACAAGATACTGCTCGATCTCCTCTTCGTCGTCCTTGATCTCCAGCGTCTCTGCACCGCCATACCGGACAAGGTGGTAGGACGGGGTGAAGGTGTAGAAGCGCGAGCAGGTCCCGATTGTTCCAATGCCGTACAGCTTCCTGGTATCTGGCCGCTCGGCGCGCACGGTGTTGAGGTCAACCGCCAACAGATCCCAGATGTCCTGCCATGCTTCAGACTGAGCCCGTGGGCTGTCGGTGGCCGGTGGCTTGACGAAATGTAGTAAGATGACCGTATTGAGAGAGCCTTTCTCCAATCGACTGATAGCGATGTAAGGCGCCATGGTGCCGTGGGTGATCTCGATGTCTAGCCTTTTGCCGAAGCCGTCGTGGAAGTCGAAGTATTCATGCAGAATGCTCCACCAGAGATGGGCCGCGTTCTGTTGCGTTGGCCGCTCCGCGAGGGCATCGTAATAGCTCGAAACGAGGGGCTTGCTCATATACTGCATAATATTTAGCCAAAAGGGAAAAAAAAGGAAAAAAAGAAAAAAAATTATTTTTTCTTTTCTTGTGAGGAGTCATGTTATGATAAAGAGCTTACCCCCATCTTTGCCAAAACCACCACAGAAAAAGAGAAAAGGATCGGTCAAGTGGGAATCAAACAGGCTAAGCGGGAGATCGGCAAACGATGATTCCAGGTTCGAGAGGCGCGTGTAGGAGTAGCCGTGCTTCACGAAGATTTGTTGTACTTGAACCTCACGAAGTGAAATGAAGCAGAACAAGTCACCTCATGAGGAAGAACACAAGTGAGATGATCACCTGGGAAACTTTTTTTTTCCCCTCCCTTCCTCGACTCTCCTAACCGAATGGAGAATCCCATCGAAGCGAGCACACGTGATTGATATTATGTCCTGCAATATCAAACGATATGTCAAGTCAACCGACAGTTCCTAGCACGAGGCCCTGCTGGCCCCTCTGCTTCCTCAGTCGATTGCTGGTCTCCACAATGCTTCCTTCAAACGCCCACCACCAGCGCTGGAAGACTATCTGTCCGATTTCCCACTTATCCGCCAAAAACGGATCCGATCCGGACACCCTGATGCCCTCTGTGGGATCCTCAATGTCATACACCAGCGTCACAAGACCCATCGGGTCCGCGGCGGGCGCTGGTCGTAGATGCGGTGGCAAGCTGAAGACTTGGATCAGCTTATCCCGCACCGTTGGCCAAGGTAGGAGGTCAAGCATCGGGTGGTGAGGGATCAGTCGTTGTGTTGGAGTCGGTCGGAAGTTCACTGGAAGATGCGCCAGGGAAGAAGAAGAATCATCATTCCCCGGCCCGGTGAAGAAGGGGCTGATGCCCGATATATCCCAGAGACTCTGTGTTATATCGAGACGGGTAGCAATTGTCAACACAGCTTTGAGCAGGGTCAGTGTCGGCACGTCGATGGTCCTGTCATCGGGAAACGTGAACGTGGAAGTCTGATGCGACTGCAGGCTAGACGAGAGATCTGGGTTACGGCCGTCTTCCAGGTTGGCGGGATTGGACAGAAACTGCCACGCCAACGCCGGCGAATCCAGCAATTCTGGGGGAAACGAATCCAGACCCGGAGGCATAGCTTGGGGTTCAAGGTCCAATAGGGATTCAAAGGTGGAATCTAAGAAATCTGGCTGGCTAAGGAGGCTCGACCCGGTTACGTCTGACAGCGCCGCATTGGGCAAGACACTCGTGAACGTGTCCCGGGATAGCGTATGGCTCTGGGGCGGAGTAAGCGGAAAGATGCCTTCCACATCGTCCGTTGTTGTAGATGAAGCAGATGACTGCGAGAAGGCCACCGGAGAGTTTGAAGAAGACTCATTCTCTCCCCTTTTAGGAGCTGGTGGATCTGTCGGGCTGCAACGCCCTTTGCTCTTCTCGAGCTCCTTTTCAAGCGCTGCTAGACGCTCACGCTTTCGTTTCCCTGGGAGTCAAATCAGCACGACGACCAAAATACGTGCGTTGTTCGTCGTCGTCCGGCAATCTGCCGGTAGTCAGTCGAGATGGTTGTGGACTCACGGTATCGACGTTGTGCCAGAACGTTGAGAACTCTTTTCCGCTCAGCTGCATCTTCCGAATGGTCTGGGACCTCGAGCTCTGTCGCTTGCCGCCGGCGCTTTGTTGCAGCCATAGCTCTGCGGGGACTTTCAACGCCGGTCAGAAGAGTGTCAAACCTGTCGCACACGACGCACTATGTAATAGAAGGATCGAGCGCAGTATGGGCGACCTGGGACACTCTGCAGTCCATGGCACCGCGGGCGAGCATGATGTGCTTTATATTGTTACATTTGGGTCGGCCCGATCGGCCTTGGTCGCGGAGACTTTTGCGGCTGACCACTCCCGAGGCCCCCTGCCAAGAACTGCCATAACGTTATGCTCCAGAATCCCCGCGCCAAGAAATAAAAGGAGAAGAGAATGCCTGTCAACCAGGGCCTTCGAGCTACACGCATATTTATACCTTTGCATAAAAAAAAGGTTGATTTCAATATGTCTACACTCTCTTCGGCCAGTTCCTCCAAGTTAGCCTACAAAACTGTTGCTGCTCCAAAGGAATCATCTTGTTGATAAGTGACAATAGTTGCTGTGCAACGGTTCTCTCCTGCAGAAACAAGTATGTTTGGATTAACTCATTAACCATGTAGTTGTGTGATTGACTACAGCATCAAAGACATGCCATCTACCAATATAATATCAAAGGTTGTGCGTCACTTGTTTGACACACATAGTCCTGCCGATAACCTCCCATTCTTGAAAGACTAAGCCGGGAATTTCAGCGACGCAATGAATTCTAGAAGATCTTCCAGCAACTCGGCACGATGAGTGATTTGCAAGCCTAGCAAAATCAGTTCCATGTTTCAAACGTGCTATGAGGAGATCACTCACCATGAGCACCATTCTGATATTCCTTGGTTATGGCTCGAGGAATCAAGTCTTTGATTTTATCCAAGGTCGCTTCCGTTGGATTCCCCGTATCTTTATCGCCATTGACAGCCGTGACAGGTACATCGGTTTCCTTTCCGATTCTTGCCAGCATTTCGGTGAAGTCGGTGGAAGTGATGATCTGAATGCATCGCTCCACCGCCAGAGAATCGGCGCTAAGGATCAGTTGAACATATTGCTGTAAAGTGTCTTGCGGCAGATTATGACCGCCATCAGGTCCCAGTGATGCCGGCAATGCCTGCTTTACAAATTCTGCTCTCGAGGTACGCAGTCCTTGGATTATACCGTCCCAAACCTCCTGACTTGGAGCCTTTGGGTGAGCAGAAGACGCCAGCGGGCACGGCAATGCGGGACCAATCCAGAAAAATCCCTACATTCAAAAATAAAGGTTAGAATTAGCGATGACGGGGAGACACGGGCTCCGGGTCGGGGAAGGGAAAGGGTACTGACCTTGCAGTTTTCTCTTACATACTCGCTCTGCCAGTACGCTTGAATGGTCTCAGCGGGTCCCATACTTGCAGCGACAAAAACGAACGGTCCGACATTGATCTTCTCGAGTAAATGGATCGTATCCGCTGCGAAAACGGAGTAGTCTATCGGTTTGGACTGATCGTTGTCGCAGCCGTTCCAGTCACTCTTCCCGAAACCGCGCCGGTCGGGAGCGATGCATCGGAATCGATATGTCTCGCAGAGCTGGAGCATGAGTGGCTCATAGACGAGCCCCGACTGGGGCCATGGGTGAATGAAGACAATGGCTGGTTGCGGTTTGGTGCCATATGCAGGGTCCGGGTGGTATGGTGGTGGATGGGATGCGGGAACGTAGTCACGATAGAAGAGATGGGCACCGTCGACGGGACTGTTGAAGCGGGGCATCGTGATATATGATGGTAGAAAAGCTTTTAAGTATCGATAGACAATTGGACTTTTGATCTGTAATTGAAATTTTTTTTCTTTTTAGGAATCTGAAGCTCTTAAGCTCTGATAGACGGGGGGAACTGGGCTGTTGAAGATGAACCCCGAGGAAAAGGGTATCCATGGACTTTTATACACCTCAAACATAACAATTTCTTTTCCGAAACAGTCGACGCTATCTCTGTAGGGCATAACTATGGGATTTAGCTGGAGTTATGCCGTATGAAGTTGAGCAATGGCGGCTTCGCTAAGTCGAGGGGAGGCATAACGTTATGTCCGCCCAAGCGATGAGAAGCCCCACAGATTGTCAACAACATCAACACAGTTCGCAGCCAGCAAAGACTTATGGGAGATCCCCAAGAATAGATTCTGAAATTTTTTTTTTTCCCCTCAGTTGGGTCCGGCTTTTATCTACAAAGATAAAACACGGGCCTACCTGCTTGTCATTGATCAATATCTGGCGGGGTAATTCTGGTAAGTCTGATGGGATTTCTGCCATAATTCCTTTCGCCATTTGGAAATATAGCCTCTAGACATCCATCCGTATTCAGGATATTTAGCCTATAGGGAGCTTTCAGCGGCATTTCGGAGCCTGTCCACTCTAATCGTATTAGGGGAGGTAGATCCAATCTGACAACATCAGGCGCTCACGAGATGGAGTAGCTGGTCAAGGAAGAACCGCGGCCAGCTCATATCTTGGGTCGCACATCAGGGTGCCGTACGCTGTATTTGGATCGATAACATCGGTGGCTTTGCCAACGGCACTGTCATATGGCCGTGAAGGTTTATTCCGCGTGGAGTAGTGATGTAGGTGGGAGCAACTGCGAGCATTCCGTATCTGTGTTTGGATCACGTTTCGCACCACAGAAAGCTATTTGTGTTATACCAAACCTGAGATCTCCGACACATTTGCACGAAGGGTAGAGTAGCAAAGACAGAGTGACCCTTTTTCCCGTTAGCTATATCAAAGTTGGGGATCCGGAGTACGGAGTACGGAGTAGATTGGGACGATATAATCGTCGAGCCCACCAGAAACAGAGCGATCAACCAACCGCTACGGCAACCCAGAGCGCCCGGCCCGCGGTAACGATAAAAACGCCAACACGCAAGATCGCATTCCAGCAGGCCAATCAAGTTTTGAGAAGGCCCAGGTTGTTACCGAGCTAATCCTTAAATAGTTTAGTGTATTTCCGTCGGTGACAACCAAAGCCTTGGCGGCGCTGCTTGGTGTTTTCTCATCTTCAAGTGTCTTGAGACTTCGCGGCGCTCAACGTGCTCAATCTCGTGATGGTCAACGTAGTTAACCAACGTACCAGGTTTCGTGGGATTGAAGACAGCGGATCACTGAATGGAGCGCGGAGTAGGGCACGGAGTACTGTAGTAACGAGTTAAACTGCGCAGTACGCCACTACAACTTGGTGGTGGTGGTGGAAGTACATAAGACCACTTTTGAATCTCGAGGAATGTCTGTACCAATGGATTGTCGTAACGGTAACTCCTTAGACTGCTCCACGGGGTACGGAATACGGAGCGCTCCGTCCAAACAAAGCCCCTTCGGCTAAATGAGCTCGTTGGCTGGCGTTTGACTGCGGATTTGTGTCCGCTCACTGGCCGCGTTCGGCGGTGTAACTCGCAAAGCAATCTCGCGGGATTGGACGCTGTGGGCCGCTGTAACCAGGCTAGTTAGCTGTTTTCGCTTTGAGACGGAGAGGCGGATGCAGAGCGTTGGCGCGGGTGGAGGGAAAGGTTGTCGACTCCGGATCTTGAAATTTGTTTTTGGCTATTTCAGGATTCGGGTGCTCCGGGGTGCAGGGGACCGACCGAAGATTCACGACAAGCCTCAAACTTGCTCTCTTAAGCTCTCCGCCCCGCTGCTTCTCCCGCTCCTCCTCCTGCTGCTGCTCCCACCCTCCCTTTCGTCCCGTCTCGATGCGACTGCAGATCAACCCCCCTGATTTCTAGCGCATAGTATGGAAGCAATTTCACCATGCTTCTTCGACGGCTGTCCTCTGCACAATTCCTTCGGCCTGGCGTGCCCTTCCAATCAATTCCGTCCCGTCCGCTTAGTTCGCTGGACACGAACGCCTGGTCCTACCCCCCTTCAGCAACCGACGTCGCTACTGATGAAGTTACACAGTTGGCCTCCAGCCCCAAGCGTCCCTTGACGCTGAATGATCTACTCCGGTAAGTGTGTATCTTGGATGCGAATGCAGACCTGATGGGTGGAACTGATACGTGGGGTGTTCAACAGACATGGCTGCCCTCCACTGTCCAAAGAGGCTCTGTTATCGTCCGCCAACTTTACGCTATCTCTGCTTCCCGCACGTCTGGCGTATCGGATCCAAGCTCTTCGGAATCTTCCCTTCATAGTCGTGTCGAATCCTCACGTTTCGCAGATTTACAACAACTACATTCACTCTCTATCGACTCTGCTGCCGTACCAGAAGCGGAAGATCACCACGTCGGAAGATGAGAAGCAATTCACGGAAACGATGGCCGACCTGGTCCAAACACATACAAACACTATTCCCGTGTTGGCTAGAGGGTTTCTCGAGTGTCGAAAGTATATCAGCCCGGAGGAAGTCACAGCGTTCCTCGACGACCATCTACGCGCAAGAATCGGAACGCGACTCATTGCCCAGCAACACTTGGCCCTACATATGGCCTCCCAGCCTACCGAGGAAGGACGACCGCCCATTCCGTCGAACTATATCGGCGTAATAGATACAGCTCTTCAACCTGCTCGACTCATCCGAAGTTGCGAGGAATTTGTCGCCGAAATCTGTGAGCTGAAATACGGCGTGCGGCCTCGTGTGATCATCAACGGTGAGGTTGATGCTACTTTCGCGCATATCCCGGTCCATTTGGAGTACATAATCACCGAGCTGTTGAAGAATGCTTTCCGAGCTGTCGTGGAGAGTGGAAATGAGCGCGAACCCGTCGAGGTGACTATCGCGTCGGCACCCGATGTAGTCGATAAAAAAGATGAAAAGGCACCCTCATCGATGTGTCAGTTTTGTAAGCCTTCCAAGGGCAACATCGACTTTCAGGCGGCGAGCCAGCCCGGAGAAGTCCTAAGCAAAAACGCATTTTTCGGGTCTATCGACTCGCCGACCCAAAGCATTACCATCCGATTCCGTGACCGTGGAGGTGGTATCCCTCCAGAGATACTCGCTGATATTTGGTCCTATAGCTTCACAACATATTCAGAAGACGAAGTTCTCAACGAAGACAACGGCAACATTGACGGATTGAACCTCCTTTCTAATACAAATATCAACAATAGCACGATAGCCGGCCTGGGTTATGGTCTCCCCCTGGGAAGAGCATATGCAGAGTATTTTGGTGGTAGCATCCATCTGCAGAGCATGTGGGGCTGGGGAACGGATGTCTACCTGACGCTCCAAGGTGTTGGCAAAGTCAAATGATCGTTTGAAAATTTGAGGAACTTCTATGTTATTGGAATTCCACCTGACGCGGATCTAAGTACATCATGCGAAGCTGGGCTGGATCTTCCCATTGGCTCTATTTGCCAATCTCTCTGGCATAAGCACCTGATATACCCGTTTGGCCCAAGCACAGACTACGGCACGGGTATCCTTAGGGTCGATGATCTCCTCCACACCGAATGCATTGGCGGTCCGGACCGGATTCATAAGTCGAAGATATTCATCCTCCAATTCCTTATATCGCTCTGCCTTTTTGCCAAGCTTTTCGGCTTCCCGTAGTTCATGTCGGTGACCGACTTCTATTCCACCATCCAGAGGCAATGATCCCCATTGACCAGATGGCCAGGCCACTTGCATTTTGGGATCACGACAGCCCACCATAACAGCGCCCGCGACGCCGAACGCTTTTCTTGTGATGACGTTGAAAATCGGCATCGTGGTAGAGTAGTACGCTTTCGTGAGCTCGACGCCCCAACGCATGGTGGCCGTTCGTTCAGCTACCGTCCCGATTGCATATCCAGCTTCAACGTCGTTAGATCAACATCCCATTATACCCTGCCAAGTTATCGATCTTAGGACGGTGGGCAACTTACGAACGTCAATGAATTGAATAACGGGGATATTCATAACGTCACATAATTTCAACAGTCTGGTCAACTTTTGGCTTCCGGCTGCATCCAGGGCCCCACTGTTGACTTCACAGTTCAGCGAGATGATACCAACCGGTCGACCTCCAAGACGAGCAAGCCCAGTGATTGATGTTCGCCCCCATAAGGGACCGATTTCGAACCACGAATCTTTGTCGACTACGGACTTAATAATGGTCCACGGATTGTACATTCTCTGCTGTCGTCTTGGAATTATGCTCCTGAGTGAGATGTCCTCTCTGTTTTCCGGATCGTCGCATGGAATCACTGGTGGTGCCTCGGCGCCCGAGCTGGGAAGGTAGGCCAGGATAGTGCGTATTTGCTCGAAGCACTCTGCCTCATTTGCGGCTAGGTTGTCGATGGTGCCGTTGGTGCAATGCATCATGGGTCCGCCTAGTTCTTGAAAGTCCAGGCCTTCTTCGAATGTTGCGCCCTCGACAACTTTAGGACCAGCGTTGAAGAGGGAGCCCACGTCTGCGGCCATGACGGAGAAGTGACAGGACACCACTCTGGCAGCCCCGAGTCCAATCTACAGAGCATAGTTTAGCACGTTAAAATCAAGAACCTTCTCAAATCAACGGAAAGGAAAACAGAAAAAAAAAATAAATAAAAAAAATTTAAAGGCCACTTACAGCAGGTCCAACAACAGCGCCCAAGTTTGGTATACCCATGTTTAACTGCTGAACCACATGCTTAAACGGCTTTACCTGTGGAACGTACGACCAGCCTTCCTTTCTAATCGTCGTCACACTTCCACCGCCAGAGCTTCCGTCAACCAATTTAATCATTGGCATTTTCAGGGCAACCGCCATTTGCTCCATATATATGGTCTTCTCAGCAATTGCCCCGTCTGCATGCCCACCGCGAATACTGAAGTCGTCCGCTGTCAAGAGCACCTCTCTGCCATTCAATTTTCCCATGCCCTGTACATTGTTACTCGGCGTGAACGCCACCGGCTCTTCCGTCAATGGACCGGTTTGTCTCCACGTCACCGTACCGCTGACGGAACCAATTTCCTGGAAGGTATTCGGGTCGACCAATTGCTCAATTCGCTCACGCACCCAGAGTTTCCCGGCTTGTTTTTGGCGGATGTACCCGCGATTCTTAGGATCAGGGTTGGAGGCTAGGGCGCGCAAGGTCGCTATCTGGCCGAGGACATCGGAGTGATCGGCGGCAAGGGAAGACGTAGTGGACGATTTGGGCTTACGTTTTTTGGTTTGGTTGGCTCCAGATCCGAAATGTGATGAGAGCTGGTTGAGTCGTTCGCTGGCCCTTTGGGATGGCTGCAGATCGTTGGCGTTTTCTTTGTCTTGGGCCATTGTTTGTGAGTGAGCTTCACTTCGTGCGGCCCACGATTTTTGCGCTTTGCTTAGTGTATCGAGTACAGTTTATATCGGAATTTTAGTTTGGACGTTGGAAAAGAATCGAGATACCCGAACGAATGTCCTTTTTTTTAATGGCCTAGGTCAGAGAGCGAAATAGATTGTGTATAAAAGGCCGCGGCGGCTTCCTCGAGTTTGGATTATCCCGGACTTGGTTTCGATTTGGGATCACTTTCCCTGGTCACTTCATGCCGTATCTGAAAAGCTTGTGATTTCTCGCGGGCCAACGGTCGTAAAAGGGTCGGCGTACACTCGTTCTGTAGGATTAACAATCGGCGGCAGGACTTCAGAAGCAGGACGTATACCCTCGGGCGATACTGCTAGAGTGTGTTTCGGCGGAGCTGTTCTGAGTTTGGCCGGCGTAGTTTACCCTCAGAGCCTCGGCATTTCGAGCATGTAGCGCCTGGAAGTTTGGTCTTAAGGATTTCCCCGCAAAAAGAGGTCCAGGGCGGCAACGGCCCCGAATTTGCTCGCGGGCAGAATTGGGGTAAGGATTTAATTAATCTGTGCCGGGACGCCGAGGGATTTTTTTCTTATGTAGCTGGAGACAAGGGTCTTTGAACTTTGGGGCGCTGACCAGTCTTGTCTCAATCTCTGTTTACGAAGTACCGGGATCTACGAGTATAGTTACGCCTAAAAGGAATTGCAGAGCGATTCAGACAGGAACTTGTGTTCGGCAGGGTTTTGGAGCACGTCGAAGGCTTCTAGTTTAATATAAGGTCGACATTATAGGCTGGGTTGCACAGCTTACCCAGATCGTATGAAGTGAACTCTCGCGGAAGTAGCAAACAAAGAACACAGTCGCAACGCAAAATGGTGCCTCCAGCACGGCCAATAAGGAAGCTCTTGGTAGCCAACAGGTACGTTGGATGGGATATTGGACACCCACAGCAGAAATAATACTGATGTCTTCAGAGGCGAAATCGCCGTCCGCATTCTCCAGGCAGCCAGGGAACTTCCTAATCCCGCGGAGACCTACGCGCTCTATACACCTGATGATCAATCCCATTGCGTACTCGGGGGCCCCAACCATGCGCTGGCGCTGCCGTCTCCGGCATCATATATGGATGTTTCCCTGCTCGTGCAACTAGCCAAAGAACACTCCATCGACACTGTTCATCCTGGATACGGGTTTTTGAGCGAAAGTCCAGAATTTGCCCAGCGGATGTGGGAAGAAGCGGGTGCCAAAGTCATTGGACCAGGATGGGAAGTTTTAGCGCAGACTGGCGACAAGCTGCAAGCGAAGGAGTTGGCAGAAGCTTGTGGAGTGCCTGTTTTGAAGGCCATCACACAACCAACCAGTGATTTGAACGTTATCAAGGCTTTTGCTGCCGAGGTTGGATACCCAGTGATGATCAAGGCCGTGGATGGGGGAGGGGGTAGAGGAATCCGCCTCGTTAGAAGCGAAGACACGCTGCAAGCGTCCGTTGACAGAGCTATGGGTGAATCACCCTCAAAAAAGGTTTTTGTGGAAAAGGCCGCAGTCGAAGGATACCATCATGTCGAGGTGCAGGTCATTGGTGACGGGACCGGGCAAGTTAGACATCTTTGGGAGAGAGACTGCAGCATTCAGCGACGGTTTCAAAAGATTGTCGAGTGCGCTCCTGCACTCATGAAAGACCGCAAGTTAATTTGCCTGGTGATTGAAGCAGCGCTACGCATCGCCAATAGGGTGAGAAGAACACGGCCTAGACCTTCTTGGAACTCTCACTGACGGAGGCAGATCAAATATCTATCCCTGGGAACATTTGAGTTCCTCGTCAACGAGCAGGTATCCGAATTCTATTTCCTGGAGATCAACCCACGGTTGCAGGTGGAGCATACCATAACTGAGTGCATAACGTCCGTCGACCTTGTACGGTCTCAATTCCTCCTGGCCCAGGGAGCATCGCTTCAAGAGATAGGACTCGGTGAAAATCGAGACCCAGAAACGCCACCTGGCCCGCATTCCATCCAGTTGCGCCTCTGCGCCGAAGATCCAAATGCCAATTTCGCTTTGAGCATTGGCAAAATAACAGGATTCCATGTACCGGGGGGCAATGGTGTCAGAGTTGACACCAATATTTCAGACCTTTCGCCCGTTGTGGTGGGGTCCGACTTTGATAACATGGTTGCAAAGATCATTGTCACGGCTGCAAGCTGGGACGCAGTCATTTCAAAGGCCAGAAGAGTTCTTGAGGACACAAAAATTTCAGGAATCAGAACGAATATCGATGTCCTTCGGGCCGTCATCCACAGTGCAGATTTTAGGGAGTGGAGGGCTGACACGCAGTGGCTTGAAAGCAACCTCAATGATATCGTTGCATGCGGCCAGAAGATTTCACAATCCATACAATCAAACAAACCCTCCTTGCCGGCATCATCTGTCTCGCAGACATTATCTGCAGCAGCCTCTAACGTGCTCCTTAGGAAAGGGGACGCATGGTCCATCGACCTGCAGCCAGTGGGCGAGAAGTCTAACTCTTCTCAACTACCTCACCACTTGCTTTTGAGCCGAGTTCTGCGTAACGAATTTCCAACATCTCTAAGAGCAGAAATCGAATACACAACTCCAGCAACTGTCTCAACCCCTGCCAAGACCGCTGCGTACATCATGACACTTTCCACCACGTCCACATCTGCCAGCGCCTTGTCCTCAACTCACCGTTTGGGAGATCCGAACAACCAAGGCCACGTCATTCTTCCAATTAGCGGAAAATTGATCGAGATGTTGGTAGCTGAGGGTGACGAGGTCGAAGAGAACGCTGTCATTGCATTTGTAAAGCAGATGAAGATGGAAATCGAAGTGCGTAGCCCTCGCGCAGGAAGGGTAACTTGGGCTCTCGAGTTGGAGTCTGAAGATGGAGATGATGTACCTGAAGGAGTGTTGCTTGCGGAGCTCGAGGCGATCGAGACTACAGTCGCAAGTTCAGTTGCCGTGAGAGGAAAATTATGAATCTAATTATTCATAGATGTCAGTAAGGCATTGCACTCAATATGAGACCTTGAATATTAGGCTAGACAGACTTGAATAGACATACTTGACAGCCACTTCCCCCTGAGAAAGCCGTAAAATCTGCATTTAATGTCAAAAGGATACATAACAGAAGAGTCAGGTGAGTCGCATAGACGGGACACTCCACCCTATCGAACGCGATGCACGTGTCTTATATAGCTTTTTCTCGCTAGCCTTCACAATACAACACTTTCAATCTCCATATGTATCAGCACTTACAGACTGTTCGATCATAAGAGTCTTCCAATAGTTGAAGATTGAGAATCAGTGAGCATCCATATCCCTAGTGGCGAGTGCCACTAGAGGAGCCCTGTTCGCGTCGACCAGGTGTGCCCAATTTTGGTTAGGATCTCCATAATGCCCTTCCGTTGGACAAGCGTTGACTCTCTTGACTTAAAAAAGCCTAGCCAGCGCCGTCATGCCGGTCCTTCTTGAGTTTGCGCCGGAGCTCATCGTAATGGTCGCTTCCAAACTTGATTCGGCCGACTTCTTCAATTTTCGGCTTGCTTGTCGATACATCAACTTAACATCATTCCACCACTTTGGAGCTCGCTACTTTCGCACCCGCTACCACATGCTCGAGCGGAGAAGCCTTGAAAATCTCGTGGAAGTGTCCCGCGATCCGGTTTTGGCCCCCTATGTCTGCTCCGTGCAGATCTGCCCACAGCATTTAACAAGTGACTTTCATGTCTTCGCGCCTTGGGTCAGGGGCTTGGACGATGAGTATGTCGGGGTGAACAATGCTGCCCACAAGCAACTTTTGTACCAGCAGTACAGCCTGATAGAGTTTGGACTCGGCAGCGCATATCTCTCCGGGGCATTGGTTCGCCTTACCAACTGTCGGACGCTTGGAATCAGCGATCATCCCTGGCCCTGGGGAGCGGCGTCTCAAAAGCGACTGACAGGGGTCCGTTTCACTAGTGAGGTCTCGCAGAAAGAGAGCATTGCGTTTGCGAAGCGTGCATTCCGTATGATTGTTGCCGTTGCGATTACAAGTCAAATCCCGCTGGAGAGATTCCAGGTCTTGCATGGACTCCCTGATAAAGCGTTTGGGCCTGAGATCATAGCCATCCCGAGACGCCTTGCTGATATGGCGCAAGGCCATCTCATGAGCATTAGTGTATTGGATCTCTGCGTGGGAGAAGATGATCGCATGACAGCCGAAGCCTGGGCGGATGGCGTTAACGGGTTCATCATGCTTTTCCGGAATGTCGCCGATATCACCTTAGATTTTCAAGATAGCTCCGACTTGCGACGATTCCATGGAATGTCCGAAGGTCTGTTGGTCCCACGGCTCCGATCTCTGGCGATCAGCCATCTGAGGTGTAGCGAGGATGATCTGGCTCGGCTTTTCTTCCGCCATTCCTCAACCTTGGAGATGATTTCCTTGAAATCAGTCCGCCTCAAGCAGGGGACCTTTAAGTCACTTATCCAGAAGGTACAAGGCTATCTGAAAACTGAGCACCTGTTCATGGATGGCGATGACAACCAAGATGTGGTCTATTGGAATTTCACAAAAGTTGGAGACAGCCTGTTCGTGTTTGCTGGCAAGGATGTCAGTGAAATAGCACAAGCTTCTTTGTAACTTGTCCCTAAACCGTATGTTTAGAGCTCAGAGAGTACCAATCCCCAGGGCCCCAGCATGCCAGACTTCTTGAACATTCTTGCATTGTGACTTTGTTCCCCACTTTTTGCTTCCCCCCTCCTCTCTCTCTCTCTCTCTCTCTCTCTCTGTGAAAGCATGCCATGTAAGTAGTTCGAATGGCTCAGGGTAGTTCTAAGGCCAGTTAAGCATCTCAACAAGAAGCCGATATGGTTCCATTGTTCACTCAGCCTCCTCCCTTTCTGTCTGATGGACTTTCGCAGCATGAGGGGGTAAGAGAGACGAAGCTGCAAAACGCGATAAGAGATGGATGCAGGCAACCAGTCACGTGCTCCTGGC